AGAAGGTGTGTTGAGAGAAGGTGTGTTGAGAGAAGGTGTGTTGAGAGAGGGTGAGTCGGGAAGGGGGAAGGAAGAGAGGGAGACAGGAGGTGCAGCTCCTGCGGTGAAGGTGCCTCAGAAGAAAGATCAAAGCACATGTGCAACGGAAGGGGGGGAAGAGGGAGAAACAGGAGGGGCAGTTGCTGCACTGATTGCTCTGGCTGCTGCTGCTGATATCAGCAGTCACACCTGTCCCTCCACACCGTCATCACCTGCAGCAGCTGCAGCAGCATCAGCATCATTAGTACCTGAAGCACCTGCTGCATTAGCACCATCAGAAGCAGCTGCACCATCAGAAGCAGCTGCACCATCACCATCGCCACCAGCACCATCAGCAGTTGGGAAACCAGCGGGGAAGGCTGTGCCTGGGGAGGCTGTACCTGTTAAGACTGTATCTGGGGAGGCTGTACCTGGGGAGACTGTACCTGGGGGGGCTGTACCTGGGGAGGCTGTACCTGGGGAGGCTGTACCTGGGGAGGCTGTACCTGGGGAGGCTGTACCTGGGGAGGCGGAAGCAAGAGGCAGAGGGGAGAGGGGAGCAAGAGGAGAGGGGGGAGCAGGAGGGTCAGGGGAGGCAGAAGGTAGTAGACCAGGAAAGGGGGGAGCAAGAGTCAGGGGACCAGAAGGGGGCAGAGCAGGACCAGGAGGGGGCAGAGCAGGAGTGTTGGCGGGAGCAGAAGGGCAGTGCAGAGCGAGTGGCAGATGGGGGAGAGGAAAAGTTTGGAGGGCGCAAGGGCATGCGTTGCCCGGCCAGGTTGCAGCAGGGCACGCAGTGCAAGGCTGGGTGGGGCTGGGTTTAACCCCTCACAACAGCGTCTGCCCACCCACGCCCTTCTCACAGCCTCACAGCAACTCCTCAGGCTTGGTTCCTTTCCATGGGGTGGGAGTGCCGTATGGACCATTTCTAAGAGAGAGTGTGGAGTGTCATGGTCGCTTTGGGTCGACTCAGAACACGCCTGGTCGCATGCCCATGGCTGCTCCTGTTGTTGGCTTCCCGTGTGGGGGCCCTGTGAGGCTGCCAATTGGCATGCCAGGAGGAATGCCACGTGGATCCCTGGCGCCCCCAGCGTCTGCTCCTGTGCTGCCACCTGGCGCACTGCCACGTGGCGGGATGGCGGCGCCAGCGGTGCATGTCGTGCCACCTGGCATGCTGCCACGTGGCAGGGACTGCGGCCCTGTGAACGTCCTTCCAGGGTGGAGGCCAGGCCTTCCCGTGTTCCCATGCCTTCCCGTTTTCCCAGGCCTTTCTGTGTTCCCTCACGCAACCATGGGAGCAGTGAACAATGCAGCGATTTGGGTAGAGGAGGGGGCAGCAGAGGGAGCAGGGAAGGGAGCAGCAGAGGGGGCTGGGAAGGGTGCAGCAGAGGGAGCTGGGAAGGGTGCAGCAGAGGGAGCGGGGAAGGGTGCAGCAGAGGGAGCGGGGAAACATGCATCAGTAGAGGCAGAGAAGGGCGGTTCGACGGGAGTAGGGGTAAGGACAGTCGAAGCAGCAGATGTAGGAGGCACCACTGCTGCCATGCCCATTGCACCTGGAGGGACTGGCACGTGCAGCACTGGCACACTAGTTGTGCCTGCAGAGACTGGCAGGACTAGCACCGGCAAGACGGGCTCAGGCAAGACTAGCACTGGGAATAGATTGGCCATAAACAGCGTGAGCGCAGGCTGTAAAGTGGAAGAATGTGCAACCTTTCTGCCAGGCACAGCTGCAGATGCAGCAGGGCGGGCAGCAGCGGTGGGAGTGGCAGCAGCAGTGGCAGCGGCGACGGTGGCAGCAGCAGCAACAGCAGGAAGAGAAGGAGGAAAGGGAGGAGATGGAAAGAGAGGAGGGGCAGGAGGAGAGGCAGGAGGAGTGGGAGAAGCAATGATGGCTGTGCCAGCTTTGGCAGTAGCAAGACCAGCCGCGGTGGCAGTAGCAGTAGCAGAATCCGCTTGCTGCAGCACCATCGACACTAGTAGTAGGGGCAGTAGCAATGGGAACAAAATCATATGTGTGGCTTCTGGTTCTGGTGCTCATCCTGCTGCTCATTCTCCGGGTGCTTTAGCCAGTTATGTGGGACGGGGAGCGAAGGGTGGAGGTGTGAGTGGGGAAACGAAGGCATGATCATGCATTGGTGGACGTGTGTGGAAGACGTGCTGTGCCTACGAAATTCGCTCTCACGCTGCAAAGCTTGATGCCTAAGCATGGCCTGTGATATCTGTGTGGTACAACCATTCTGCAGTCATATCGCAACAGTTGCATTTGCTTTGATCATGTACACCACCGCACTTCAATAATATGGTTCTATTTAAGGCCCATCTTTTAAAAAGCTTCGTTTGCAGCTGTAATCCCGGAGAAGGGTTTGTTGTGTCTTCTCATCTTGCCCGTTCTTTTTTCTTGCGGAGGCTGCAATTGAGGTGAAATCACTAGCATTCGAATGTCAAGCGTGGAACCAATACACTTTATGATGCCGGGTACTGTCGTCACGTTGAATTGGACTCTTGTTTTATCGATCCATATGGGGTGATCCGTGAAGTTGGTAAAACCTGGGGGTAATGCACTTTCCAGTACTGCTGCTTTGGGACAATCCATCTTACCTACAACTTTCCATACGACAATAAAAATCTATCCCTTTTATGACTGCAGCACCCTCTTTGTGAACAATGCACGAACCTGGTTTTACATGAATATTTTGCGATCAGCAACCATTTGGAACATTTTTATGTAAAAAAAAAAATATCAAAACACAAGTACATCCGAAGTCGTGACTGTACCATTGGGACAGTTGGACATGCGAACAGCCTTGGAATGCTGTGCCAACCCCACCTCACCCAACGTCCCTTCGGCGACTGAACAGTCGATGCGCGCACGAGTTTCCTGACACGACATCGGGCGTAGCTGTCACTGGATAGAAGCTGGCAAGTTGAGTTGGAGGCACCTTTTTCCTAGGGTGGCTCGAACAACTCCTCCTTCCTAGTTCCCAACTCGCACTCCCATCAGTATGTGTGTGAAGGGCAATTGCAGGATCTGATTATTGAATACTCTCATCATTTGTGTAATGTCATGTGCCCCTTTATTTGCAAGGATAGCCCGTTTCCATGTCGCACAAAACTGGGGTGGTTGGTTTGGTTACTCGAAGAACGACAACGCCCAACAATGCCATCCGCTGCAGCCTCCCGCCGCAATACATTTCTGTTTGCTACCGGTTGAAGTCGCCTTTCACCGCCATTTCGGTCCTTTCTGAGGAACTTACGGGGGCTCGATAAGGCGTCGTTTTCTCAATTGGACACCGTCAATGAACTGTGCTGCATAGTTCCCGTCCCGTTCCGTCATCCCATCCCAACGGCCTGTCGTTTTCATGCAGTCCAGCTTGAGCAGCAAGTGCTGCAGCAGATTGGGAAAACGGGCAAGTGACTGAACCGCTTGTGGCAGAAGGCAGCACGCAGACGTGGAACTGCCGTGAATCCCGTCAACTCCCCAACGGCATTCTTAATCCATGGCTGCTCCGCTGCGTTTTGCTTGGCTTCACGACAGAAACGGCAAATAGAGCATGTCAAAGACAACAAAACCAGACCCGCATATTGCGGTTCCTGGAAGCAGCAGGAAGTGTTTGGCGGGCAGCAGCAAGATGAGCAGTGCTGCAGTGGTCTTCGGCTTCTGCATCAAGGTCTGGACGAACTCCAAAACAGACGACCACATTCAGCAGCAACACTGGTGATCGCTCGTGACTCCGAGTCGTCTCGTCCTCGTGAGCCGCGAATTGGGCGTACAGAAAGTCTTTTGTTCGCATCCGCTTTTCTGCTTCTAGAGCGCCAACACTGCTTCTAGATTAATCGACGTGTTTGATTGGAGTGTCACTGCATTGCTGGATCTTCTTTGGTTCGTCTCGGTCTAAATAGCCTGCACGCACTCGTGCCAACGTCCTCCTGGCGTGAAATCAGTTTCGTTGAGAAGGCAATTTACATTCGGCAGAACTCGCCATTTCGGCTCTGTCGCGGACGACGAATCTTCAGATTGCAGCAACGCAGCCATAGCTGGTTTCTCCAGGTTTCCTTGGTTCCTTCGCCTTACCTATAGCAAGCAATCATCTGCACGGTTAGGCACAGATTGGCAGCAGCAGTTGTACCGCCTGATTTTCAGGCCAACATCTATCGTCGCTTCCTGAACTGAGTCGACTGATTGGTATTAGGACTAATCCTCATCGTCACTGCTACTAGCGACGCCGCTGGCAGCGCGCCGCCGCACTAGAACGCAGCACCGCAGTGCACTGCGCGGAAAATATTATAATCGCATCGCATCTCGCATCGCGAGAGGCACCGTGCATGCAATTTTCGCACCTGACCCGGCAATTCCACAACCATTTACAATCTCCGTGCAGTGCCTTGACCGGCGGCTTGAGGGTTTCGTCCCGTTCAGATCCGTGCTTTACGGTAACTTCAGGGTTGAACCACTTCCGTCGAGCCGCTTCGTTGCCAGCCTGCCACTTGGTGACGGACCCAGTCACTCACAGAACGACATAAGAGACGTCATTTTCTTCGCGAGGGTCATTTCGCGGATCTACTCCTTGTCAGTTCTCGGCCTGACGCGTGCAATTCCCGCGGTAACAACCCGCTTGAAACGCCGACTTTGTCTAACAGAACAGCTCGGTGTGATAATTCTCCCCGTGCGATCAAGAGCTTCGCCCTTCGCCGCCATGAATCATCCACCGTCTCTCCGCGAGGTAGCAGCGATGGTACCTCCCGGCGCGCCCTTCGCCCAAGTGCTCGCGCCAAACACGGCGTTCGGGCAGTTCTTCTACGGTTTTGCCGCTCCGCCACCTTTGCCGTCGCCGTCGCCTGCGTCGGCGGTCGCAGCGCCATCGGCGACAACAATCCCGTCATCTCTCGCCATGGCGTTAAACGACATGGCGATCCTGAATCGAGCGGCCTTACCCGGAGCGCCGTCTGCGACTCTTTCGCAACTGTCGCTCGATGCAATTCCGCAGATGACGCCCGAATTGGCTCGTCAGATTCACCTCCTCGCGAGAAGCCAAGCCTCGTCGTGTTTCCCGCAAGGCGCCGCATGGGGGGACGGCCGCGGGGATCGAAGCGGCGAGCAGGGGAACGGCGGAAGCGGCGGAGGCAGCGCGTCCGCGACGATCGCAGCAGCGGCAGTATCAGCATCAGCATCAGCATCAGCATCAGCAGCAGCAGCAGCCGCGGCAGGGAAGACGCATAACCAGCTGTTGAGCGCTTTTGCCGGCCGCAATGACTCATTCGGGACGCTCCCGTTTACACTGTCGGAGAAGGACACGGTCGCCGGCTGTTCCGCTGGTGCTGCTGCTACTATGCGCGGAATCATCGAGCAGCCGGCGCGTTCAGATTATCCGGCGTTGCAATCGCGACAACTATCCGCGCAACTCAAGTCATTCGCGCCGTTCGATCCATGTTCCCCATTCGACTCATCCGCGCCGTCACCGTCCGCTCCGTCAATTGCGCCGTCCGCTCTCTTCGCCGCCGCATCCCGAGGGCCTTCCGCCGTCCAGCAGCCCTCATGCGGAATTCCGCCGCTGGCTGTGGCGGAAACATATCGGCCCGTAGCGCGTCAGCCTTTAACGCGTCGGCCATTGGCGGACGGTGCGACGTCGGCCGAGATTATGAGTTCCAAGAGGGGTCTTAAGAGAGCCAGCGGCAGCGCGGGTGCTGATTCGGCGGCGCCTAACAACACGAGCGCGGTAGCACCTGCGACTGCCACTGCCCCCGTCTCTGCCGCTCGCCGCCGCGGGAGCAGGTGCCTCGCCGCGTTCGACGGCGCAAGCTCCGGCGGAAGCTCCAGCGGAGGCGGCGATAGTCCCCGGGCGGGGGAAGAACCCGCGGAAGCAGCGGAAGCGACGGCCGCGGCGACCGCGGCGTGGGAGCAGCACCAGTGGTCGCGCGGACTGGCGGAGCTGGTGAGCGCGGACGGGCACCGGTGGCTCAAGTACGGCGCTAAGAAGCTGAGCACCAAGAATGGCGGGCAGCGCAGGGCGTACTACCGCTGCGCCGCCAGCTCCCCCCACCACCGCACAGCAGGGTCCGCGCCATGCCCTGCGCGCAAGGTGGTGAACTCGCACCCGCTGCGCCCGTTCGATCTGAGCGCTGTGACTGTGGAGTATCTCTGTGAGCACAACCATCCTGTGGACGGAGGGCGAGTGACTGTTGCGCGTGATTATAAAGGGCGCCGGGTTCCGCGCGCTGGGGATGAGGGTTCTGCTGGTGAGGATGGGGGGACGGTGCGGAGTGCTGATGTCAGCCCGGCCGTTCCTGCTGATGGAGACGGCTGGACTGCTGGTGCTGCTGCTGCTGTTGCTGCTGCTGCTGCTACAGGCGATGACAGGGTTGTATCGCATGATGAGTTTCCTTTTGAGGAGGACACTCCCCAGCTCAGAGATTTTATGGGTGTGGGTGGTAACGAGTCAAGCCAAGGAACATGCTTGAATGGTGCAACGGAGCATGATATTTCTCGCAGCAACAGTAGTGTTACGGAAAATTGTGTTGAACCCGCAGAGCAGCTTTTATTGAGGACAGGTGGAGCAGAGGGCAGGGTGGGTGCGGCTGTTTATGGTGAAGTGGATGTGGAGTTGCATCTAGCCTGCTCGTATGGCAGTTTGGGGCAGCGACTCGACCACTGTAATTATCAGGATAAACGCTTTGCTGGGAGGACTGAAGGGATTGAAGGGTGCCAAACAGGTTTCAAAAGGATGAGGTTCAGTGAGGGTGGCTGCTACACTGGGCTTTTAGGAATGGGTGCAGTTGCATGAAGGTGTTGCAGAGCTATGCTCGAAATTTTGGCTTTATCTTTACTTTAAGGTGTAATGCTTGCCTCATTTTGCTGTCCTTGTGGTTTTTGCATGTTTTTGTTCCTAGGGATTGAGTTGCTCAAATTTTGATGTATTGCATAAAGTATAATGCGTTTTATTTGGTTTCACGGGGGATGTTCGATACAACGCTCGCCTAGGGGTTTGCGAACCACGCGCACAGTCGTTGTGGGTCCGACCGTCCGAGTCAAGGGTGGCGTGTGTTTTGTAGAACAGGTGTGGGTGCAAGTCAGCCCGCAAGTCTGCTGACGTTTTCCTGCTCAGGGCTACCCAGAGACACACCACAGCACGTTACCACCGACCTATCACAACGTTGTGTACCACGATCAGAATTGCGAAGCCTTTCGCGAAAGTAACATCTTCTTCTCCCCTCGTTTCAGTCAACAAAACATGTGGACCATCCCTGTGATCACCGACGGCGCAATCCCTTGCAAGCGAAATCGCGTTCCTCATCTGCCACCCACCCAGCCTGCCCGTACCGCCTTGCGTGAACTGACTGATCACCCGCCCGAAGAAACTGAATATGTGACCGCAGCAAACTCCGAACCTCTAGTACACCCTCGCCAAGCCGCTTTGGGATGGCTGCTTGCTCAAACCTGCCACCCCAGGGCTCAAACCAAGCAGTTCGGCAAGTCTGTTGCGCTTCCGAAGTTCCGAGCCAAGCTGGTTACCATCCCGTACCCCTTTGCCCTACCTCCCGCCCTACCAGCCCGCCTTCCTAGTCCCAACGGGTTCGGAACTGCAACCATGACCATGGATGCCCGTGCGGGCAGCCCAACGAAAAGCAGCAGGCAGTGTGTGCGGGTGTGGCGAAAACTTGTTTCTGCCTGCCTGCCCCAGTGAAAAACTCGTGCTATGCAGCCCATGAAACCCCGTAATCCGCCTAACGCGCACAGACCAATGGTGGAACAGCAGCAGTTGGTCTGAAACACAAACGGACGGACCCGATGGAAACACGCTTGAGCCGATGAATCACAATTCACAGCTTTCCCAGATGCCTTTTTTCATCAAGGGTGGCATGCGTAGCCTGGACTTAGGACCCTAGAACCAGCTTACTGGACTGCGGAATATGCTATAGGTTGCAGCGTTGCCTCATCAGCCAGGTGAATGACGTGGAACGATAACAAGTTGGGTTTGCTTCCTCACCAGCAGCTGCAGTAAGGAATAACTGGTGACGCTTCATAGCCATTAGGTTACGGACGGCAGCGTGCCATCAGGAATGTGACGATTTACTAGTTAGCTGCTACAATGTCAGTTCTCCAATGACTACTAGCCTCGTCTAGTTCCATGGTTTGTCAAAGACTCTGACAATTGAATAAGACTTGAGCACCAGTTTGTGTTGGACAACTGAGACATTGACTTGGATGACAAGTTAGGGTTACAAGCATTTCGGTGTCAGAAACTCCCAGCCATGGCTTCCAACTATCTGAGAAGAGAGCAACTCGTTTTCGCATTATTGTTCCACGCGCGACGGCCGAAGACATTCTTACTCAGTTCGTTTCTTATTCTTCTATTATTACCCACGCTCCTATTGGGCGTAGATTCGTTCTCCTTCCACAGCTCGCACCATACCCATCGACCAACCTCTGTAAAATATGTCCGAGCTTCTTCCCGAACCTCGTCTCAATCTTCGTCACGACCGTTGCAATCCTCCTGGGCGAAGCGGCCGCGACACGACAATGACACTAGTTGGCCTCCGCCGGTGATATCCGTTCTGCATTTCTCAGGCGCCGTTGCTCTCGAGTCCAATTCAACGGATCAGATGTCGCCACGTGGACTGTCAGAGATGCAGTCGCGGCTTCATGGAAGCATCCGCACGGACGGGTACGTTCTTATCCGAGGTGTTATACTGCGATACGCCTGAATTCTGTTTTAGTTTTTTGCAGAGTAAGAATGTGTTAGTACGTAGTTTCGTGGGTTTACTTCATGATCTCTTTCTCTTATGCGAAACCCTAACGTTGCAGCGCTATGATTTTCACGCTCCTTCGGTTGCTTCATCTATCTCACCAGCTCCTGTGTCTCTCTCATTATACTCTTCCCTCCGTTGATACCACCTCCCTGCGTGCTACCTCTCCTATTTAACTCTCTCCCCTTCTTCCCCCATCACCCCACCAAACCCGCCCCCCCTCCCCCCTTTTCCCCACCCTCCCGATCTCTTCCCACTTCCCGCTTCTCTCCCTCTCCCCCACTTTCCCCTCCCTTCCCTCCCCCTCTCTTCCCGTCCCCACCTCTTTCCGTGCGCACCTATTTCTCCGTGGACGTTTGAATTGGTTCGCGTTTTTACAAGGCACCTCTAAACTCGTCCGGCCACCCTTCCCTTCTCCCCTTCCCCTTTCCCCCTTTCCGCGCGCAGCTATGACTCCGTGGACGTGTGGATCGGGTCTCCTTTGGGTCGCCTCACAATTCGTTCCCCCTCCCCCACACCCCCTCCCCCACTTTCCCCCCTTCCGCGCGCAGCTATTACTCAGTGGACGTGTGGATCGGGTCGCCGCCGCGCAAGTTCTCTCTCATGGTGGACACGGGTAGCGCGCTCACCATCGTGCCCTGCTCCTCCTGCTCGCCCTGCGGCGCCCACATGGTAAGGCGATCGGGTTACATCTTAACTTGTGCGTGTTTTCGCCATTGCACGGATGACAGGTTACCTGCGCTGCCTCACATGATTCCTCTGTTCCCCGATTCCACTCCCCCTCCCCCTATCCGCCCTGCGCCCTCCGCAGAATCCCCCCTATTCCCCCTCTGCCTCCGCCTCCTACCTCCCCGTGTCCTGCCGCGGGGGCCCCTGCGCGGGGAACCGCTGCGACCGCCAGCAGCGGTGCGCGTACTCGCGGAGATACGCGGAGGAGAGCACCAGCGACGGCTTTCTCTCCTCCGACCTCGTCTCCTTCTCCGCTCCCCCTCCCCCTCCCGCGCCCGCCGCTTCCGCCGCCGTTGTTCCCAAGGAGGAGCGCGCTTCCGCCCGCGAAGACTCCCGGCCTTCCGCTTCCTCCTCCTTTTCGTTCTTCTCCCGGTGGTGGTGGCCGTTTTCCCCCTCCCCTTCCGCCGTCGCTTCCGCCTCTTCCGCGTCGTCTCCCCCTTCCTCCTCCGCCCATGCGCAAGCTTCCCCCGCTTCCCCCTCCTCTTCCTCCGCGACTTCTGCGCAAGTCCAGCCTTCCGCTCCAGGCCCCGTTCCGCCCCTTCCGCGCGTCCTGTTCGGGTGCGCAGAGGCGGAAACGGGCGCGCTTTCCCGCCAAGCGGCGGACGGCGTGCTAGGGCTTGGGCGGGGGGCGTACAGCCTGCTGGCGCAACTAGTGAGCGCGCGCGCAGTTGCTGCGGAGGTCTTTTCCATCTGCTACGGCGGAGGGGGAGGCGCAGCGGAATCCGCGGAACTGGCGAAAGGCGCGGGGAACGAGGGGAGTGGCTGGGGACTGTGGCGGCGGAAGGGGGGGATGGGGAGCGGAGGAGGGAAAGGCGGGGCAGGGGCGGGAGGGGAGGGGGAAATGGGGAGGCTTGGGGGGGAGCGCGGGGCGATGATTATGGGGCCCGTGGGGCTGCGCGCGCCTGCGGTGATGCAATACACAGCGTTCGACCGCATGCGCGTGTGAGTGGGTAACTAGCGCATGTGAGGGGGTGATTAGAGTGCGTGAGCAGGTGGTTTGCGCGCGCCTGCGGTGATGCAATACACGGCGTTCGACCGCATGCGCGTGTGAGTAGTGATTTGCGCGTTTGAGTGGGTGGTTTTTCCAGCTGAGCGGGTGCTTGCGCATGTGAGCGGGTGGTTTGCGCGCGCCTGCGGTGATGCATGCAGTACACACACGGGTTCGACCGCATGTGCATGTGAGCGGGTGGTTTGTGCGTTTGGGGTTGTTTCCCAAATTCTCATAGCGGGAGATTTTCCCCCAGTGGAGGACGCGCCGCTGCTCTTCTCCTCTGGCTGGTTGCTCTCCTCTCCCTCTCCCTCCCCGCACCCTCAGAGGCACGCTGTTCTATCAGGTGGTGGTGTCGCAGATCCATGACCAAGTACCCGCTCACCTCTCAGGTCGTTGTTGACAGCGGCACCTCCTTCTCCTACCTGCCTCCCACTCACTCCACCACTCCGTTTCCTCCTCTCCCCCTCCCCTCTCTCTTCCCCCCTTCTCTCCCTCGCTTCCTCCTGTTTCTCTCCCCTTTCCCCGCATCCCCAGAGGCACGCCGTTCTATCAGGTGGTGGTGAGTCAAATCCTTGTAGCGGGAGAACCTCTCCCCGTGGAAGACGCCCCGCTGCTCTTCTCCTCGGGCTATGGCGTTGTCGTTGACAGCGGCACGTCCTTCTCGTACCTGCCCGCGCCGCTGTTTGAGGCGTTCAAGCACAGCGTGATGGCGCGCGTGGCCAGGGGAGTCAAGATGCTGACGGACACAGAGCCGCAGTACCAGAGCATGTGCTTCCGCTCCACCTCCTGGACTGCTCTGTAAGTTATTCTGCTGCTGCTGCTGTCCTGCGAGTACCTGATTTTTAGCTTTTGGCTGTGAGGTTACCCTTGGCAATGAGTGACCTGTAGCGTCAGGATGCTGATGGATGCAGAGCCGCAGTACCAGAGCATGTGCTTCCGCTCCACCTCCTGGACTGCCCTGTGAGTGCGCTGCTGCTGCTGCTGCTGCCCCGTGGGTACCTGTTTTCTGAGTTCTAGCTGTGAGATTACACTTGGCAATGAGTGGGCCTTGAAGTCAAGATGCTGACGGACACAGAGCCGCAGTACCAGAGCATGTGCTTCTGATCCACCTCCTGGACTGCATTGTGAGTGTGCCGTTGCTGATGCTTCCCTGTATATACGTGATTATGAATTTTCCCTCAGACCACCGAATAAAATCTTCTCTCCATCTCCTCCCTTTCCCGTCGGTGGAGGTGGTATTTGGGGAAGGTGCCATCTACCGGCTGGACTCCCTTGTGCATTGCCTTCCTCACCTGCGTTCTCATCTCTCCCCTCCTCCACTCCCCTATACCCCACACAGGCAAGCCTCCACGCTCGGCGCTTTCTTCCCGTCGGTGGAGGTGGTATTTGGGGAAGGTGCCGTCTACCGCCTGGACCCTGAGAACTTCCTCTTCCATCTACCGCTTGGACTCCCGCGCCTTCATCTGTTTCTCCTCAACCACTCCCCTCCCCCCATCAGGCAAGCCTCCACGCTCGGCGCTTTCTTCCCGTCGGTGGAGGTGGTATTTGGGGAAGGTGCCGTCTACCGCCTGGACCCCGAGAACTTCCTCTTTCAGCACCGCAAGCGCAGCGGCGTCTTCTGCATCGGCGTGTTCCCGAATCCAGACCAGGGCACCATCCTTGGCGGTGAGTGGTTTGATTGATACTGTTCACACCTACCCACTCTTCCAGCACCGCAAGCGCTGCGGTGTGTTCTGCATTGGAGTCTTCCTCAACCCCGAACAGGGCACTCTTCTGGGTGGTGAGTGGAACACTGCTTTTTCCAACCAGCACTGCTACTTGTTGAGCGGTTCAGTGGTTCTGTGGCTCTCTTATGCAGTGACTCAGTGGGTCGATGCCTTGCTCGTCCTCTCCCTTTTGCTCTCGCCTCTTCCCCATCCCCCCAGGTCTCATTTTCCGCAACACCATGTTGACCTTTGACCGGGTCAACGGGTCAATGCGTTGTTGGGCCAGTGGGTGGATGTACCTTGCTCATCCTCTCCCCTTTTTATGCCCTCGCCTCTCCCCACCCTTCTCCAGGGCTCATGTTCCGCAACACCATGTTGACCTTTGACCGGGTCAACGACCGCCTTGGCTTCTGGAAGACCCCCTGCGACCAGCTCATGACCCACATCGTCTCACCTGGCGCGCCTGGCTCGGAACCTGGTCCGGAGCCAGGTTCGGAGCTTGGGTCGGGATTAGGGGAGGAATTGGGCTCGGATATACGGCCTGCGCCAAGGAGAGTGAATCCGTTAGGAAGGGGCAGAGATCCTCGGGACCCGTACACGGAGGAGCAGGCTCGGTCAGGTGGAGGTTCGGCAGTAGGCTTGGGTGCAGGCTCGGGTGGACCCAAACCTGATGACGGCACCCGCCGAAGCAGTGTTCCTACTACAAGGGATGTGACTGCAAGGGATGTGACTGCAAGGGATGTGACTGCAAGGGATGTGACTGCCAGGGATGGGACTGTAAGAGGCGGCAGCAGTATCACCAGCAGCAGCACTACCAGCAGAGGCAAGCGGGCACCAGACGCAGGGCCGGCAGGAGGAGACGACGACATGGCGATGGTGTGGGCGGTGGCGGATGCGATGCCGTCGTACCGGCCGGTGGACTCCACGGGGTGTGCGGGGTGCGCGAGCCATGTTGACATGGAGCTAAGGTTCCCGATGCTCTCGTCCGCACAGCTGGACGCATTAGAAGGGCAGCTGACGGACGAGCTTATAAGAGAGCTGCTATTGGAGCCGGGGCAGGTGAGGGCACGGGGTTGGCAAGGGTGTATGGGGTTCCCATGGGGGGTGTGCGGGATGCGCCAGCCATGTTGACATGGAGCTAAGATTTCCCCCTGCTCTCGTCCGCACAGCTGGACGCGTTAGGAGGGGCAGTTGACTGATGAGCTTATAAGAGAGCTGCTGCTGGAACCAGGGTAGGTGCGTGTTGAGTTGAGGCGTTTGATTGGGTCTGGATTCTTGTTAAATTGAGGGGTTTGAATGGGCGCAGCTCATCAGTGGGCTCAATCGTCTGTCCGCCGCCCTCGCACTCCCTTCCCCCCCACTCCCCTCTGTCCACCCCCCCTGAAATACCTTTCTCTACAGGTGGTGATTCTGAGTGTGTGGGGGACGGGTCCCAGCGGCGCAGCAGCGGAGGTGTGGTTGGTGCTCAGTCTCTCTGTCCCACTCCCCCTCTCCCCCCCCCCCCCCCCCCCCCCACAAACTATTCCCCCACGAGCAGGTGGTGATTCAGAGTGTGTGGGGCACGAGTCCCAGTGGCGCAGCAGCGGAGGTGTGGCTGGTCCCGTACGCCGGCACCACCTTCCTGCCCTCCATCACCGTGCAACGAGTCGACTCCACCATCCGCCAGCACACCATGCACCTGTCGCCTGAGTTTGGCCCCTACAACCTCAGCTCGTTCAACGCGCCGCCTCCTGACTTCTCCGGGTGAGTGTGAAGGTGATTTGAAGGTGATGTCAATTCTCGTGCTGCCTGCCACCACGCATGCACCTTCTGCCTGCCCTTCCTTACAGATCCTCCCTTCGCTCTGTCCTCCCTTAGTCACTCAACATCCATCTTATTCTCCTCTTCCCACCCCTCGTCCATCTCTCCTTTCCCCGGCCACCCGCTCCCCCTTCCAGCAGCGCGGCCCAATCTCACTCCAAGCCACAGCTGCGGTGGCTGTGGTTCCTCGTGGCAATCCCCCTCTTCCTCCTCTGCATTGCTGCTGCTGTCTGGTTCCCACACGCCCTCATTCTCCCTCGCCCGTTCTCCCTTTCCCCTCTCCCTGCTTCTCTGCTCACCCCACTCCACACCTCTGCCCCCTCATTCACCCATCCTCCATTCTCTGTACCCCCTTTCCTCTCTCCCTCTTGTCCCCCCTCCAGCAGCGCGGCCCAATCTCACTCCAAGCCACAGCTGCGGTGGCTGTGGTTCCTCGTGGCAATCCCTCTCTTCCTCCTCTGCATTGCTGCTGCTGTCTGGTTCCGAGTGGGGCGGAAGGAGGCCGAGACCGAGGCCGGGAGGAAGAGATTTGTAACGGTGGGAAGGCGGTTGCAGCAGGAGGGTTTGGAAAGTGAGAGGAGCGAGAGGATGGAGAGGCATGAGAGGATAGAGCGGTTTGAGCGGCATAGTAAGATGGTTGCGCTGACTGCCCAAGGGTCGGGCTCGTCGCCGAAGCAAGTTCCTGGGTTTGGGTTGATGACTGCGAGTGTACATTGACTACTGATTATATGCCGACGATTTATACGCTTTGTTGTAGAGAAGTGATATAACAACAATTTTGATCAACTGTGTACTAAGCTGTATATTACGGCAAGTCAAGCATAACTGTTTTTTATAATACTGTACGGTAACTTGTGACAACTTACACAAAGGAGTCTCGCATGTCTTACTATGGGCTTCATGTTTCGCAGATCTACAGTATTCTGCCAGGAAAGGGTTATAATGACTCAGCATAGATAGGTTACTGGAAATGCCAGCAACATAAATTATAATCCCCTCTCATAAATGCATTTACAGTGTTAAGGTACTATGTTTCTTCGCCTTGCAATCAGAGAAGCACTCAACTTCCGTGGATTTTGCTGCTGATGACTCCACACCACTCTCCAAAGATAAAAGGGATAGTAAGCGGCAAATGCAATGGCAATTTCCATCACTTAACTTAAATGCTTCTCGCAGCCTCCCATATGATATAAACCCTCTTATTATGCTGCTTCATTTCACTACGCATAATGCACAGTCCACAACCTATCTCTTTATGGACCTGTGAAATGATCCATCTGATGTGAAGGCATGCCAGGTGGCTGGATGCTTGCAGTGTAGCCGAATCAGGTGTTCTTTTCCAGCTGTGCAAGTGCAGGCGTGAGGTAGTTGTTGGCCCGGTCTGGTAGATGGGCCACCTGATAGAGAGGGGGAGGGGGGAGGGGGGGGGTGAGAGGGGGAGGAGAGGGGGAGAGGGAAAATGTGTTGGAGAGACATTGCGAGAGGGAGAGAGTGTGAGAGGGAGTATAGCATGAGAGGTAAATAGTGTGGGAGGTGGTGTGGGAAGTTAGCAGTTGCACGGGGAGGGAGTACAACTGCTCACTTCTACACTATTGCTGTACAGAGGAGAACAACACTCGGAGAAGAAGCAGCAATTGTAGCAACCAAGTTAAAAGGTACATGTAGAGACACAAAGGTGGGAGTAGGTGCATTGCACTCACCAACTCATAGAGGCCCGAGTTGTCAGTGTACTCATAGCATATCTGCAGGGCAGAGATTGGATAAAATCAGATCAGATCAAAGTAGAGCGGAGCAGACCATATTACAGGTACGGTAATGGTGCACGTGACCACATATACAGGGTTACCACACTCACATTGTGATCACATCTGCATGGTTAACGAATTTACGCGGCCACATTCACTTACGTCGAAGCTCTTGTTACGAGCTGTCGGGTCATGAAGAGACTTCACACACACGTCTGCCACATCAGCACAGCTAATGCCCTGATGAGTGTGCGGGGGGGAACGAAGGGAGGGGGCAAGGGAGGGTTGAGAAGTGTTCGCAGGTAAGGCAGCGATGGGGGTTTGACAGGACAGCGTCAGGGTAGCTTACAAATTACATTGCACACAGATGTGCGCACAGGTGCGCAAAACACACCCTCCCACCCCTTCCTCCCCTCACCACATGCACCCACACACTCTCACCTGCGTGATTCAGTTCCCCTGGTCGAACACAAGCGCCTTCCTGCCTCCCGGTTCCTCCAGCAGGGGCCCTGGACGCACAATGGTGTAGCCCAGGCCACCTTCAACTCACTCTCCCACACCCACTCGCCACCCCCATACAAAACCACACCATCTACGTCCACACACTCTCACCTGCGTGATTCTGTTTCCCTGGCCGAACACCAAAGCCTTCCTGCCTCCTGAACCTCTCATATCACAAAGCAGACAGATACCTGAACACGTGCATTTCCCACCTGCGTGATTCGGTTCCCCTGGTCGAACACAAGCGCCTTCCTGCCTCCTGGCTCCTCCAGCAGCGGCCCTGGACGCACTATGGTGTATCCTAGCCCGCTGTTGCGCAGATGCGTCTCTGCTGCCTGCATGTTGCAAGGAAAATGCACAAGGAAGAGAAAAGCACTTGTGATACACCATGTGAGCCTAGCTCCACAGCTCTCCCTGGCTCCTCCAGCAGCGTAGGTACTTGCATGTAGATTGAGTTCACTTTACTGGGAACGCATTCCAATTTCACCCCATACACCATAAACCATACCCCATGCCCCATATCACATACCCCATGCCCCATGCTCCATGCCCCATGCCCCATTCCCCATGCCCCACACCCAATACCCCATACTCATGCCCCACACCCACGGCGCATATCATGGATTGCAGAGAACTCACCATCTTAGCCTTCACCACTCTCTCTCTGCTCTCCTCTGGCACTCCTGCTCCCGAGCATGACACCAACACGAAGTCCGTCTCCTCTCCTCCCTGCGCTCCCACGTACAGGTATGCACACACACACACACGCAAGAAATATACACACACGGACAGACAGAGACAAGAACGGAGTGAGTGAGTGAGTGAGTGAGTGAGTGATACAGCATTTCGTGCACCCGAGCACGACACAAAACGCGAAATCCGTCCCCTCTCTTCCTGTCCCCCCAACCCCTTCCCATCCACACACACACAGATGCATTCACAACCAAGAATTGCATGCACACACAAACAGACACATAAACATCTGTGTGAAATAGCATGCACACCACAGCTCTCTGACGCAAGCACATAAGCCCCCCATCTTCCCCCCCCTTCCAGCCCACCTCTTCTTCTTCCCTCCTCTTCAGCACTCTTTTACCCTCCTCTCCACCAGACGTATTGCACATGAACTTGGGGCTATCCGGTTAGGCAAATGCAGCAGTTTGAATTGACACAAACAGATCACACCCACCCATTTCCTCCACCCATCCTCCCCTCCTTCCCTTGCTCCCCCACAAACTCACAGGGAAGGCCTTGACGTATTGCAGGGCGAGCTTGAAGCTGTTTGGGTCGGCAGGGGCGGCGGCATTGTCTCCTTCTGCCCCGGCCTTGGATGCGGCCCGGCCCGGTGGGAGGGGCGCTGCTACTGCTGGCTTCTGGTGAAGTGAGAAAGGAGAAAAGTAGGGAGAGCGCGGTGAGGAGAAGGGAGGGGAGTGCGTTGTCCTCTTTCGCCCCAGCCTTAGATGCTGCCTGGAGGCAGGGGCGCTGCCACTGCTGGCTTCTGGTGAAGGGAGAAAGGAGAAAAGAAGGGAGAGTATGGTGAGGAGGAGGGGAGTGCGTTGTCCTCTTTCGCCCCAGCCTTAGATGCTGCCTGGAGGCAGGGGCGCTGCCACTGCTGGTTTCTGGTGTAGGGAGAAAGGAGAAAAGAAGGGGGAGTGTGGTGAGGAGGAGGGGAGTGCGTTGTCCTCTTCCGCCCCGGCCTTAGATGCTGCCCGGCCTGGTGGCAGGGGTGCCGCCACTGCTGGTTTCTGGTGAAGGCCAGGGAGTAAAGAGGGGTTGAGTGCGGTCAAGTGAGGGAGAGAGCAGTGGCGAGGGGAAGAGTGCGGTGAGGTGGGTTAAAAATAATGAATATGATACAGGTCAAGGTTTGTTATCTCCAGATTACCTATTTAGATCCGCTAAACCCAGTCCAACCCCACAAAACGTTATCCCCATTCTTCCCATCAGAACTCGCCAACCCCATTATAGTGCGTCCAACTCACTGTGCGCCGCTGCTCGTATCGCAGGGCGAGCGAGGAGATGAGGGTGGGACTAAGCGGATAGTTGCTGCCATGTGTTGCACCTCAGTGTTTCCTAATCCCACTTAACCTGCGTGCAACTCACCGTGCGGCGCTGCTCGTATCGCAGGGCGAGCGAGGAGATGAGCGTGGGATCGAGTGGTGGGTCGGATGGGGATGATGGGCGGAAGGCGGAAAAGGGGATGCGGATCTGGTAGGGGGAAAGGAGAGAGGGGGAGGGAGGGGAGGGGGAAAATGAGGTGCGCGGGGGGATGAACGGGAGGAGATGAGGGCAAGAACAAGTGCCAGGTTAAATGGGGTTGATGCACGGAAGGCTGAGAGGGGATGCGGATCTGATGAAGGGGGGAAGAAGGGGGGCCGGTGGTTAGGGAGAAGGGAGGGGAGTGGGGCGGGTTGAAAGGAGGAAGAGTGGGAGGCAGACGCAGAGGAAGGGGAGGTAAGGGATGGGGCCTCTCTCTCACTCACTCACTCACCGTGTTCTGCCCTCTCCTCGTCTTCACAACAGCCACATACTCATACTCCTCCTCCTCCACCTCCTCCTCCTCTTCCACCACAATCTCCCCGTCCTCCCCCACTCTCTCCACGCGCGTTCCTTCCTTCGCCACCCGCAGCACCAGCGAGTATGGCTTGCCATCCGATACAAACCGGAACACCAAACCCTCGAATCTGAAGAGACAGGGGAGGGAGATGGGGAGTAGGAAAGAGGAGAGACGGTGGTATCAGAAACAAGGTAATCAGCCCACCCGCAGCCCCAGCGAGTATGGCTTGCCATCGGACATGAACCGAAACACCAGACCCTCAAATCTGGGCATATGGGAGAAGGAAGAGAGAGAGAGTGAGTTGGGGAGTTGGAATAAGTGGGGATAGACGGGAAGATCAGCCACCCGCATCACAAGCGAGTATGGCTTGCCTTCTGACACGAACCTGAACACCAGACCTTCGAAGCTGGGGGGACAGGGGAGGGTAGTTAATAAATGAAGCGAGTTCTCTAGAGACGCCTCAAGAAACGCTGGGAGGACAGGGGAAGGGAGGAAGCTTTGGAGGGAAGGAACGGCACACGGGGAAGTCAGGGCAGCAGCAGCACTAGCGAGCAGGTGCTGCGACCTTGATGCGTGTAGGGGATGAGGGGAAGGGGTGACGAGGGGGAGGGTACGGGCACGGAGGGATGGCGAGAAGAGGAACGACATCACTCGAGAACCAAATCAGCCGTCACTTACCGTCCAAACGACAGTCCCTCTGGAAGTGAGATTCGCCTCTTCGCCTCCACATACCCTCCGCGCGTGAACACGTATCCGGAAAACACGCCCCTGCCGTCCTCCGTGATACTAAACTCCGCATCCATCCCCGCGCCGTACCGCAGGTCTATGTCGTCTTTAATAGTCCGTCCCTCTCCTAACTCCCACCCCTCCTGGAACCGCTCTTTGCTGAGTCTAAGCACCAGGGCTTTGCTCTTGCTGCTGCGGCCGGCGCGGCGCTGCGCTAATTGGTGATTATAGTCTAGGAACGCCTTGGAGAGATTAACTACGCCCATGTGGTCGACTCGTTGGAGGTCAGCGGCCATACCGGAACGAGCCGAGGCGCAGAAGACGACCTTATTGCACCCGTCCACCGCCTTTTGAAGCGCCGCCTCGTCGGCCAAATCAGCGACTGCCACTTGGCACGCACGTGGCAGCTGCTCGAGCGTCTCCGGGTCAGCGCTTCTTACAAGGGCTTTAACAGTGTACCCGCGCAGGAGCAACTTTCTTACAAGCACCTTTCCGACGCGGCCCGTCGCCCCCGCTACAAGCACAGTCGTGAACTGAGCGCTAGGGACGCCGAAATCGGCGTCCAAGCCGCCTCGAACCAGCTCGGTATAATCCTCCGCATCCACCGGCGCCGGACGCGCTATCTGGCCCAGCTGGATCAATCTCCGCCACACATCATCGAGAAATTGTCGAGATCGACGGCCGAGATCCACAGGATTGACGTCTTCAAGCGACAGCTGCTGCTGCTGCGAAGCTTCGCCGGACTGCTCCTGCTGCTGCTGCTGCTGCTGTCACTGAAGGCCTGAAGTTGCTGCGCAGTTTCGTCGGCAGCGACGGGGTCAGCCAATGGAACGTCGGCCTTAATTGGCCGGCTTGCTGACGGTGCTGCTGCGGAATCTGCGGATTCGGGACTCGCGGAATTCGGAGTTATATTAGAACTCTCGTCGTTGTCTCCGGCTGCTCGTGTGCGCACTACGTGAAAACGGCGTGAATGGGATAATAAAAGCTTCTTGTCGAGTGGTCTGGCGCGCCTACTGCACGCGGGAGACGAAATGCGCAGAGACTTGCGGAGGAAAGCGACCGGAAAACCGTTGCGCTGCGCCGTTGCGGAGTGCGCGGCAGCGGTTAGACTCTCCGCGGTGCTAAGGCGCACGGGAACGGCGGGGGAAGCGACGACAGCCATGACAAGCGCGGCCCAGCAACGAAGCACCAAACAGGCAAACACGAACGAGTCAAAAGTCCCAAACAAAATTCAGTTCAACCACTGGTTAGTCACTCTTCTCTTCTCATGTCCTCCTGGCGAGCCAGTTTTTGGGAATGTCAGAATGCCGCCAAGAAGGCAGAGCTAGTGTTGGGGCATTTGCTCAGGCGGGCATTGGTATTTGCTCGGTTTGGCCTTCGGTTTGGCTTGGTTCCACCTTGGGATTGGTTCGTTCAGCTTGGGACGCGTAGAAGGGCGACGTGGAATTGCGCGCCAGGGTGGGCTCCCAAAAGTGTGGTCGCAAGGCAGCAATTGGGACCTTCTGTGGCTCCACACTGGATCACATTGACGTGGAATCGAAGGCTTCCACGACACTTGGGCCACGATCAAAGGTGCTACGTGGTCAGAACAGACGCCAGAAACTTCGCACGACAGTGCGGTCGGAAGGAGTGTATTCATGGCTAACAAATAGTATGCTGAAAATATGAAAAGAGAGTGTGCATTCCTTAAAGCAACAGTATACTTTTGCAAGCGGGGGTTTCAAAAACCTTAGGAACTTGAAAAACTGGTTACGCGATTACAACCCCAACCCCCCCTTGTTGAGAGGCGGAGGAGTCCCCAAACGCCCCACGTCCGGCTCCCCGCACTCACAGTTCAAAACCTTAGGAATTGCAAAAGGAAACTGAAACTGCGGTAGTGAGAGGATAGCCCACACGCTCCTACTTCAGTATGTCATTCCGCGTAGACTAGGCAGCATTCTAACCTAACAGCTAGAATTAGGGACAACATCTGTTACTGAACCACGTAACGATGTTTCCTCGCATGCGCGGACAAATCGCCACGCCTACGCACTCGCTTAGGCCACGCCACCTTAGACAAGGCCACCCCACGCCTCCTCTCGCTACCTCACCGCAAGCCCATTAGCGACAGCGCCTCCCCTCCCCACAATGTCCCGTTTAGCCTCGACGCGCTAGCATCTACATCCCATCCCTTCCTCCACTTCTAGCTCGCCGTCCGCCGTTCGCCGCGCGCGGTGAGCCGCTGCTTCCCGCTCGCCGCTCGCGTGTCCTCCCTTTCACTTTCGCCGTCCGTTGTTCGCCTTTCGCCGGACGACGTCCGGATTGAGACTCCTCTCGCCGAACCACGTTGCCTCGTTCTTTTCTGGTTTATACCCATTCGCGGCTGCACGAATGCTTCTTTACCAGCTCGGTTCATCGGACTGGGCTCGTGTCTCCTCACGCGGCCCCATCGCGACCACCGCCACGCCATCTCCCCTTCCCGCCACGAAAACTCCTCTTCCCGCCACGTCATCTCCCCTTCCCGCCACTCCATCCCCCCTTCTCGCCACATCATCCCCCCTTCTCGCCACGCCATCTCCCCTTCCCGCCACAAAAACTCCCCTTCCCGCCACGTCATCTCCCCTTCCCGCCACTCCATCCCCCCTTCTCGCCACGTCATCCCCCCTTCCCGCCACGCCATCTCCCCTTCCCGCCACGAAAATCTCCCCTTCCCGCCACGAAAATCTCCCCTTCCCGCCACGTCATCTCCCCTTCCCGCCACTCCATCCCCCCTTCTCGCCACGTCATCCCCCCTTCCCGCCACGCCATCTCCCCTTCCCGCCACGCCTACTCCCCTTCCCGCCACGTCATCTCCCCTTCCCGCCACTCCATCCCCCCTTCTCGCCACGTCATCCCCCCTTCCCGCCAGCCATCTCCCCTTCCCGCCACGCCTACTCCCCTTCCGAGCACGCCCTCATTTCCCCTGCACGCCCTCGTTTCTCCCCCTCGAACGCCCTCATTTTCCCCTTGCCCGCCCTCATTTCCCCCTTGCACGCCTTCATTTCCCCCTTGCACGCCTTCATTTCCCCCTTGCATGCCTTCATTTCCCCCTTGCGCGCCTTCATTTCCCCCTTGCATGCCCTCATTTCCCCCCCTGCATGCCCTCATTTCCCCCTGCACGCCTTCATTCCCCCCCCTGCACGCCCTCATTTCCCCCTTTTCCCCATCTCCCCTCCCCATTTCCTCATCCCACCACCTCTCCCTGCCTTCCCATCTCTTCTCTTTTCCAGGGCCTGTCATCCGCAACCCGCCCTCTTCAAACTGCTCCTCAAGCGCTGTCCTCATCAGCACCACCACTCTACCTCCCGCTCTCTGTGCCTCTTCCCTCCTTTGTCACTGGTCCACGCTTTGTCTTGCTTCTTGCTCTTCACATCCCCTTTTCCTTCTTCCTCCAGATCGCCCCATCCCTCTCTCTCGCTCCCAATTTTTCCTCCATGTCTCCCCATGTTATTTTCCTTCCCACCGCCCACGGGTTTGGGACGAGGCCCGTCTGCCCTCTCACACTCGCCATGCCTCGCCATGCACTCGTCCTGCCATTCTGACTCTCCCTGCAATTCTCACCGCCATCCCTCCCTGCCTTTCCATCACACCTCCCTGCCTTTCCATCACACCTCCCTGCCTTTCCATCACACCTCCCTGCCTTTCCATCACACCTCCCTGCCTTTCCATCACACCTCCCTGCCTTTCCATCACACCTCCCTGCCTTTCCATCACACCTCCCTGCCTTTCCATCACACCTCCCTGCCTTTCCATCACACCTCCCTGCCTTTCCATCACACCTCCCTGCCTTTCCATCACACCTCCCTGCCTTTCCATCACACCTCCCTGCCTTTCCATCACACCTCCCTGCCTTTCCATCACACCTCCCTGCCTTTCCATCACACCTCCCTGCCTTTCCATCACACCTCCCTGCCTTTCCATCACACCTCCCTGCCTTTCCATCACACCTCCCTGCCTTTCCATCACACCTCCCTGCCTTTCCATCACACCTCCCTGCCTTTCCATCACACCTCCCTGCCTTTCCATCACACCTCCCTGCCTTTCCATCACACCTCCCTGCCTTTCCATCACACCTCCCTGCCTTTCCATCACACCTCCCTGCCTTTCCATCACACCTCCCTGCCTTTCCATCACACCTCCCTGCCTTTCCATCACACCTCCCTGCCTTTCCATCACACCTCCCTGCCTTTCCATCACACCTCCCTGCCTTTCCATCACACCTCCCTGCCTTTCCATCACACCTCCCTGCCTTTCCATCACACCTCCCTGCCTTTCCATCACACCTCCCTGCCTTTCCATCACACCTCCCTGCCTTTCCATCACACCTCCCTGCCTTTCCATCACACCTCCCTGCCTTTCCATCACACCTCCCTGCCTTTCCATCACACCTCCCTGCCTTTCCATCACACCTCCCTGCCTTTCCATCACACCTCCCTGCCTTTCCATCACACCTCCCTGCCTTTCCATCACACCTCCCTGCCTTTCCATCACACCTCCCTGCCTTTCCATCACACCTCCCTGCCTTTCCATCACACCTCCCTGCCTTTCCATCACACCTCCCTGCCTTTCCATCACACCTCCCTGCCTTTCCATCACACCTCCCTGCCTTTCCATCACACCTCCCTGCCTTTCCATCACACCTCCCTGCCTTTCCATCACACCTCCCTGCCTTTCCATCACACCTCCCTGCCTTTCCATCACACCTCCCTGCCTTTCCATCACACCTCCCTGCCTTTCCATCACACCTCCCTGCCTTTCCATCACACCTCCCTGCCTTTCCATCACACCTCCCTGCCTTTCCATCACACCTCCCTGCCTTTCCATCACACCTCCCTGCCTTTCCATCACACCTCCCTGCCTTTCCATCACACCTCCCTGCCTTTCCATCACACCTCCCTGCCTTTCCATCACACCTCCCTGCCTTTCCATCACACCTCCCTGCCTTTCCATCACACCTCCCTGCCTTTCCATCACACCTCCCTGCCTTTCCATCACACCTCCCTGCCTTTCCATCACACCTCCCTGCCTTTCCATCACACCTCCCTGCCTTTCCATCACACCTCCCTGCCTTTCCATCACACCTCCCTGCCTTTCCATCACACCTCCCTGCCTTTCCATCACACCTCCCTGCCTTTCCATCACACCTCCCTGCCTTTCCATCACACCTCCCTGCCTTTCCATCACACCTCCCTGCCTTTCCATCACACCTCCCTGCCTTTCCATCACACCTCCCTGCCTTTCCATCACACCTCCCTGCCTTTCCATCACACCTCCCTGCCTTTCCATCACACCTCCCTGCCTTTCCATCACACCTCCCTGCCTTTCCATCACACCTCCCTGCCTTTCCATCACACCTCCCTGCCTTTCCATCACACCTCCCTGCCTTTCCATCACACCTCCCTGCCTTTCCATCACACCTCCCTGCCTTTCCATCACACCTCCCTGCCTTTCCATCACACCTCCCTGCCTTTCCATCACACCTCCCTGCCTTTCCATCACACCTCCCTGCCTTTCCATCACACCTCCCTGCCTTTCCATCACACCTCCCTGCCTTTCCATCACACCTCCCTGCCTTTCCATCACACCTCCCTGCCTTTCCATCACACCTCCCTGCCTTTCCATCACACCTCCCTGCCTTTCCATCACACCTCCCTGCCTTTCCATCACACCTCCCTGCCTTTCCATCACACCTCCCTGCCTTTCCATCACACCTCCCTGCCTTTCCATCACACCTCCCTGCCTTTCCATCACACCTCCCTGCCTTTCCATCACACCTCCCTGCCTTTCCATCACACCTCCCTGCCTTTCCATCACACCTCCCTGCCTTTCCATCACACCTCCCTGCCTTTCCATCACACCTCCCTGCCTTTCCATCACACCTCCCTGCCTTTCCATCACACCTCCCTGCCTTTCCATCACACCTCCCTGCCTTTCCATCACACCTCCCTGCCTTTCCATCACACCTCCCTGCCTTTCCATCACACCTCCCTGCCTTTCCATCACACCTCCCTGCCTTTCCATCACACCTCCCTGCCTTTCCATCACACCTCCCTGCCTTTCCATCACACCTCCCTGCCTTTCCATCACACCTCCCTGCCTTTCCATCACACCTCCCTGCCTTTCCATCACACCTCCCTGCCTTTCCATCACACCTCCCTGCCTTTCCATCACACCTCCCTGCCTTTCCATCACACCTCCCTGCCTTTCCATCACACCTCCCTGCCTTTCCATCACACCTCCCTGCCTTTCCATCACACCTCCCTGCCTTTCCATCACACCTCCCTGCCTTTCCATCACACCTCCCTGCCTTTCCATCACACCTCCCTGCCTTTCCATCACACCTCCCTGCCTTTCCATCACACCTCCCTGCCTTTCCATCACACCTCCCTGCCTTTCCATCACACCTCCCTGCCTTTCCATCACACCTCCCTGCCTTTCCATCACACCTCCCTGCCTTTCCATCACACCTCCCTGCCTTTCCATCACACCTCCCTGCCTTTCCATCACACCTCCCTGCCTTTCCATCACACCTCCCTGCCTTTCCATCACACCTCCCTGCCTTTCCATCACACCTCCCTGCCTTTCCATCACACCTCCCTGCCTTTCCATCACACCTCCCTGCCTTTCCATCACACCTCCCTGCCTTTCCATCACACCTCCCTGCCTTTCCATCACACCTCCCTGCCTTTCCATCACACCTCCCTGCCTTTCCATCACACCTCCCTGCCTTTCCATCACACCTCCCTGCCTTTCCATCACACCTCCCTGCCTTTCCATCACACCTCCCTGCCTTTCCATCACACCTCCCTGCCTTTCCATCACACCTCCCTGCCTTTCCATCACACCTCCCTGCCTTTCCATCACACCTCCCTGCCTTTCCATCACACCTCCCTGCCTTTCCATCACACCTCCCTGCCTTTCCATCACACCTCCCTGCCTTTCCATCACACCTCCCTGCCTTTCCATCACACCTCCCTGCCTTTCCATCACACCTCCCTGCCTTTCCATCACACCTCCCTGCCTTTCCATCACACCTCCCTGCCTTTCCATCACACCTCCCTGCCTTTCCATCACACCTCCCTGCCTTTCCATCACACCTCCCTGCCTTTCCATCACACCTCCCTGCCTTTCCATCACACCTCCCTGCCTTTCCATCACACCTCCCTGCCTTTCCATCACACCTCCCTGCCTTTCCATCACACCTCCCTGCCTTTCCATCACACCTCCCTGCCTTTCCATCACACCTCCCTGCCTTTCCATCACACCTCCCTGCCTTTCCATCACACCTCCCTGCCTTTCCATCACACCTCCCTGCCTTTCCATCACACCTCCCTGCCTTTCCATCACACCTCCCTGCCTTTCCATCACACCTCCCTGCCTTTCCATCACACCTCCCTGCCTTTCCATCACACCTCCCTGCCTTTCCATCACACCTCCCTGCCTTTCCATCACACCTCCCTGCCTTTCCATCACACCTCCCTGCCTTTCCATCACACCTCCCTGCCTTTCCATCACACCTCCCTGCCTTTCCATCACACCTCCCTGCCTTTCCATCACACCTCCCTGCCTTTCCATCACACCTCCCTGCCTTTCCATCACACCTCCCTGCCTTTCCATCACACCTCCCTGCCTTTCCATCACACCTCCCTGCCTTTCCATCACACCTCCCTGCCTTTCCATCACACCTCCCTGCCTTTCCATCACACCTCCCTGCCTTTCCATCACACCTCCCTGCCTTTCCATCACACCTCCCTGCCTTTCCATCACACCTCCCTGCCTTTCCATCACACCTCCCTGCCTTGCCTCCCATGGGTATAGGGCCCCATTATTTACCGCTGTGACACCAGGTGTCATTCAACCCGTACCAGGCGGGTATGCATATGCAAAGCTGCCGGTTTTGCGTCCAAGTCAGCACCATATAAGTGTGCCAATTCCCTCAGCTCCAGTGCAGTGCACGACAACGCCTGGGCCAAGCGAGCTTGGCAGTGTGGAGGGGCATTATGTTGCAGGAGTGTGTCGTGGCATGAACATGACACCAAGAGTATATCGCTGTTTAGTATACTTAGAGATGATTGTATGTGTACGTACGATACAACTCAATGTTCCTTTTGGACATCATTGCTGTGCTCATTTTCAGCTGTAGAGATGGCTTATAGAAAGAGAAGACACCTGAAAGACACGTGGTACATATCAGATGCATGTGAACAACATTTGCAATAAAATTGTGATGTAACATTCAACTACTTTCAACACACAGTGGGAGCACATGCAAGCCTAGACTGAAGAGGACTGGTCCATCTTGTTCCATGCTGCACTTGAGATCCCTCAGTATGGAAAGGGAAGGCGGTAAACACGGTACTGGTGGTGAGGGTAGAGGGGAAGAGAGAGGGTAAGCAAAGGGAGGAGGGAGCATAAGCAGGGTAAAAAGGGAGGACAGAGAATAAGCAAACTCGAAGGAGCTGATTGGATCGTAAGGGGGTGGAGAGGCATTGCGGCAAGCAGAGGGGGAAAATGAGCGAAAGGAGGGTGAGAAATAGGGGAAGCAGGTGGGGAAAGGAGGGGAAGCAGGGGGGGAAGGGAGGATAAGCATGGGGGGAAAGGAGAGGAGGCAGGGGGGGAAAGGAAGGGAAGCCGTGGGGGAAAAGGGGGGAAGCAGGGAGGGAAAGGAGGTGAAGGAGGGGCGGAAAGGAGGTGAAGCATGGGGGTGAAGGAGAGCAAGCAAGGGGGGGAAAGCAGGGGAAAACAGGGGATGCGGGGGGAAGCGAAGAGAAGCATGGGGGGCAAGGAGGGGAAGCAGGTGGAGAAAGGAGGGCATGCAGGGGGGGGAAGGAGGTGAAGCATAAGGGGAAAGGAGGGGAAGCAGAGGGGGTAACGAGGGGGAGCAGAGGGGGAAATGAGGGGAAGGAGAGGGGGGAACGAGGGGGAGCAGAGGGGGAAAGAAGGGGAAGGAGAAGGCGGAACGAGGGGAAGCAGAGGGGGAAACAAGGGGAAGGAGAGGGGGAACGAGGGGGAGCAGAGGGGAAACAAGGGGAAGGAGAGGGGGAACGAGGGGGAGCAGAGGGGAAACAAGGGGAAGGAGAGGGGGGAACGAGGGGAAGCAGAGGAAGAAATAAGGGGAAGCAGAGGGGGTAACGAGGGGAAGGAGAGGTGGGAACGAGGGGGAGCAGAGGGGGAAATAAGGGAAGGAGAGGGCGGAACGAGGGGGAGCAGAGGGGGAAATAAGGGGAAGGAGAAGGCGGAACGAGGGGAAGCAGGGGGGGAAACAAGGGGAAGGAGAGGGGGAACGAGGGGGGAGTAGATTTGGAAATAAGGGGATGGAGAGGGGGGAACGAGGGGAAGCAGAGGAAGAAATAAGGGGAAGGAGAGGCTGGAACGAGGGGGAGTAGAGGGGGAAATAAGGGGAAGGTGAGGCTTTAAGCGGTGAGGCACTAAGCGGTGAGGCGCTAAGCGGTGAGGCACGCAGCGGGGTATTAGGAGAGACGCGGGTGACGCGCTAAGAGGGTGTCGTGAGCTGCGGGTTCGGCGATCGAGCTGCGGGTTCGGCGATCGAGCTGCGGGTTCGGCGATCGAGCTGCGGGTTCGGCGATCGAGCTGCGGGTTCGGCGAGAACGTCGCCGGCGACGGGAACGCATGGAATGCGGCGCTTAGGACGAAGGCTAGTCCTACATCTATCGCGAGGCCTTTGAACGAGTCTATTCATGAGAGAGTGAGGTGTTTGTAGAAATGCTTTCTAAGTAATCTCGCGAGCCAGCCTTGTGACACTTGTCGCCTCGACACCAGCGTTTTTTTTTAGTGCCAGCGCTGTTCCTCGCCGCCCTAGTTGCCTATTGTGTAGTTGTATCGAAGGCCTTTCCTAAAAATGTCGCTCCGTTGGTCTGCTCGTGTCACTCCAAGGCTTGGGTTGACGGGAAACTTTCTCGTGTTCGCAACAATCAGCCATCCAAATTTTCGCCGATTCTCTCGCCAAGCCCATTCGTTTTTCGTTTGGGTTTGCTTTTGGTAGGTACTGTTCCAAAACAAACAGTACTTTCAAATGTATACCGCCGCTTTAAAGGCAGGGTCTCAAGTACTACAAGAGCTTTGCACTTGCTGGTGAAAGTCTGTAGTTGATTGGTTGGCGAGGTGTAAGGTTCGAAGTGGGCTGAAGCGAGGGGTGCGAAGCGAACGCAAATCGTTGGGGTAACCGAACCAACTAGGCTTGGAAAGTTGGTTCGGACCCAAACCTAAAATGCCCCCGACCCGACCCGACTCATCGAAAGTCTCAAGTCCCCAAAAGTGTTGTGCAATTGCTTTTGGGGCCGAGTTTCCAACCCAACCAGAGACAACTTCGCCAGCACTAACTTGGTTACCTAGCTTCAAGTGCTTTGCAGTCGATGGCTCCTTGGCTTACATGAGACCCTGGCTTTAACACCAAGGCAAATTATGGTGTTTGGATGAAGATTCTACAGCATAAACATGATTTGAAGCAACATTGCCTTTATGACTTGAATTATCATGAATAGTTAAACACTACACAGCAGTATCTCCTCTTTCTAATCATAAACAAAAAAAAAAAACCTAAAAAAAGCAACTGCTTCTGGTTCACCAGCACCAGCCACTTGGAACTGTTGCAGACCTAACAAACCTACAACCACTTCTGAAAATTACACTGCATAACAAGCCTTCAAACACCCCTATTTCACAAGCTCAATGATGAAGACGTTCCATCCCACCACGCTGGGAACCCACCACACACCATGCTGACAGAAAACCTCTTCCCAAAGCCCTTATGCTGCCAAGCATGAAACTGCTCCAAGCATATTGTGCTCCTGACAAATCATGCTGCGGCCACAAACTTAGCGAGGGCACAAATGACGATCCACCCAGACACTCGAAATTCTCAGCTGTTCAGCCGGCACAAACATTACCCCTTTCATCCAGAGAAAACGATGGAGGTCGAGATTGCAGAGATCGGCGCATGCACTGGGGGTTAGAGTATGACACATCCACACTTGGCTGACTCGGGCTGACAAAAAAAAAAGGCAAGATGAGACGGGAAAGCTAAATCAGTCGAGATGGTGAAGTATGGTCTGTTACAAGGGACGATCAGAAAAAATAATATGGAGAGGACGTGATACTGCTGATAACAAATGGAGGAAAAGAAAACGGCCAGGGGGGCTGTGGAATGGAAGGGAGAAAAAAGAACCATAGACCACGTCCTAATTCAAGAAATAGAGTTTGATGACGTATGTACGTCAAACGAGCTAGATCGGACAAAACTTTTAAAAGCACAATCCACAAGTTTGTTTTGTATCAGCTCATGGGTGTCAGATATCCGGATTGCATCATAAAAGTACCAAGCCGGCAACTTTCGCAGCCGCAGAGAAATGAAAACAATCTTGGCATTAGTTAATTGAAGCTTACTTCAGGAGGAGTATCTTTGTTGACCTTCGTCTTGTGGGGCTCCGGGAATGCTGGAACCCCCCCACCAGAGCTGACGTCTCTAAATTGCGCAGTAAAGCCGCCTCCGCCCTTCTTGCCACCTCCCCCTGTTGGCGGCATCCCGCCTTCCGACTGCACCAGGATTGTGGGAATAAGTGGAAAAGGAAAATGGGAGGAGGAAATATGTGATGGATTGGAACCAGTGGTGAGGGGAGGGGTGTGATAGAGGTGGACTCGAAGGCGACACTTGAGCGTAACTTCAACGGAGTCATGGGTAGACAGGAAGTACGAGACGGTGACGTGGATCGAAGATGAGCATGGGGTCGCGAAAATACGGATGGTAAAAGTGGGGGTACAAAAGGCTCAGATCGTTTTATCAAAGGAAAAGAACTGGGTAATGATGAAGCCGGCGATACAACAAGACAGAAAAGACAGACCTTGGAAAACTTGGAAGGAACAACTTTCTAGGAGACGTAAGGATATGGTAATTCTAGCTGTAAAGAACAGGTATGTTAAAAGGAAACGTACCGCCATCGCCTGGATGGGCCTTCAAACTCAAGCGCGAAATGGAAGTCGTATGTAACCCTAAATAACGTACAAAAACTGCTACACTACTTCGCAGTAACCACCCGAATTGACGTAAACTACAACCGTCTGCTGCCCAGCGCGATGAGCATCGGCAGATAAGATCACTGCACCCACTCGATACCAGAAGACTGGAGCAAAAGGTTCCACCAGAACGTAACCTAATGGTTCCTAGAGCGGAGCAGAAACAGGAAAACCACACGGAAGTGCATGATTCAGATGCAGAAGAGGTAGTCGTTGGAGAGTGACTTCGGAAGGTTGGTGAAGGCGGAGAAGTGGGGGGAGTGCGGAGAGGCCCTTGTTATTCCCCCAACCCGCACAACGAATCTTTCCGCCCGCCTAGCCTCCCACAGCATCCTGTCAAACCCGCGGAACCACCATCAAGCACATCCAGCAGAAGTGCGGAGAACGTAAGGCATACATGCGGGTCACCAGCAGGGCTATTGCTAGGATTTTTGCTAGCTCGGACGATCCGGGCCCCTGTGAAAAAGACCCTGTAAAATCCGAGCCAGCGGGAAAAAAACCTTGACGAATCCGGGTTCGAGCCAGAAAAGGCCTGAAAACATGCATTACCAGAATTTCGCGGGAAACTCACAGTGGGTTGCGCGAGGGCTGGGGAGATTGGAGATGGAGTGGCTCTGGAGGGGTGAGCGAGATACTTTTTGTAGACTTAGAAAAAAATACGATGAGGAAGAGTACATCGGGAGAACAGGGCAATCAGACACTCTCTCCTTATTGGCCTTCTAAGCCATGTCGACGTAGAACGGGGCAATCAGACACATGGAGGCCAACAAGGAGAGAGTGGTTAGGAAATTCACTAAAATTGGCCCAACGTGTGTTTAGAGGGAGACCGAGAGGAATGCAAGGCAGGTCGGGGAGAACATGTCTGCTAAAATTATACGGGTCCCCTTGAGAACTCCCCGGAGAGATCCGAGCTGACTCAAAAATCACCCTTCAGTTTTACGGGCTGGTCCGGAAAAAACCTTGTGAAAATCAGGGCTCCTAGAAAAAACACCTTATAAATTCAGTCAAAACAGGGTAATTGCCCTGATAACTTAGGCCCTGGTCACCAGGAGGAAGGGTGACGGGGGGTTGCGGAAAGCCCCGAGCGTGTTACGGTTGGTGAGGTGAACGGACTTCTGGCGAAACACTACTTTTCCACGTGTCGCGCGGTTACTGCATGGATGTTGCCGAGCTTTCCCGCTCTCTGCGACGTGCGCGACCTCGACTTGAAATGATGCTACGATTCGCCCCCCACCTCTAATTCAGTGCAAGCTGATTCGTGACAGTGTAATCCGTTTTCATCATAGCGAACATGATCAACAGACAGAATAGCCACTTATGTTACACGTCAGTTAGCAGAAGAAAAAACATAATATTTTCTTATCCAACCAAACAAGAGCACGCTTCTAAAAAACAGCACTCTGAGGACCGTCCGTTCCCCGTGGAGTGTTCGCCTCACTCTTCACCGCTTTCTTCCCTAGAAATCCCCCCATTACAGATTTCCTCCACCCAGTCTTGCTACCAGATGTTCCTCGCCTACCCTTGCCTTCTCCCTCCGGTCTCTTCATGCGCAACGGGGCAGGGATCCCCATAGACGCCCTGAGCGAGGGAGGCGGAGTCCCGGTCGCTGAAGCAGGTCCGTTGATTGGCGTCGCAACCGCAGACGACGGCCCTGATTGGCCCGCGCTCATAAAATGCCTTATCGCACGGAGCTGGCCAGGATGGAACTCTGCACTCTTGGCAAATAACCCACTGTCTTCCCCTGATGCTGTTGACAGAAGCCCAGAGGTGGGAATGGACGGCATACTGGCGCGATTGCTGACCGTGTTGTAAGATGAGCTCCTTCCTGGAAACATCCTTGCAGCAGACGGACCAGCGTCACTGGCAGCTGCACCAGCAGCACCTCCAGCACCCGCAATAGCAGCAGCAGCTGCTGCGGCGGCAACAATCTCCCCCTCTTGACTCTTCCCAACCAGAGACGCCTCCCTCCACTTCCTCAGAGTATCCGCCGCTTCCTCCTCTACCCGCTTCTTCCGAATCCGAGCCTCCTCCCTCCACTTCCGAACCTCGCCTTCCAGAGCATCCAAGGTTCGGCGAAGCGCCCGAACCTGCAGCCGAAGCTCCCCTTCAGCATCCTTAGCCGTCTTCAACTCTCCCTCGACCGCAGCCAGCTTAGCAGACATCTCAGCCTCCATCTTTCCCTTCTCCACCACCACCCTATCCTTCTCCGCTTCTGCAGCAGCAGCTGCCACTGCTGCCGCCGCCGCAGCCTCAGCCGCAGCAGCGGCAGCAGCAGCATCCTTGGCCCTCCGCTTCTCCTCGCCCTCCTTCCACTTGCGTTCCAAGCTTACTTGATTCACCCTGGCTCGCCACAGACTAGCCGCAAGCCGAACTGAACCCCCACTCTTGGCCTCTTCAGCTGCTGACCTCGCTGCTGCTTCTGACGCTATCAACCCCTCCATCTCCCTCTGCACCGCTTCCAACTCCCCCTCAGCTTTGCCCGCACGCTCCCGAGCCTCTGCAGCTTCGGCAAGAGCAGTTTCCGCAGCTAGTCTAGCCTCGGCAGCCTCGGTTTGGGCTGCATCTGCTGCCTGCTTAGCTTCAGCAGCTTCGGCCCGAGCCAATTCCTCACCCTCCTTCGTCCTACCAGCTTCCAACAACGCGTTTTCTGCTGCCACTCGCGCCTCTTCCTCCCTCCCCTTCGCCTCTCCCTCTCGGTTCCTCGCCTCCTCTGCTGCTGCCTCTGATGCCACAACCGCTGCTGCTGCTGCAGCTGCCGCCGCCTCTGCTGCTCTCTGCGCTCTTTCCGCTGCTGCTTTCCCTGCCAAAGCTGCTTCTTTCTCTGCCAAAGCCTGCCTCATCTGCTTCTCCCCTCCCGCTGTCACTGCAGCAGACGACGCCAGTGCTGCTGACACCCTTGTTTCTGCCTCCTCTTCCAGTTCTTTCACTCTCTCCCTCTCTTTCCTCAACTCTTCATCAAGCTCCCTCACTCTCTCCCCCTCCTTCCTCAACTCATCCTCCATTTTTCCCCTCTCCTCCTCAAGCTTATCCCTCTCGCCCTGTACCCCATCTCTCTCCCTTTCTAATCGATCCCGCTCCTCCTCCAATTCCGCAATCCTGCCGGCCAGTTTAACTCCTGCTGCCTCCAATCCACTCCTTCCCTCCTCCAAATCGCCCATCCTCTCTGTAAGCTGCTTCACTTGCTCCTCTAAGGCGCCCTTCTCCGCCTCCAACTTACTCCGCAACTCCTCCTTATCCCTCTCAACCTCCCCAATAGCCTCCTCCTTCTCTCTCCCCAACCGCTCCACCTCAGCCGCCCACTCCCCTCTCACCTTCTCCAACTCCTCCTTACCCCTCTCCACCTCCTCCTCTCGCTCCTTCAACCTCCCTCTCAACCCCTCCATCTCCCCTTCCATCCCCACCACCATCTCACTCGCCCTACCCGCTGCCATCCTTGCAGCCTCCCTCGCCTCTTCCTCTGCTTCCTTAGCCCCTTCCAACTCATCCCTCAACCCCTGTTCCCTCTCCTCCCCCTCCCTCCTCTCCCTCTCTAAACCCTCCAGCTTTTCCAGCAGCTCTTGCACCTTCCTCTGCGCCTCTCCTTCAGACATTTTCGCGGATTCTTTCACAGCGGCCGCAGTAGCAGCCGCAGCAGCAGCAGCAGCAGCAGCCGCAACAGCAGCAGCCTCCTTAGACTCGGCACTGGCCCGAGCCTCTTTCAACTCTTCCTCAAGCCCCGCTATCCTCTCCTCTTTCTCCCGAACCTCCCCAGTCAAACGTTCCACATCACCCTTCGCCTGCCCGAGTTCATCCTTCACCTGCCCAAGCTCTTCCTTCACCTGCCCAATCTCCCGCTCTTTCTCTCCCAACTCTCCATCCTTAGCCGCTGCCGTCGCCACCGCTGCTGCCGACGCAGCAGCAGCTTCCGCCCTAGCAGCAGCCTCAGCAGCAAGCGCCCCCTCAAAATCCTCCTCAGCCTCCTTCTTCCCCTCCTCACTCTCCTCCAACGCCCTTCTCACTTCCTCTAGCTCTCCCCTCACTTCCTCGAGGGTCTTTTTTGTCTCTAGCAGCTCTTCCCTTGTCTTTTCATGGGCATCCACCTCAGCAGCCAGCCCATGCTTGGTCCCATCCATCCCCTCTGAAAGCGTCTCCACTTTCTCTTTAAGCTGCTCGTTCTCTGCACTCAGATTTTCTTTCTCATCCCTCTCCTTCGCCAAAGCCTCCTCTAGCTCCTTCCTCTCCCCCTCCTTTTTCTCCATCTCCCCCTTTACAGTCACAATCTCCTCATTAGCAGCATCCAAAGCTTTCTGGGTCTCCCCAGCCATAGCCGCAGCCTCGTCCCGAGCCTGCTCCAGCTCGCCCACCCGCACCTCCGCAGCTTCGGCCCGAGCCAGCAGCTCCTTCTCCTTCCCCTCCGCCTCCCTCCTCCTCTCCTCCGCCTCCTCCCTCACACCCTCCAACTCCTTTACCGTCTGCTCCTGCTTCTCCTGCCATCTCTTCGCCTCCTCTTCCAACCCCTCCTTGGCAGCTACGACCTCAGCCAGAGCAGCAGCATGACTCACAATAAGAGCCTCTTTTTCCTTAGTCAATCTCTCCGTCTCTCCCTTTAATCCCTCTCTCTCCTTCTCCAGAGCTTCTATATCCCCCCTCGCCTTCCCCATCTCCTCCTCCCACTCGCTTTTCTCCTTCGCCACTCCTTCCAGCTCGGCCCGAACCTCTGCCAGCTCCGCTTCCCGAGCCTCTGCTTCAGCTTCGGCAGCTGCAACGCCGCCAACAGCAGCAGCGAGCTTTCCTATCAGCACTTCGTTCTCCTTCTTGGAAGCTTCCAGCTCCCCCTTCAATCCCTCGACCGTCCCTTGTGTCTGCTCTAGTTCAGCAGTCAAAGCCTCTTCTCTCTTCTTTCCCTCCTCCTCTCTCTTCTTCCCCTCGTCCCTCTCCTCCCTCACCTTGTTTATTTCCTCCACAAGCCCACCTGCCTCTCCAGACTTACTCTCTAAATCGCTCTTCATCGCATTGTACCGCTCATTCAGTGCCTCGTGATCCTTCTTCAAGGAATCATGCGTGGCAGTCAGCGCTTCCAGCTCAGCATGGATGCCAGCCAGATCAGAATACGATTCTGCCAGCTCAGCAGCTACAGCCGCCCGCCCCTCCTTCTCCTCTACAAGCTCACTCATCAACCCCTCCTTCGCTATAGTCACCTCCTCAATCTTAACCGCCAGAGCTGCCTGCGCTGCCGCTAGCGCAGCACATTCTGACGTCAGCTTTTCGTTTGCTGACTTCAGCTCCTCGTGCTCCGACATCAGCGCTTGGTGCTCTGACGTCAGCACCTCATGTTTCCCCTTCAGCTCTGCCAATTCCTCCTCCCTTCCCCCCAACTCCCCCCTCACCTGCTTCACCTCCTCTTCCAACAAACCCTTCGCTTTAGTCACCTCCTCCACTTCCTTTACTCTCTGCCCTAACTCTCCCTGTGCTGCTGCCAATTGACTTTCAACCGCCTCCCTTGCTGCAATCTCCTCCCTCCGCAGTCTCTCGGTTTCCGTCTTTTCCAATTCTGCCGCTTCCCTACCCATCCCCAATTCTGCCACCTTCCCTTCCATCTCCTCTATCCTCTTATGCAACTCCTCGTTCTCACCTCTCAACTCCTCTAACTCCCTCCTCACCTCATCTCTCTCCTTCACCAAATCATCCCTCCCTTTCCTCACATTCTCAAGCTCTTTCTCCCTCTCCTCCCTCCCTCCTCGCTCCTTCTCCACCTCATCCTCTAATCCCTTCACCTTCTCCTCCAAACCCTTAACCTTCTCCCCCAAAACACCCACCTCCCCAGTCGCAACAACAAGCGCCGCTTCAGCCACACCCTTCCCCTTCCTCTCCTCCTCCACCTCCCTCTCCAGCCCCTCAATCCTCTCCCTCAGTTCCCCCATCTCCCCATTAGCCGCGGCCAAAGCCGCCTCAACCTCCCCCTTTCCCTTCCTCTCTTCCTCCACCTCTCCCTTCAAACCTTCAATCTCCTTCCCCTGCTCGTCTACCCTTTGCTGTAACTCCCCCACCTGTCCATCTCTCTCCGCCACTTTCTCTCTCAAATCCTCCACTTCTTTCAACGATTCTCTAAAAGCTGCCTCCTTCGCCTGTATTACTTCCTCCCTCTCCCGCATTTCCTCCTCTCTCTCCCTTGTCACCTCCTCCAACTCCTTCCCCAACTCCTCATGCTTCCCCTTCCACTCCTCCGCCTCCTTCCTCGCCTCCTCATTCCTCCCTTCCAATGCTGCCATCTCTCTCTCCCTCTCCTCTCCCCTCTCCTTCAACCTCCCTATCTCCCCCTCCGCTTCCTCAACCCTCGCTTGCAGCTTCACTATCTCTCCCTCCGCCGCCCCTTTCTCTCCCCTTACCGCTTCCAATTCACCCTTCAACCCTTCCACTTCCCTCTGCAGCTTCTCGTTCCCATCCTCCATAACATGTAACTCGTTATTCGTCTTATCATGCAGCTGCTGCAGTTCCTCCAGCTCCCGCCCTTGCTCCTCGCATTTGCCTCTCATACCCTCCATTGCCTCTTCCATTTCCGCCTTCTCTTTCGCCAACACCTCTAATTCCTTTCCCCTGGCCTCCCACTCCCCCTTAACCGTTCCCAACTCCTCCATTACCTCTTTGTTCTCCCCCTTAAGGGAGTCAATCTCCTCTTTAAGCTTTTCTAGCTCCTCACACGTCCCTTTATGCTTCCCTTGCAGCCCCTCCAACTCGCTACAAGCCTCCTCGTGTTTCGTTTTAAGTTCATCCAGTTCCTTCTCCGCCTCTGCAGCCTCTTTCCGAGCCCTTTCCACCTCTTCCCTCGCCTCCTCCAGCTCGCCACGTGTCACCTTGTGATTCGCCTCTTCCTCACTAAGCTGCCCGCTAACCTTCTCATTCTCTGACTCAGCAACCAATAGCTCCGCTTCTTTCGCCGCCAGGGCAGCCCGGGCAGCTGCCAGCTCAGCCGTCAAAACTTCCGCGCCTGCCTTGAGAGACTCGACCTCAGCCTTCAGCGGAGCCACCTGCCCGTCCTCAATATCTTTCAAAGCTGCCCGGATTGCTTCTTCTGTCTTAGCCGCCTGCTCCTCCTCCATCTTTTTCTTCATCTTCGCCTTGGCAGACTCGAAGGAAGCCATTTCCTTCTCCATCGCAGCCAGAGCAAGCTGACAGGTGCAGGCGAGAGAATCGGATCGAAAACGGGGAGGAAAGGGAAGGATAGAAAGAGAGGGACCGGGGCGGGCGGGAAGGGAGGGGGGGGAAGGGAGGGGGGAGAGAGGGGCAGGGGAAAGGGAAGTGGGAAGAGTAGGAGGGGTTGGTAGGGAGCATAAAGGGCAGATGAGGCTGTGACAGAGCCAGCCTGCAGCGTTTTCAAGCTTGCACACTCGCACATTCCCCAGTGCACTGCGCACCACTCTTGAGGCGATTCACTTGGCCTCGTTCACATCCCAGTCTCCTATTGGGGTGCCTCAAACACGCAGCACAATACATGCCTTACACACACGTCAACACGTGCCTTACACGCACCTCAACCGTACCTGACACGTGCCTTCACATGCGGTCCCATGCATTCTCCTCACGTCATTCACACTGTCTACCACTCCCATCCACCGCCTTACGTAAATCCTGAGGAATCTCAGCACACTCGTTCTTCTGTTCCAGCCCATATTCCACCCTTTTTTAAAACGCTCAAAAGATCATGAAGTCCTGCGAACTCAAACAAACCACTCGTTATCCGAAGCCTAGACCATCCTTCATCACTCTGAACCCTGGACCACCCTCTCCCACCCCTAACTCCACACCCCCCTCCTCCCCCCCCCACCTGCAGGCTCTTGCTGCACTGCTCGCTGATGACCATCTCCTCCTCCACCACAATAGGCAAAACCCTAGGCTAACCTATACACCCCGAACCCTGAACCAACCTCCTCCACCCCTAACCCTACCCCCGCGCACCTGCAGGCTCTAGCTGCGCTGCTCGTAACATCATCTCCTCCTCCACTACCTTGCACCTGACTTTCTCCATGTGCCGCGCCTTCATCTCCCCTCACCCACCCTTATTCCGAGACTAGACCAACCCTAATCCGAGCCTAATCCGAACCTGCAGGCTCTTGTTGCGCTGTTCGCTGATGACGATCTCCTCCTCCACCACCTTGAGCCGGCTGACCTTCTCCATGTGCCGCGCCTTCAGCGCCGCCAGCTCGAAGTTGCTCAGCTCCAGGTCCTCCTCGAACTTGCGCAGCATCGTCTCCATCTGGTAAGAAGGTGGGGTGGGGTGGTTTTGTGAGAGAGGACAAGCGGTTTAAAGGTGTGGAAGAGCCAGCTCGAAGTTGCTCAGCTCCAGGTCCTCCTCGAATTTGTGCAGCATCGTCTCCATCTGGTTGGAGGATGGTGGGGTTGCCGTCGAGAAACGACGGTAAAACTCCGTTCCGCGTGATTGATTGCAGGTTAATCCCATGCAAATTGAAAGCACAAAATGCAGCATTCTCTTAATTCTTACTCGCATAATCCAACCCGTGTCGTACCTTACGAATTTCTTCACGCGTGTAATTCCCGCCCGGCGAAAACGACCGCTGAGTTGGCGACGCCTTCGCAGCAGCAGGCTTGGCGGACGAGCCTGGGGAAGACAAGCCTAGCGGCTCAGGCTCGGAACCCGCGCGGCTTTTCGCCTTGGCTCGGGAATCCCGAGGCGATTCCTTCGTCCCATCCCTGACAGAACCAGCGGAACCTCCCACAGGGGGGGAATCTTTCGCCCCAGTGGATGCGTCTTTTCTCGCTGCCAATGGTTCCTTGTTTCCGGCTGATGATCCGGCAGTCGTGTGACGTAGCTTAACCTGGGGTAAGAAGGACGAGGAGGAGGAGGAGGAGGACGAAGATGGACCTTTCGAGCTATCACCTGACGATGGTCGAGGGCCTTTCGCTGCGCTAGACCCAACCGGCCGGAGCCCTAACCGGCCAGGTGCCGGCCCTTTAGCTTCCTGCTTCAAGTCTCCCTTAATATCGTCCTTAAAATCTCTGGGTTCTGACGGATTTCCGTCGTAAGACTGCGGACTAGCAAACCCGCCTGAAGGATGCCGGATTAGACCTTCTGTGCTGACAACAGGTCCAGAGGACCGACGCGTGATTTTCGGAAGTTCGCTGGAGGAGCCAGCGCTCGCATTGGCTGCGTGAAGTTTCGCCACGTAAGCAGCGGGAGCTCCTTTATTAGCTGTGACTCGTTTACCGAAGAGGCTGCTGAGCTCCTTTACAGACTTGTTGCTCGGCTCGTCCGGATCCGACGCCATTGTCAAGTGATTCGATTACTTAGGTATTTCTAAACGGAGGAGACGATGAAACAAACAAAAACGCACACAGGAAACCGCTACTAGGTCTGGACACAAAGGTTTGTAATGTAGGAAAAAAACACACGATGAGTTCCAGAACGTGAGTGAGATTCCACTGGGAACCCTCGCGCAGTTACCCTACGATGTTAACACTACCAAGCGTCAGCCCCAGCACAGAAACCCGACAGAACGAATAGTGCCATGAGGACAAGTCATGCTTAGACGAAGCCTCTACTACACACGCCTGAGAATACCGCAGCTGCGGCACGAAATACTGCAGAAATAGTGTCACCGGTGCCTGAACTGAATGGAGCACCTTGCCTGCAGCAACCAGAACTGTACTTTCCCTGCGAGCAAGAAGAAACCTTTTTTCCACCACACGCCACCCCAGCACCACAGGGGATCTTGTTTTGCACAGCCTGACTGGTTGTGGCCGAGAGATGCTGCAACGGTGGTGCTGCTAGAAGTTGGGTGCTGTGCACTGGGATGCGGTGAAGTGGGAAATTCACTCCCCTCCTGGCTGGCATGTGAACGTGAACCCAGGCCTCCGACATAACCGTTACAATTGCGAGACCACAACTGATTAAAACGCAACAAACCGATATGCACCTGATGGTATGCTGGTTGATTGAAAGCTATGGTCATCAGGTTTCTTCTTGCGTGCGGATTGGATGAGAGCAAGCGGTGAGTCATATTTTCGCGGGAACTGCTGTCAAGACCTATGCGCCAATACCGTAATTCCCCAATTTTCCAATGTGTGACTAGAACGAAATTTCTTTATTCGCTTCACTCACTGGACTGATGGCGCGGAATTTGGGACCGAGGAACCAAGCAGGCGGAATATGCTCGAAACTTCTACATGTGACCTGCTCACGGAAGTGCCGTGCCGTGCCGTGACAACCATCATCACATCACCTTCCTGGCCCACAACACAACCATCACAGTCCGTCGGGGGAATTTTTTTACAGCACAAAAGCATGATCTTTTAAAATATTACAATGTAGCATAATTACGCAAGGAAAAGGAGTGGAAACGGGAAGAGAGGAGAAAAGGAGGAATAACGTGAGTAGAAAAAAGGAGAGAGGAAGAAAGGAGGAGGGGAATAGGGGAAAAATGATAGGAGGAAGAAAAACAGGGAAGAAGGAAGAAAAAGCAGCACACACAACCCCAAGAAAACCCCAATAGCACACACATTTAAAACACCATCAAGCCCTCCCATCAAAGCACCCCAACTGCACTCCCATCGAACCAAACCTCCCCCCCTAAACCCACTCCCTAAACCCGCATGTCTACCAAGTATGGTGCATCCGCCCACGGAGCATCCCATCCCATCTCCTCCTCAACATCCTCCCGCTCCACCCAAACAGCCTCTGGGCCTCTCATCATCGACGCCGCGCGTAACAAGATCACACGCGCCTGAGCCCGTTGCAAAGCCACACCCACAGCCGCTTTGAGCGATCCGAGCAAATAAGCCGAGAAACCCTTTCCCGTAGCTCGCGCCGCCCCTTTCGTCTTTGCTATCTCGATCTGCGCGTCACCCTGCTTCTTAAGCCACCGTCCAAAACTCCCCCCCAAGCATCCCCATGTCTCAGCAATGAGTGGTGTGAACTGCACTCCCCCATGCCGCTGTAGAAGCGATTTGTAGTCCGCCGTCTTCCGCTTTTCTCTCTCTCTCGCGGCAAAACCCACCTTGCGACCAATCTGTCCATGGTGCTGCGCGGATAGCGAGATAGGATCTACCACACTAACCTCCAGCGCGTGCTCCTCCCCCTCCCTCAGTTTCCGAACCGCCACATCAACCCTCTTCCCTGGGAGCAACGTGTCGTCTTCCATGGTCACAATCCCACCCGCACCCTTAGCTATCTTCGCCACCACAAATTTAACCGCATCGTGAACCCGAGAAGGTGCATACTGATACTTGCAGCGAAGGGCATGATGCGGGTCAGAGGGATCAGCAAACTCAAACCCACACGCGCACTTGCCGGCCACTATCAGCTGCTGAATAGGGAGGCCTAGGCGCATGGACGCGCATAGGCATCAGCTGCGGTGAAGGTAGCCTCCTCGTGCGAAGGAACGGCAGAAACCCACGCCCCAGCCCCCGGGCCCTGAAGGGATGTCAAACGGGCCAGGGTGGCATCGTTGTGGGCCATGCCTCGAAGAGATTGGAGGCTCTCAACCGCCAGGCGACGGTGTTGTGTGGGGAAGAGCAGCATAGGCGGATCAGCGGTGCACAAGGCAAGGGGTGGCATCTCCTGCCGAACCGACTGTGGAAGCAGATCCACTGCTCTCGCAAACCAGGGGTCCAACAAGGTCGTAGCCTCGGGCGTGCGGAAAAACTCCTCAAACATCCGCTCCTCACCTGCCACCCCCAACCGAGCCACATCGCTCACTGCTTGGCACCAGCCACATGCATACGACAGAGGACTAAGGTCAGCCGCAGATCGAATGCCGAACCCCCCGAGTCTGGCAGGAAGGTGCAGCTGTAAACGAGCCATCTGGGACTTCCCAGGTACTATCTGGAAACAGCTCCTCGAAACAATCTTCCAGCTTCGTGTCCCAGTCCCGAAAAGCCTCCACAACCTCAGGTCGTGGAGGCATCGTCCGTGTGAGGTAGATCGGGCGCGCCGACACTGCGATCGCCAACAAATGGGACGCAATCTGTGGGTGGTCAAGCAGAGGAAGCCAGGGGACAGGTGCATGCAGCTCCGTCAGCCGGCGACGCAGGCTAGCCACCTCCCAGTCCTCCTCCCCAATGGGCACCCCTACCACAGTGAGCCCCGTCCATGTCTGCTGCATGCCGGGCGGGACAGTCTCATTTCTCTCCTCCCCATCCTGGTCCCTCCCTCGCTCCCATAGCTTACACTTATGCGGCTGCACCTCCAAACCCAGCCCGTCCAGTCGTTCCCGCAAGGCCTCATAGGCTGCTAGAACCTGTTCCCTAGGCCCCAGGATATACGTATCGTCAGCATAGCTGAGGAAGCATAAGTCGGCGTACTCCGTTTTGGTTGGTTCCATAACCAGCTGCTGTGTGAACGCGAACAGAAACGGACCCAATGGATCCCCTTGCCTCGAGCCCCGCTCGGAAGCCAAAGCTTCGACAAAAGGGCCCGCTCGGAGATAGAGGTCGCTAGGAGTGCCGTAGAAGACACGCAGAAATGGAATCAATCCCTTGAAAGGCGACTGTCGAAGACCCTCAAACATTTCCCGCCGATGGAAGGAGTTGAAAGCGTTCGCCACGTCAATTTGCAGCGCGCACCACGACGGGTGAGTAGAGATGGCGGAGCGAAAGGCATGTGCGAGGACTTCCACTCCCGACCTGGACCCGACTCCAAACTGGTTACACGGAGCAAAGTGCGACATCATCTTCGGGCGAAGCACGATGCATATGGCCCGAGATAGTATGCGGGGGAGCACCTCGCCTATAGCCACCGGGCGAACGTCACCATTCGGCTTCGACAGGCCCACCAAGTTGGACGCAGTGAGCCAGGGTCGCACGCGCTCCGCTACCTCTCCCTTGGTCCACTGGGTGAAGACCTCTAGCAGGTGGGACAGATACGCGGGCTCAGAGAGAAAAGTGTCGCGCAGGTGCTCCGTCACCCACCCCGACGGTCCTGGTGCGGACGCCCTAGCCGCTGAGTGGATCGCCTGGCCGAGTACCTCCACTGAGAGCTGTGGGATAAGGGAAGGCTCGACTGTCTCCTCCTGCACCCACCCAGGAATGGCGGACTCGCACGATGGGTGTTTCGCTCGTAGCGCGTCCACCATGTGCTGAGAGGGCTGAGCGATGCTACCAGCCGTAAGGCACGCCAAACCCCGACTCCATTCTCCCACTTTGCACCTTGTACGGCAGCGGGATAGGCGCACGGCATCAGGATCATGCTCGGGTGGGGTGAAGGACAAGGGGCGAGCCGCAGGTTGCATCGCCGCCACCGCCAACTCAAACAGCTGCTGCCACTCCCCAGCCCAAAACTTCTCCAACCGCTCCCTAATTGCCGCCCTCTGCCCCTGGCCTTGCCCGGTTGGAATCCCCAAGAAAAGACGAGGGAAGGCCAAAAACACCAAGGATGCCGCCTCGTCTGCTGCCTTTGACTTGAGCCGCTTCAGGATACAAGCTAGTGCATCAAGCACCCCCAGTCTTGCGCGCTGTGGGATGCGACGCATGATTCTCCCTGGCACCAATTCGATCCCGAAAAACGACTCCCAGTCCCATGTGGGAACTGCGGCCCACACCTCTTCACTGATATCCCGTGGTGGCGGAGGTTCGCTGTCCGAGTCGTCTGTGACGTCGCGGGTCAACCCAAGCGCCTGTGCACGGCGCTTGGCGTCCGCTGCCCTGCAGGCCGACATATGACGCGTGGCCTTTCCTCTCTCCGTGAAAGTGCGATAACAGGTTTCGCACGGGATGTGGGGCAGGGGTGTCAGCATAGGGTCTGGGTGCTCCTCTCCACTCGAACACGCCGGCAAGACCTGTCTGCTCGACTCCATCTCCATCTCCCCCTCTGGCAGCCTCGCAAGCTGCACCCCATCGGGCAGCTCCTGCTGCCCTCCGCTCTGCAGCTGCTGCTGCCCTCCGCTCTGCAGCTGCTGCTGCCCTCCGCTCTGCAGCTGTTGCTGCCCTCCGCTCTGCAGCTGCTGCTGCCCTCCGCACTGCAGCTGCAGCTGCCCCCCACTCTGCAGCCGCTGCTGCCCTCCGCTCTGCAGCTGCTGCTGCCCTCCGCTCTGATTGGGCTGCTGCCCTCCACTCTGCAGCTGCTGCTGCCCTCCGCTCTGCAGCTGCTGCTGCCCTCCGCTCTGCAGCTGCTGCTGCCCTCCGCTCTGATTGGGCTGCTGCCCTCCACTCTGCAGCTGCTGCTGCCCTCCGCTCTGCAGCTGCTGCTGCCCTCCGCTCTGATTGGGCTGCTGCCCTCCGCCCTGCAGCTCATGCTGCCCTCCGCTCTGCAGCTGCTGCTGCCCTCCGCTCTGCAGTTGCTGCTGCCCTCCGCTCTGATTGGGCTGCTGCCCTCCGCTCTGCAGCTGCTGCTGCCCTCCGCTCTGATTGGGCTGCTGCCCTCCGCTCTGCAGCTGCTGCTGCCCTCCGCTCTGCAGCTCCTGCTGCCCTCCGCTCTGCAGCTGCTGCTGCCCTCCGCTCTGCAGCTGCTGCTGCCCTCCGCTCTGCAGCTGCTGCTGCCCTCCGCTCTGCAGTTGCTGCTGCCCTCCGCTCTGCAGCTGCTGCTGCCCTCCGCCCTGCAGCTCATGCTGCCCTCCGCTCTGCAGCTCATGCTGCCCTCCGCTCTGCAGCAGTTGCTGCTGCCCTCCGCTCTGCAGCTGCTGCTGCCCTCCGCTCTGCAGCTCCTGCTGCCCTCCGCTCTGCAGCTGCTGCTGCCCTCCGCCCTGCAGCTCATGCTGCCCTCCGCTCTGCAGCAGTTGCTGCTGCCCTCCGCTCTGATTGGGCTGCTGCCCTCCGCTCTGCAGCTGCTGCTGCCCTCCGCTCTGATTGGGCTGCTGCCCTCCACTCTGCAGCTGCTGCTGCCCTCTGCTCTGCAGCTGCTGCTGCCCTCCGCTCTGCAGCTGCTGCTGCCCTCCGCTCTGATTGGGCTGCTGCCCTCCACTCTGCAGCTGCTGCTGCCCTCCGCTCTGCAGCTGCTGCTGCCCTCCGCTCTGATTGGGCTGCTGCCCTCCGCCCTGCAGCTCATGCTGCCCTCCGCTCTGCAGCAGTTGCTGCTGCCCTCCGCTCTGCAGTTGCTGCTGCCCTCCGCTCTGATTGGGCTGCTGCCCTCCGCTCTGCAGCTGCTGCTGCCCTCCGCTCTGATTGGGCTGCTGCCCTCCGCTCTGCAGCTGCTGCTGCCCTCCGCTCTGCAGCTGCTGCTGCCCTCCGCTCTGCAGCTGCTGCTGCCCTCCGCTCTGATTGGGCTGCTGCCCTCCGCCCTGCAGCTCCTGCTGCCCTCCGCACTGCAGCTGCTGCTGCCCTCCGCTCTGATTGGGCTGCTGCCCTCCGCCCTGCAGCTCCTGCTGCCCTCCGCTCTGCAGCTGCTGCTGCCCTCCCCTCTGCAGCTGTAGCAGTTTGGTTGCCCGTCGCCTCCGGCCCCGCCCCCGCACTCGGGGCCTTTCCGCTTGGTCCGAGGAGTCGGGGTTGGCATTCTCCCCCTCCATGGGGCTTGATTCCAGCTCGTCGGTGCCTGCCTCGTCCACCATCTCCACATCGCTCACCCACAATGTCTCTTGCTGCCCTCCACTCTGCTCCTCCTGATGCCCTCCACTCTGCTCCTCCTGATGCCCTCCACTCTGCTCCTCCTGATGCCCTCCACTCTTCTCCTCCTGATGCCCCCCACTCTGCTCCTCCTGATGCCCCCCACTCTGCTCCTCCTGATGCCCTCCACTCTGCTCCTCCTGATGCCCTCCACTCTGCTCCTCCTGATGCCCTCCACTCTGCTCCTCCTGATGCTCCCCACTCTGCTCCTCCTGATGCCCTCCACTCTGCTCCTCCTGATGCCCTCCACTCTGCTCCTCCTGATGCCCTCCACTCTGCTCCTCCTGATGCCCTCCACTCTGCTCCTCCTGATGCCGCACACTCTGCTCCTCCTGATGCCCCCCACTCTGCTCCTCCTGATGCCCCCCACTCTGCTCCTCCTGATGCCCCCCACTCTGCTCCTCCTGATGCCCCCCACTCTGCTCCTCCTGATGCCCTCCACTCTGCTCCTCCTGATGCCCTCCACTCTGCTCCTCCTGATGCCCTCCACTCTGCTCCTCCTGATGCCCTCCACTCTGCTCCTCCTGATGCCCTCCACTCTGCAGCTCCTGCTGCCCTCCACTCTGCAGCTCCTGCTGCCCTCCACTCTGCAGCTCCTGCTGCTCTCCACTCTGCAGCTCCTGCTGCTCTCCACTCTGCAGCTCCTGCTGCCCTCCACTCTGCTCCTCCTGATGCCCTCCACTCTGCTCCTCCTGATGCCCTCCACTCTGCTCCTCCTGATGCCCTCCACTCTGCTCCTCCTGATGCCCTCCACTCTGCTCCTCCTGATGCCCTCCACTCTGCTCCTCCTGATGCCCTCCACTCTGCTCCTCCTGATGCCCTCCACTCTGCTCCTCCTGATGCCCTCCACTCTGCAGCTCCTGCTGCCCTCCACTCTGCAGCTCCTGCTGCCCTCCACTCTGCAGCTCCTGCTGCTCTCCACTCTGCAGCTCCTGCTGCTCTCCACTCTGCAGCTCCTGCTGCTCTCCACTCCGCAGCTCATGCTGCCCTCCCCTCTGCAGCTCCTGCTGTGCTCTGCTTTGCAGCTGACGCTGCCCTCCACTCCGCAGCTGCTGCTGCCCTCCGCCCTGCAGCTGCTGCTGCCCTCCGCTCTGCAGCTCCTCCTGCCCTCCACTCTGCAGCTCCTGCTGCCCTCCACTCTGCAGCTCCTGCTGCCCTCCACTCTGCAGCTCCTGCTGCTCTCCACTCTGCAGCTCCTGCTGCTCTCCACTCTGCAGCTCCTGCTGCTCTCCACTCCGCAGCTCATGCTGCCCTCCCCTCTGCAGCTCCTGCTGTGCTCTGCTTTGCAGCTGACGCTGCCCTCCACTCCGCAGCTGCTGCTGCCCTCCGCCCTGCAGCTGCTGCTGCCCTCCGCTCTGCAGCTGCTGCTGCCCTCTGCTCTGCAGCTGCTGCTGCCCTCCGCCCTGCAGCTCATGCTGCCCTCCGCTCTGCAGCAGTTGCTGCTGCCCCCCACTCTGCAGCTGCTGCTGCCCTCCGCTCTGCAGCTGCTGCTGCCCTCCGCTCTGCAGTTGCTGCTGCCCTCCGCTCTGCAGCTGCTGCTGCCCTCCGCCCTGCAGCTCATGCTGCCCTCCGCTCTGCAGCAGTTGCTGCTGCCCTCCGCTCTGCAGCTGCTGCTGCCCCCCACTCTGCAGCTGCTGCTGCCCTCCGCTCTGCAGTTGCTGCTGCCCCCCACTCTGCAGCTGCTGCTGCCCTCCGCTCTGCAGCTCCTGCTGCCCTCCGCTCTGCAGCCGCTGCTGCCTCGTCCCCTCCGGCGGCTGTCGGCCTCTTTCCCGGCTCCCCTGCTGTCCGCCCGCCTGCAGGTCCCACCGGCCCCCCACCGGCGGCTCCCGTTGCCTGTCTCTTCCTGCCGCCCTCCGACGCCGCCATTCCTGCCGCCGTGCGAGACGTGGCACGACTAGGGGAGAGTCGACGTCGGTCGAGCAGGCACTGTGCCGCGTTACGCTCTCAGGTAGGCCACTCCTGCGAGTGTTGTGCTGTTGTTGCAAGCGCCTACGATGCTCTTCCCAAGCTGCCCTCGCAGCCTCCAATGCCACATCGGCGGCCAGACTCTTGTCGCCCATTGCTTCTCCCCCCTCTTCGTTGACGGCCGAAGGCTCTGAGACGCCGCTCTGGCCAGCCCGGTTGCTGGGGGGGTTCTTGGGGGATTGTCCACCTGTAATTGCTGAAATCGGGCGGTTCGCTTCAAAACACCGCCTCTTGGGTGGTTTGCCGAAGAGGCACAGAATGTCTTCGTGGCGGAGGCGACAGATGCGTGGGCTCTGGAGCGCACCCTCAGGCCCCCCCCGTCTTTTGTGGCCAGCCCCTAGGCAGAGCGACCCCGTGACTGCCGCCGTGCTTGTCCCCCCTTTGCCCCCGATGGCCTCCGTCGTGCCGTTGTTTGCGCCGTCTCCCGCCCAGACCCCGGGGTCCCCGGGGCCTGGGTCGTCTTCCATGATAGCGTTTCAGGTGGTACCTGGTCGTTTCTGCGGCGATTCCGCCCTGCTGAGGCGAGATCGCGCTGCCTGGTGGCGTCGAGGCGCTGCTAAGGGGCGATTTCGCGCTGCCTAAGGCGTCTGGCGCTGCTGAGGCGAGATCGCGCTGCCTGGTGGCGTCTGGCGCTGCTAGGGGGCGATTTCGCGCTGCCTAAGGCGTCTGGCGCTGCTAGGGGGCGAGATCGCGCTCCCTGGTGGCGTCTGGCGCTGCTGAGGCGAGATCGCGCTGCCTGGTGGCGTCTGGCACTGCTAAGGGGCGATTTCGCGCTGCCTAAGGCGTCTGGCGCTGCTGAGGCGAGATCGCGCTGCCTGGTGGCGTCGAGGCGCTGCTAAGGGGCGATTTCGCGCTGCCTAAGGCGTCTGGCGCTGCTGAGGCGAGATCGCGCTGCCTGGTGGCGTCTGGCGCTGCTAGGGGGCGATTTCGCGCTGCCTAAGGCGTCTGGCGCTGCTGAGGCGAGATCGCGCTGCCTGGTGGCGTCTGGCGCTGCTAGGGGGCGATTTCGCGCTGCCTAAGGCGTCTGGCGCTGCTGAGGCGAGATCGCGCTGCCTGGTGGCGTCGAGGCGCTGCTAAGGGGCGATTTCGCGCTGCCTAAGGCGTCTGGCGCTGCTGAGGCGAGATCGCGCTGCCTGGTGGCGTCGAGGCGCTGCTAAGGGGCGATTTCGCGCTGCCTAAGGCGTCTGGCGCTGCTGAGGCGAGATCGCGCTGCCTGGTGGCGTCGAGGCGCTGCTAAGGGGCGATTTCGCGCTGCCTAAGGCGTCTGGCGCTGCTGAGGCGAGATCGCGCTGCCTGGTGGCGTCGAGGCGCTGCTAAGGGGCGATTTCGCGCTGCCTAAGGCGTCTGGCGCTGCTGAGGCGAGATCGCGCTGCCTGGTGGCGTCTGGCGTTTGATGGCCGTATCGCCACATTCCCGCCTCGTCAGCAGCGCTGTCGATTCATTACGCCTATACGGTGATGTAAATTGTTTGTATGGGAGGTATAGAAATATTTGACATTAAAAAATCATGAATATGATGGAACATTTGCACCTTGTGGATGATGGATCAACAAAACTACACAAGGCACACATGGTGCCTAAAATATATCCAACTTTTACGCTCGTGAGTCAAGTTATCTAACCACAAACTTTCCTGTTCATGGCCTCACAAAACCCATTCAAACTAATTTCCGTCAATGGAGCACCTTTATCCATGCGCCACTTCCATTCGTGCAAGGACCCTCCTTGAAACTGTTCAATCCTACGGCTTGTTAGCATCGCCATCAGCCTCCTCCGGCGCAAACAGGTCCAGCACACCGGACCAGTCCCGCTTCTCCCGCCGCTCCCAGTATCCCCCAGTGTACCGCCAGGCATTGTTTGGCCCTATAGGCTTGAACCACCGAGGGCCCCACCCTGGTTCCCCATCTTTGAGCGCCTGTTTGCAGGGGGGTATGGAAGGGGGCACGGGACGACTTAAGAAGCAATACCATGGGGCACGGGACGACTTAAGAAGCAATACCATGGGGCACGGGACGACTTAAGAAGCAATACCATGGGGCACGGGACGACTTAAGAAGCAATACCATTACTTCTATTGATTATGGGGCCCGCACCCAGTTTCTTTCCCAAATCGAGGACAGATGGTGAAGGGCCAAAAGAAGGAACAGAGCAGTGTAGCTCAGTGCATGAGACTCACCTTGCGCTGGCGCTGCTCGAGACGGCACTTCTCCTGGTTGGCAAAGTCGTACCACCCCTCCAGGACCGTGCCCACTTCTCCAGCGCCCTCTACTGCTGTCGGTGTAACAGGACCGTGCACCTCTAGGTACAAGACATACCTTGCGCTGGCGCTGCTCGAGGCGGCACTTCTCCTGGTTGGCAAAGTCATACCGCCCCTCCTCCAGTGCCCTCTGGTCCTCCCTCAGCCGTGAGTCAGTGGGGGGCAGTAACTCCTGTGGGAGGGGGGAGGAGGGGATAGGGGAGGAGGCGGGAGTACAGGTGTGAACTCAGGTCATACCGCCCCTCCTCCAGCGCCCTCTGGTCCTCCCTCAGCCGCGAGTCCGTGGGGGGCAGTAACTCCTGTGGGCAGCAGAAAAGGGGGATGATAGGGGAGGAAGTGTAGGCAAATGGAAGGTAACATCGAATGGGAGAACCACCGATGACAGGTCCCAACAAACGAGTTCATTTTACACCCCTACAACGTTACCCGTATTCTCAAAGACGCCTCACAAGTCGACCCACAGGGGCAATCTAGGGCCACCCACACACAACCGTCGACCCTCTCACCTTGAGCCCAGGAGTGAGCTCGTTGAGTGTGATTGTAAAGGGCGTGAACTTGTACTTCAGGTTGGGCTGCACGAGGTTCTTTTTCCAGATGAGCTGTGCCGTGGCCAGCACCTCACTCTCCTCCTTGGCTGATCCCACCTCTCATCAACATGCGCTTCTTGTTCCCTCCCCTGCCTCAAAACCCCACCCACAAAAGCCAGTTCCAGCCTTTCTCAGACACTCCCCGACCCTCTCACCTTGAGCCCAGGAGTGAGCTCGTTGAGCGTGATTGTAAAGGGCGTGAACTTGTACTTCAGGTTGGGCTGCACGGGGTTCTTTTTCCAGATGAGCTGTGCCGTGGCCAGCACCTCACTCTCCTCCTTGGCTGATCCCCCACCTCCCATCAGCGTGCCCTGCTCGTTCCCTCCCCTGCCTCAAAACCCCACCCGCAAAAGCCATTTCCAGCCTTTCTCAGACACGCCCCGACCCTCTCACCTTGAGCCCAGGAGTGAGCTCGTTGAGCGTGATTGTAAAGGGCGTGAACTTGTACTTCAGGTTGGGCTGCACGGGGTTCTTTTTCCAGATGAGCTGTGCCGTGGCCAGCACCTCACTCTCCTCCTTGGCTGATCCCCCACCTCCCATCAGCGTGCCCTGCTCGTTCCCTCCCCTGCCTCAAAACCCCACCCGCAAAAGCCATTTCCAGCCTTTCTCAGACACGCCCCGACCCTCTCACCTTGAGCCCAGGAGTGAGCTCGTTGAGCGTGATTGTAAAGGGCGTGAACTTGTACTTCAGGTTGGGCTGCACGGGGTTCTTTTTCCAGATGAGCTGTGCCGTGGCCAGCACCTCACTCTCCTCCTTGGCTGATCCCCCACCTCCCATCAGCGTGCCCTGCTCGTTCCCTCCCCTGCCTCAAAACCTCACCCGCAAAAGCCATTTCCAGCCTTTCTCAGACACGCCCCGACCCTCTCACCTTGAGCCCAGGAGTGAGCTCGTTGAGCGTGATTGTAAAGGGCGTGAACTTGTACTTCAGGTTGGGCTGCACGGGGTTCTTCTTCCAGATGAGCTGTGCCGTGGCCAGCACCTCACTCTCCTCCTTGGCCGTCTTGCTCGTCAGATCCCCCGGCACGTAGTGCATGTGCTGGTCCCACCTCCCCATCAGCGTGCCCTGCTCGTCCCCTGCCTCGTTCTGCACCAGGCCCCGCACCTGGGGGGATGGAGGGGAGGGGTTAAAGGAAGAGTGGGGGGAACAAGGAAGGGAGGGACGAGTACGGCGGCTGGGATGAGGGAAAAGGATTCCATCAGGTCTCTCCCCACCCCCCCACCTCCCCCGGCACGTAGTGCATGTGCTGATCCCACCGCCCCATCAGCGTCCCCTGCTCATCCCCTGCCTCGTTTTGCACCAGTCCGCGCACCTGGGGGTATGGAAGGAAGGAAAAGAAGGGTTGAACAAGGGAGAGTAAGTCAAAGAACGAGAAATCTAGCTGATGCCCGCCCGTGACTCAGTTTCTTGCTTCTTGCTCATGCGGGTTACCATACGCGTGTGAGCTGGTGTGGGTAGTTCATCATGCCAAATGCAGGTTGTTATTTTTGTACCTGGCACAGACCTGATGCGGTTGACTGCTTACCTGGTGCGGGTTCCTATCAAAGGTGGAGCGCTCTTTGAATCGCAGGCGGGCAGAGTACCCGCGGTTGCCCTTGATGCGCATCGTGCCGTAGTGCTCCCTCATGCCCGTGACTCAATACCTCACAACCTCACATCATCAGTTCCTTGAATCTTCCTCATTCCAGTCTGTGTGCATCTGTGCGCTGTAGCTGCTGCAGCTTGTTCGAAAGTCCCAATTGATCCCACACCTGGTGCGGGTTCCTATCAAAGGTGGAGCGCTCTTTGAATCGCAGGCGGGCAGAGTAGCCGCGGTTGCCCTTGATGCGCATCGTGCCGTAGTGCTCCACAAAGGGGGTCGTCTGTGTGTGTGCTGTACCTGATGAGGATTCCTGTCGAAAGTAGATCGCTCTTTGAAGCGCAGGCGGGCAGAGTACCCGCGGTTGCCCTTGATGCGCATGGTGCCATAGTGCTCCACAAAGGGCTTCCCCAGAATGAGGTTCTGAATCAGCACCGTCACCTGATGGGGGGGAAAGGATGGGAAGAAGGGTCTGGAAGTCAGAGCGGGCACGGGGGGAGTTGGGGCGTGTTGCCCTTGATGCGCATGGTGCCGTAGTGCTCCACAGAGGGCTTCCCCAGAATGAGGTTCTGGGTGGGAGGAAAGGAGTGCAGGGAGAGGGGGTGAAAATGGGGGAAAAGGGTGGTGAAAGGGCAAGAAGCAGGGGAAGAGAGGTCAGAGGGGGGATGTGGGGAATCGGGGCGTGTTGCCATTGATGCGCATGGTGCCGTAGTGCTCCACAAAGGGCTTTCCCAGAACGAGGTTCTGAATCAGCACCGTCACCTGATGGGAAATGGGGGAAGGGGGGAGTGAGGGGGTGGGGAGAAGCAGGAGCGATAATGTTGAGGGCACTAGATCCTTGAAGATCTTTAATAACGTTGGTCTGTGAGGGATGATGATGCACATTGCTCCACCACACACTACCATTGCTTCCTTCACAGGATGAGTCCGAAATCCAAATCATACTGTCGGAATAACTTTGACACTTATAAGACTCACATTGCTCCACTCGTGCGTCTCCCCGTCGTCGAACTGCACAGTCAGCACGCCCACAGGGTCCGGCTGGATGGACGGCCCCCAGAATCGAACTCCACGGCCACAATAACCTTCATAAACAGTCAAACACACTCGTATTACTCACATTGCTCCACTCGTACGTCTCCCCGTCGTCAAACTGCACAGTCAGCACGCCCACAGGGTCCAGCTGGATGGACAGCCCTCGAAATCAAAGCCCAGCCTCACATAAACCCTAACAACATATTAATATACACTCGTATTAATCAAATCACTACACTAGTAAGCATTTACTCACATTGCTCCACTCGTACGTCTCCCCGTCGTCGAACTGCACGGTAAGGACCCCCACAGGGTCTAGCTGGATGGACGGCCCCCAGAATCGAATCTTGGGGCACACGTCCCCCCAGAACTTCCACCCTGTGCCGTCCACGTGCCAGGCTATCATTGGCGGGTAGTGCACCACCTGCGGACAGGGGAGGCGCGGTCAAGAGGGAGTGAGATGAGGGAAAGGGGAGGAGGGGGAGAGCAGGAGGGGGGTTGGAGAAGGTGAGAAGAAGCAGGGAGGGAGAGAAGAGGGAAAGGAACGAGAATTATTATGGTAACGCATGCCCTGGAATGATGCGGCTGGGCTTGTGAAAAACTCCAAAAACGCAACGCATCACTCAGAGATGTAACGAACCGATTCTGAGATGTAACGAATGCCCTTGTCAGGATAGTCCCCTTCGGTGGTCTCCCCCAGCAGCGGGTTGAAGGGCTTGTGCATGCGCCCCTCGTTGCCTGAATAGCGCGACACTGCAAAAGCTGCCACATGTGCTGCTCGCATCAACCGGTTACCCTGCTCGTGGGGGATGGAGGAGAAAGGAGGGAGGAGATGTATGGAATGCTCAAAGTGGTGTTGTTTCTGCATGTCACGTGTGCTGCTCACATCAAGCCGTGGCTGTGCTTAGGAAGGGGAGAGAACAGGGAGATGGGAATATTTGAATGGTTTTACAGCCACGAGTACTCAGGCATCTCCTCATACTCGTACCAAGGTCCCAACCCAACCCAACACAACTGAACCGAAATTAAAGTATCCCACCAACCAAACCCAACCAAACCCAACATAACCGCGACTCACCCTTCGGCCGTACTCTGCCGCCCGGTCGAGCAGCCACGAGTACTGGAGCATCTTGAGGTACTTACGACTCGAGCTGAGGGGCTTGTTGAAGTTAACCTGGTTACCACTACAGCGTAATTACTCAAACTGGCTCGCACAGTCCATTTCTCCCCTGCTAGGCACTCACCCTTCGGCCATACTCCGCGGCCCGGTCCAGCAGCCACGAGTACTCGAGCATCTCCAGATATTTCTGGCTCGAGCTGAGCGGCTCGTTGAAGTTAACCTGGTTATCACTAAGCTGGTTATCACTAAGCTGGTTACCACTAAGCTGGTTACCACTAAGCTGGTTACCACTAAGCTGGTTACCACTAAGCTGGTTACCACTAACCTGGTTACCACTAGTAGCAACTCACCCTCCGGCCGTACTCCGCGGCCCGGTCCAGCAGCCACGAGTACTGGAGCATCTCGAGATACTTATGACTCGAGCTGAGGGGCTCGTTGAAGTTAACCTGGTTACGGGGGGGAGACCTTGAACATGTCCTTGCCCATGCACTCCTTGAGCACCAACCCAACCCAACCCAACCGAGTCCAACCGAGCCCAACCCAGCCCTGGAGAAACCAACCCAGCCCAATTACAACTCACCCTCCGGCCATACTCCGCCGCCCTATCCAGCAGCCATGAATATTTCAGCATCTCGAGGTACTTCTGGCTCGAGCTGAGCGGCTCGTTGCAGTCAACCTGGTTATCACTATCACTACCTTTCTCCACCCCTCCCAGTCACTCACCCTCCGGCCATACTCCGCAGCCCTATCCAGCAGCCATGAGTATTCCAGCATCTCGAGGTACTTCTGGCTCGAGCTGAGCGGCTCGTTGAAGTTGACGGGCAGGGAGACCTTGAACATGTCCTTGCCCATGCACTCCTTGAGCACGGACCACAGGCTCAAAGGCCTCTCCTCCTCCTCCGGTTCGGGCAGCTTCACTCGCCTTGGTACATGCGGGTAACTGAACCCCACCTGAGGGGTTGGGGCCGAGCAGGTGTTGTGAGTGGGGGGATACAGGGAGCGAGGTGAGGGGAGTTAGGAAGGAGGGAGATATCCAGGCGCCTCAGAAGCAGCCACAACCTCCATACCTTGCCTGGCGAACATCGCTGTGTCCAACGCCTTATAGAACTCATCGTCATGGTTACTGTCCATGTCCCCCTCGACTCTCTCCCTGGTTCCCCTCGCCCCTATCAGTTCCCACATCCTCCCTCCTCCGCCACCTCCCACCATCTCACCTCTTCGATATCCAACACTCGTTTCACCATGCCCTGCCCGGCAAACTCCGTCATCGCCTCGTAAAACTCGTCGTTACAGTCACTGTCCGTGTCCCCCTCATCCTCGTCCGTATCGCGCACCGTCGACGTCAGCCGCGGCTCCTTCCGCGCCCTGCCGCCACCCCCGGCGGCTTGCGCGCCTGGATCGTCGTCCCCCTCGTCGTCCCCGTCATCTTGGTCGAACGTGCTGTCTGCATCGTCGTCTTCTTCGCCCACTGGGAGTAAACGGGGGAAGATGGAGGAAGGGGGCGAGCGCGAGAGAGTGAACGTAAGGAAGAGTGGGGCGCCCTCGTCGTCGCCGTCATCTTGGTCGAACGTGCTATCTGCATCGTCGTCCTCCTCGCCCACTGCAGGGAGACGGGACGAGGGTCGGCGGAATGGGGGAACAGCAGTAAGAGGGCAAAAGGGCAATGTTTTTGCTAGTAAAGTAGAGCCTTCGACTCGTCGTCCCCCTCTTCGTCCCCACAAGGGAGACGTGTTTGCCAGTGAAGCAGAGAGCCCGGGTCGTCGTCCCCCTCGTCGTCCCCCTCATCGTCCCCGTCATCTTGGTCGAACGTGCTGTCTGCATCGTCGTCCTCCTCGCCCACTGGGGGAAATGGGGAGGGCACAAGGGAGACGTGTTTGCCAGTGAAGCAAAGCGCCCGGGTCGTCGTCCCCCTCGTCGTCCCCCACATCGTCGCCGTCATCTTGGTCGAACGTGCTGTCTGCATCGTCGTCCTCCTCGCCCACTGGGGGAAATGGGGAGGGCACAAGGGAGACGTGTTTGCCAGTGAAGCAAAGCGCCCGGGTCGTCGTCCCCCTCGTCGTCCCCCACATCGTCGCCGTCATCTTGGTCGAACGTGCTGTCTGCATCGTCGTCCTCCTCGCCCACTGGGGGAAATGGGGAGGGCACAAGTTAGATGGGGAGGGCACAAGGGAGACGTGTTTGCCAGTGAAGCAGAGCGCCCGGGTCGTCGTCCCCCTCGTCGTCCCCCACATCGTCGCCGTCATCTTGGTCGAACGTGCTGTCTGCATCGTCGTCCTCCTCGCCCACTGGGGGGAGAGGGAGACGGAGGAAACGGGAGAGCGGGGAAAGTGAAGGGGGGCGGCAGGTGGGGAACGAGGGGGAGAATGAGGAGGAGAGGGGGGAGAATGAGGGGGGAAATTGGGGGTTGACGAGGGCGGGAGGGAAGAATGGAGGAGGGTGGGAGTGGGGAGAGGGATTTGCACATGAGAGCAACAAACCTGCACACTAGAGAAGCGGATATGCACACCAAAGACAATGGAATTCATGGTGCCGCGCACTCGCTCACACAATGCCGTGCGCTCACTCACACAATGCCGTGCACTCACTCACACAATGCCGTGCGCTCACTCACACAATGCCGTGCACTCACTCACACAATGCCGTGCGCTCACTCACACAATGCCGTGCGCTCACTCACACAATGCCGTGCGCTCACTCACACAATGCCGTGCGCTCACTCACACAATGCCGTGCGCTCACTCACACAATGCCGTGCGCTCACTCACACAATGCCGTGCCCTCACTCACACAATGCCGTGCCCTCACTCACACAATGCCGTGCACTCACGAAGCATGGCGCTGCTGCTGGGTTGGCCGTGCTGCCTCTTCTCGTCCACCACTGCCGTCTCCAGCTCCACCTTCTCCGCCTGCAATCACCGCACACCGCCATTGTCACATTCTGTCATTGTCACACCCAGCCATTGTCACGAGGCACAAGTCAACACGTGGCAAATGCGATCATACACAGCACAGACCGCTTGCACCACCACAACACCTCCCAGGTCCCCCCTCCCTAACATTCCTCCTTCCCACTTAAAACCCCAACCATTGTCACATTCCTCCTATTAAACACCCACCTCGAGTTGCCGCAGCAGCGTCAGCAGCTGCAACCGCTTCCTCTGCTCTTCCCTTAACTTCGTCTCCAGCCGAACCACCACCTTTCTCCGAACCAACTCCTCCACACCGCTTATAACCTCCTCTTCCACCCCGTTTCGCTGCATGTATGCCCTAACCGCGTCGAAGCACACGTGCGACGACACGTCCACCTTATTCGTCGCCGCGTGGAGCCTCTTAATTAGGTTCACGCGCGCGTTTTCTATTGCTTCCATCCAAAGCTCCCGCCCCGCTTTGGATTCGGTTCTAAGACCCAGCGTTCTGTGCCCGAACACGTAAAACTTTCGGTTGTCCGTCGTGCTAGCGCGGATGGTCGACACGTGGAGCTCGATCTGACCGTGCGGCGTTCTGTCGCCCAGCACACCCAGCGACGTCGCCAGAACGCCGTTCTCGCGCTCGATTCGCGCGTAGCGACGAATCTCGTCGCCGATCAGTCGCGCGCCCGGCCGCCGCTGCAGCTCGTGAACCACGATGGCCTTATCTGGACCGTCCAATTTGAAGAAGGACAGAACGCCCTGGAGGAAGGGGAAGGGAATGGGAGAGGGAGAGGGGGGAAGGGGAAGGGTATGAGGGGCGGAAGAAGGATAAGGGGGAACGGAAGACGGGTAAGGGGGTGCGGAGATGGCCGAGGTTGAGGGGACGAGGAGCGACGCAGAACTAAGGAGAGAACGGAAGCAAGGCACGGAAAGGAACACGGGCGAGAGAGCGAGCTTACCCCTTCCAGGACGAACAGTCGCATGCCCCAGCCGCGACCTAGATTGACCCACTTCCACAGAATCCCCATCACCACGTCGGAACTCTCTTGCGCCATTGCCGCGGGAACCATCAGCCCCCCGGCTCCGCCGCGCGCCTGGTTCAGCATCTCCCCCCACCCTCCGCCCACGGGGACCAGCGCTAGCGCGTTTCCGTGCGCCGCCACGTCCTCGCCCTTGCTTGCGCTCCGCACGAGCCCCGTCTCCCCCCGAAAGCTTCCGCTTCCGCTGCGCGGGAGGATTTCCGCGCGGCTCTCCGACCGCCCGCTGCTAGTGCGCGATGCAGGCTGATTTACGCCGCTGGTCTGCTTCCTCACTTCTCCACCGTCGATCGAGCATCTGGCGGATGCTCCTCGATCTTCCGCAATCACCGCCGCCTCCGGCGCTCCTCGCCTCTCTATTGGCTGTTCCTCGGCCCCGCTGTCCCCCTTCCTCGGATCGTAAGGGGACGACATTCGCGACCTACTGCGGTGGGGGCTGTTACCTCTGCGATTCGTAGGGTTACCAGCAGCTGGCGAAACGTTACCCGGAGCTGTGGTGGTAACATCGTCGCTGTATACTTGTAAATTTGCTTCGTGGCTGGGCGTGGTGGGGGAATTTTCCTTGTTTCGTCGGCGAAACGGATTTCCTAAGCGAAAATGCGACGTTCCTAATTCCGGAGTGCTCGCGGTCACAGATATACTCTCATGTTGCCGGTCAGCCGTCCGAGTTACCGGACGGTAAGTAGAAAAGTCAACAGCGCTAGTTATAGAGCTGGTGGAGGCTGTCGCAGCCGTGAACGCAGTGGACGCTGACCGGCTAGCCGACAGAATCGGATGAGGATTTGACTTTTCCTGACGGTTTCTTGATGGCCGAAGACGGCCAGCCGACAGCATAAATATACTCTCCACCGATCTTCTGCCGGGAGATCCGAGCATCTGCGGAGGCGCGTCAGAAACGGGTGCGGTTCTCGGAGGCGCTTCGGACTGCGAAAACGAATGGGAGCGACGGAGGAACGGTTTGGTGCCATCGGAGGGGGTTGACGCTGACGGTATCGGTAACGGCGACGGCGATGACGGTTTTCGTTGAGGAGAGGAGCCGGCTTTCTTGCGGCGGAGGAGCGGACTGGGCATTCGCCGTGGTTTGACGTCCTCGTCTGGAGGAAGGGGATCCACCCTCGCCATGGCTACTCACCCGCTGTACCAATGTTCAGCAGTCAGAAATAAGCCTAGCGTTCAGAACTCTTAGGTCTTACGTATGCCAGCACTCTTGAACGGCTGATATTTCTAGGGGAAAGGCGGGAGGTGAAGAGGAGGGATTGGCTAAGTCAAGACCTCTAATTGGTGGCGTTGGATTTCGTACTATCGTGCGGCATTCTCGTCTCGGAGGGACAGACTGGAGAAGTTACTATTCTCCATAATCTAAAATTGCTGCACTAGGAGCAGAATCTTGTGCCGTAAGACCCGGCACAGCTCTCTCACACTAACTTCATGACTAAGTCATCCCGGGTAACCACTAATGCTAAACACCAGTTACGTCAGTTTCGAGATAAACGGAGATGCGAGGATGGCTTCACAGAACCATCTCGTGGTGGTTTGTAGTAGGTAATGCGCTATGGATTCATTGAAATGTGCTGCGGGCGTGTGCTAGCCTTGCGCAAAGGATCATCTCCCTCAGCAACCTATCGACCAGCTTCCATGACAAAATCGAGGGAAAGGGAATCGTCTTGGTGAATTGTGACGTTACAGGAAAAGGGTTGTGGTGGGGTTGATGGGGAGAAGGTGACGAGTGAGAGGGAGGAGGGGAGGGGAGGGGACCGAAGGAGTGCGAGGAAATCAGCAATCGAGGTCAGCAGGTCGAGGGCAATGGAAGTGAGAACACGGGCAGGGCAGAGGAGCAAAGGGGCTGGGAGCGGGAGACCCCCAAGGGAATTTTGGTCGCCGTTTGACGTCATCAGACCAGAAACTATGTTGTGCGATGCTTGTGCGAAGGTACTGCGATTTTCAAACAGCAGCCAAAGTGAGCTGAGGGTGCTGCTGCTGTGCAGAAGAAAGTGTCGCATGGGCCAGGAGTGTGGTAAACGGGAAAGGACATGCGACGGGGCCGCTATCGCAGGGCCAAGAGCTGAGGTGTTTCAAGCCCAGCGATGCGAGATAGAGGGAAAGAAATTCCGCATTTCTCGAGTTGGTGGGGGGTGGTCCAACGTAGGGATTGGCTGACGAAACTGCGCGAAACTGAAGTTTGAGGTCGGGGCTCGGGCAGGTGAAACTGCAACAGCGAGGCGCACCGCCAATCGATTTGATGCGGGCTGGCATTACGAGTCGCGCTTTCACGACATTGAAAAATTCTCCAGTTCCCGCGCCTATTTTTGGTTCAAGGTAAGGCGCGACGCCGCATTCTCGATTCCCCTGACGAGCAACGGATCAGCGATGTCAATTACTGGTATGAGCCGCCCTGGGGAATATACATCGCCCTGGGGAATATGAAATGCAACAGCTATGATCTCGTTGGTGTTTGAATAACAAGAAATGAAATCTCCCAACCCAGTTACTCTTACTGCTGTACCCTTTACAAGAGCAACACACATTCTTCTTGATTAAACTGTAAGCTGCTAATCAGGCAACCCACAATGATCTTGACATACATAAAGCATAATAAGCACCACCTTTGCCTACTTTCCCACCTTGAACATAAAAGTAGCCCAGTTAGCCTCATTAGTGCGCTCCTTGCCCGAAACATATTGCACTGTGGCCCAAGCGCTGCCCTGTGGATCTACACTTATCGATTGGGTCTCGCCAAAAGCAGCATACTTTCCAGACAAAACCTCGAGCGGGGCTTGGCCGGGGCCAACCGCATAAATACTATTTCCAATAACTCCTTTTTGGTTGATGCGGACATATGCCGCTGTAGGGAAGTATTCAGAGCCAATCAGCGTTGCTGCAAGGATGCCCTGGCCCTTGCTGGGGATGACGATAAGACAAAGAGGGCATGCGGGGAAACAAGCGGAGAGCGGGTGAGTGAGGGCAGGCTAGCTTGTCATTCGAGGGAGGAGAGGGCAAGCGAAGGAAACACAAACCCATCAGAAGCCAAAACACAAGCGCATGTGCTGCCACTGTTTCAAGACAAGTTAACGAGCACATGACTAACCTGGAAAGTGCTTCAAACCACATGTGCTTCAGAAGACAACAAGTGCATACAATCCCCCACTCACTGACCTGTTAAAGCCAATCACAGGGCTCAGCAGGCTCTGCCCTGGCACTCCATAAATCCCGAACTTCGACACCAGGGTCGGAAACGACCTCTTCCCACGCAGGATCGGCCGGAGCTTCACCAGCGCTACGGACGGCACGGAGGTCGGGTCCAGGCTGTAGCCGGACGGAAACGCCATCCACACGTGCCCCTTGAACCACGCTACAGACGTGGACGTCGGAGGTACCACATCCTGGGGGGTATCATATGGTGGCGGCCCGGGCTTTTGCTTGGCATAGTCTGAATCATAGTAAGCCGGTGTGTCGATGATTGAGTAGCGGAGGCGGAGGGTGGGGTGTGGGAGCATGAGAGAGGAGGTGTCGGAGAGGGACCAGAGCGCGAGGGAGGTGTGGGGGAGGGGGAAGGTGAAGGAGATGTCGATGCAGCCAAAGAAGACTGTGTCCTGGTTGTGGTAACGGGAGAGGCGGGGGACTCTTGGGGACTGCGGCTCGAGGCCAAAGACGGGGAAGCTGTTGTAGTTGATCATGGGGATGGCGAAGCGCACCACTCGCTTGGAGGAACGCAGGTAGAGCTTGGGCTTGTGGATCGCACTGGGGGTGATGGGGAGGAGCGCAGGGCGGGTGGTAAGGTGAGAGGGAAAAGAGGCATTGGGTCAAGAAGGGAAAGCCGTTGAAGAGGGAAAATTGTGGATCTTATATGAAGGGAAGACCTCTTGCCCCCGTGCCAACGAAGCACCCCAGCTTCCCCTGCATGGTATACAGCCATGTGGTGAGGTACGCTCCAGGGCTCCTCTTCCTCTCCCTCCCCCTTTCCCCCTCCCCTCCCTCCATCTCCCCCCCACCCCTCTTTCCTCCCCCCTATTCCCCCCCCCCCCCGGTACAGCCTGACAAGCTAGAATCCACTTTCTAGAGCACGGGACTCACTATATGTTGCTGCCCACAAAGCGACCCAGCTTCCCCTGCATGGCATACTGCCGCGTGGTGAGGTAGACCCCGTAGCGGTCCACCGTGATGCGAGGGGTGGCGCCCCAGTAGACCCGGCCTGGGTATCTCAGAGGCGGGGCCGTGTCGTTGTGAGACTTCACTCCGTCGTTGCTGCGGGGAGGGCGGAGTGCAGCAGGGGCAGGCGCAGCAGGGATGGAGGGGGGGGAGGTGGAATAGCCGGTGAGGTAAGCGCCGTAGCAGTCCACTGTGATGCGAGGTAACCCTGCCGGGGTATCTGAGAGGCGGGGCCGTGTCGTTGTGTGACTTCACCCCGTCGTTGCTGTGGGGAGGGCGGAGTGCAGCAGGGGCGCAGCAGGGGTGGCAGTGGGGAAACCGGAATAGCAGGGGCGTGTGGTGAGGTACATGCAAAAGCAGTCCACAGGGTGAGGGCGGAGCGGGAGCAGGAATGCGGAACAGAGGGGAAGACACAAACATGAAAGGGGAACGCACAGAGGTGGAAGGGTCCCTGGCGATTCCCGATCTTCTCTACCTATACCCAATGTTCTCTACCCATACTCAAGCATATCAATTACCTGGCGGGAATGAAGAAGACGTTCCAGGCCATCATGGGCGTGAGGAAGGAGGAAGCCGCCACCACGATGGGAGAGACGAGGAGCATGTTAGTTACTGTTACCAGGGCATACACTGGAGAGAGAACAACTGGGGAGAGGGCAAGCATACTCACACTCCTCATTCATACCTGGCGGGAATGAAGAAGACGTTCCAGGCCATCATGGGCGTGAGGAAGGAAGGAGGAGGCGGCCACCACTATGGGAGTGAGGCGAGCATATGTTGCCTACCCATACCAACGTTCTCTACCCATGCTCAAGCACATCAACTACCTGGCGGGAATGAAGAAGACGTTCCAGGCCATCATGGGCGTGAGGAAGGAGGAGGCGGCCACCACTATGGGAGTGAGGCGAGCATATGTTGCCTACCCATACCAAACGTTCTCAACCCATCCTCACTGCCCTGCTGTACCTGGCGGGAATGAAGAAGACGTTCCAGGCCATCATAGGCGTGAGGAAGGACGAGGCAGCCACCACTATGCCGTAGCCTGACGTGCTTCCATCCGCGTTCCTCCTCGTCTGCCCAAACCGGTCCCACTTGTTGCGATACCCGCCCGACTGGCAGGGGCGGAAAGAGGAGAGGGAAGCACACGGGATGGGAGGGAAGAGGGGTGGGGGGGAAGATGGGAGATGGGCAATGAGAGATGGAAGATGAGAGATGGGAGATGGAGATGGGAGAGGGGAGAGGGGAGAGGGGAGAGGGGAGATAGGAGATGGGAGATGGGAGAGGGGAGGGGGGAGATAGGAGATGGGAGATGGGAGAGGGGAGGGGGGAGATAGGAGATGGGAGATGGGAGAGGGGAGGGGGGATAGGAGATGGGAGATGGGAGAGGGGAGGGGGGAGATAGGAGATGGGAGATGGGAGAGGGGAGGGGGGAGATAGGAGATGGGAGATGGGAGAGGGGAGGTAAGCACCATGTAACCCCACGCAGGCGCCCCACATAAGCCCCATATAACCCCGCACCCTCTTGGTCATTTCCAGCGGGCAGCAGTTTGGGAGAGGGAAACACGTGAGAAGGGCCAAAGAGAGCAAGGAGGAACGGTGAAAGAGAGCACTCACGAGCCATGCTGCAGCAATGAAGAACCGGCCTGACGAGGCGTCAAAGAAGCACGTGGCCTTGTTGATGAAGTCAGGTAGGTGAGGGCCCCTTCCTATTCAGAAGAGAGGAGGTTATACTGAAAGAAAGAGAGGCGGGTCAGAGCAGGCACTCACAAGCCATGCTGCAGCAATGAAGAACCGGCCTGAGGAGGCGTCAAAGACACACGTGGCCTTGTTTATGAAGTCGCCTGGGTGGGTGGAATTGGCGGGCATCACTCCAAAGAACTAGGCGGACAGAGGGAGGGGATTGGGAGGGCGGAGGAGCAAATTGGGAGGGAGAGAGTGGTGGGGAGGGAGAGAGTGGTGGGGATGGGGAGAGTGGTGGGGATGGGGAGAGTGGTGGGGAGGGGAGTGGTGGGGATTGGGGGGCGTGGGTGAGTGTGGGATGACGGGTTAAGGGAAAAGGAGTGGACGGTTGAAACATGAAGGGACAGAAGCAGTCGCCTAGGCGAGCGGAGTTAGCGGTTGTTTACACATGGCACATGTTTACACATGGGACGGCTGCAGGCACGGTGTGAGCCTGTTTGACTTTCGGGGCACCAAAAACGGGCGGGTGCATGCTTGCATGGCACAAGTGTGACGCCTACACGCATGGTGTGTGTCTGTTTGAAGGGTTGATTGTGCGAAACAGAGAGCGGAAGGAGGGTAGCACATCAGACAGGCGGGAGAATGGGGAATCGGGAACGAGGGACGAGGGAAGGGAATGGGGGTGTGGGGAGGAGGGATGGGGAGTGGGGGGTGGGGGAGGAGGGATGGGGAGTGGGGGGTGGGGGAGGAGGGGTGGGGAGTGGGGGGTGGGAAATGGGAATGGGACCGGGGGACGGCAGCAAGTGGGGCGGCAAGGCAGCAGCATACCTCGTTGAGCGGCTGGGGCAGGCGAACTATCTTGCCCCGCTTGTTGTATATCACAATGGCTGCAGCACGGAGGGACACAGGCGGAGGGTCAGACTCAGGGGGACAAAGAGAAATCACAATGGCTGCAGCACGAGGGACAAGTGCAGAGCGACACATGCAGAGATTCAATGCTGTTGGTACCAAAAAAAGCTGATAGACACCATACTGCACAAACAACCTTTGAGGCGCCTCAAAAGTCGTACCAAAAAAAGCTGATAGACACCATACTGCACAAACAACCTGGGAACGCAGAGCAGAAAAAAGGTTTTGAGTCTCCTGATTCCCAGAATACAACACCGCACTCCATCCTTCAAAACCGTACTACATCACTCACCATAGTTGACTATCTGCACAATGTACAGCCTTCCCACGCAGACAGCGGAGTCAGGAATCCATGGGTCGAACTGCGGGGAAGAGGGAGGGATTGGGAGAGGAGATGGGAGGCATTATGCAGGGTGTGAAATATTGCTCACTGACTGGATTCCACGTACAGCCTTTCAACGCAGACAGCGGAGTCAGGAATCCATGGGTCGAACTGCGGGGAAGAGGGAGGAACAGAGGCATTCCGAGGCGTTATCAAGGGCATGAGATATTGCTCATTGACTGGATTGTTGATGAACCACCGCAGAAGTCACTGCATTCCAAAATATACCTTTTCAGTTTCACCCTTGTCTCACCTGAAAGCCGCCGCTGTCTCACCTGAGTACCGCTGTAAGCGCGATTCACGCCAGCCACCAGCTGCCGCTTCCCAGAGATGCCCTTAAAGCCCAGCTTCGGCCGACTGTCAAGCACGCCTAAGGGAGTGGCCTCAGTGTACTGTACCGCCGGCGTCACTGTCGCCGTGCCTGCCTTTCTAAACGCGCTGTTCTGTAACGGGGACAAAGGTGGGGGGGTCACGAAGCCCAGAAGTTTCAAGAGAAAACTCGGCGTAAGTGAGACAAAGGGATTGGCTGAGTCGGAGCGCGCACTCAGTCAGGCAAAGCTACATGAGACGTAGTGACTCGCCTAAGAGAAAAGAGAAATTCTCATCTTTGGATTGCTGGACTGACATTGCGTGGAAGATAGATGTTCGACTGCTCGCCAAACTCGTTGGCTGCAACGGTGTTCGCTACGCCGGCGTCGCTTGAAGCTCCTCCTGCGAACCGTCGCAGAGCGGCTTCGCGAGCCTGGATTCGCTGCTCTAAATCGACGGTCAGGAGATGCTCGTACAACCCCCGCGATCGACGCTGCTGCTCTCGCACCCGCCAGTTCTCTAAAGGAACTCCTTCCCCCTCCTCTAACCCCTCCTCCACTCCCTCTTCCTCCGCCGCCTCCCCCGGTACCGCCGAAGCCTTTTGCTGCGCTGCTGCTTGTTTCACTCGTGTCTCCTGATTCTTCTGCTGCTCTATTAATCGTTGAAGACCGGAAATAGGATTTGCTGACAGTAACGAGTTCTCCAGTTGTGACTTTATCGAAGGTCGAATCTCTGTCGGAGTTGACTCCGGCGACTGATTTTGACTCCCGGATTGCTGCTGCCATTTCACTGTACTGGGTCCTTTTAGTGATTGACCTTCTATCGGGGCATTGACACGAGACGTTGTGCTAGTGGACGGCGGAGGAGGTATGACGTTCTTTAAACGAGCGGTTCCTGCGAAAATAAGTCGGTCGGAAAACCGATAAAACGACACCCTATCGCAGTCACAGGGGTCTGCTGTGAAGCATATAAACGTTAGCGCTAGGAAAACCCACACTCTAGTTTGCAAAGTTGGAGCCATTAAATGCAATTATAATGTGTACGGACGACGAGGTTCGCAAAAGCGGAAGGCTGAAAAGAACTCATCAGTCCACTCTTGTTAATCAGACTTGCAAATTTAATACTAAGATAATACCATACCCTACTGTGCTCCGTGCTTGGAACTCAGCCTCGCGCATTACAGCATCGAAATAACCACGCCGGCAATAAGCGGTAAGTGCTGAAACAGTGGTTGTGGAATCGCGACCTAGAGAATGCCGGATCTCCTATCTTGCAGCAATGCTAGCTTTTGAGAGCCGCTGTTTGAAACGGGAAGCATCCAGAAGAACAAAAGCAGTTGCGAGCCTGTAATCTTGGGGTTGGTTGGGGTGCGGGGTACGCACTCGCGAAAGATGCGAACGAAAACGATGAGTTCCACGAAATTCGCGCGGCCCTAGATTGGCCCTCATTTCGCGACCGAAATGGTCGTGGGCCTGCTACTGAAGTGGAAAAAGTGACATCTCGCGTCAGCACCACCAAGCAAGTTTTCGAACTGATGTCCCTGCCCGGTTTCATTCATGTCGAAGCACCACCACCTTCGCGTTTCAACTGTAGTCCGAATACCCTGAGAATTGACACCACCAGATTATATCCACATGCTTTCAATTTCACGCACATAAATAAACTTTACACAACAACATTTACGGAATGAAAATAAATATTTGTGCACCGTCCCTATTTGTGCTGACCTTCACGAGGCACCCCTGCCGTGCCTCCGCACCGCAGCCACGTAGATCAACAAATCCTGCGCCCACCGAACGCAATCCAACGACCCAAATCACTCTAGCTGAGCCAGGCAGGCGGGGAAAGCGTTTCGTGGCTGGTGGGCAAGCAGAATCCACCACGAGAGAATGACTCCAGTGGCCAAAACGGTGATTCACCATCCCTCGCGTGGCCACGAATGACTCGAGTGGCCACCAAATTTGGTGATAATGACTCGAGTGGCCACGCCAGGGGATTCTTGCTGGCTTTTTTTTCAAGGCGCATTACCCTAAGGTGATTAAAAAAATAAACCCCATGGCTTACAGCATGCCATTCGGGAGCCTCAACCCTAAAATTTTAGGGTTGAGGCTCCCTCGGATGGCATGCCTTCCGAGTGGGTTTTAGTTTTTTTCTTGCCCGCGGTCACTAATGTGTTCGCGCATTTATGCCCCCGCAGAGCAGTTTATGATCGCTGATATTTTTACCGCGCGCTCATTGGTCGGGCATTGGGCCGAAAATGACCGTGCAACTACTGTTGGTAGTGCATTTTTTACGGTTTTGTGTACAGTGTGTGGGCGAAATTTTCGGGTGCGGAACAGAACGAAACACTACCTAAGGATACCACTCGCACGAATGGGGAATTTCGTGGCTACAAAGCCCCGTAGGGTAATGCGCTAAAGAAAAAAAGCCAGCAAGAATCCCCTGGCGTGGCCACTCGAGTCATTATCACCAAATTTGGTGGCCACTCGAGTCATTCGTGGCCACGCGAGGGATGGTGAATCACCTTATTGGCCACTGGAGTCATTCTCTCATCCACCACGCGCACATGCCCCTAGGGACATGGTGAGCGAGCGAGGGAGCAACATCGCCCAGCCGATGTGAGGGAAGAAAAATCTCGCACAATGCATCGAAACTCGCTACCGCGGATAACTGAAACCAAACTACTACCTACACCTAATTGCAGACAAGGGATTCAAATAAAGGATGTCACCATCACTACAGGTAGGTAGAATTAAAAACAGAGTCAGTATACACCAGACAGTAGATCACAAATAGTACAAAACATGTACGTAACAATTTTTTGGCCTATGGAGACAAGTATTTCAGCAATTTAGCAACGAGAACGCATTCACATGTGTCCTCTTTTTTGAGTTGTCATGTCAAGCTTGTGCATGTCCTCCGAAAGTTCCCGTTTACACCCGGGCGTAAAGTTGTGCCAAAGTCCAGTCGTTCATCGCATACTGGTTGAGACTCTATTTCAGCTGCTCCTATGGTTGTCATGCCATCCGAATGTAACCCTGGTATACATCCAAGATTCGTCCCCATATAGACCCGGGCCAGTACAGCTGCTGCCTGGGAAGGGGTGAGGGCGAGGATACGTGTGAGAAGGTGGCTAAAGCTTTGGGGTTGCATTGTGGTTGCACCAACAGTAGCACAGGACACTACATCAGCCAGTGCATTGCTGGGAGGCACGAGGTTCGGGGACATGAGGTTCGGAGGCTCTCCGGCAGGAGGTTTGGCGTCCAGAGGACTAGTGTCCAGAGATGTGGCATTGGGTGCCACGGAGGTGAGGGGCGCAGTTGCCAGCCAAGCAAACGGTGCCTTGCCGAACAAGGCATGATCAGGGAGTTGAGCGAAAGCAGACGGTTCTGACGCATTTGCTGCTGTTGTCGGCAATGCCACTGATGATACGAGCGACGACGAGATAGGCGGGACCGGAAGAGCCGCAGCAGGAGGACGGGAAACAGGAGCGGAAGCGCATGCTTCTGAGGTGGGTGTTACGCCGGTGGAAGAGGAGGGTGTAACGCCTGGCGAAGCTGAGGGTGTTGCGCCGGGAGATTCGGAAGCAGTGGCCAGGAGAAGAGAAACGTGGGACGGCGGCAGACAGAACGTGGATAGCAGCGGAGGGGCACCGCCGTCCTCTTCCCGATAAGCATCCCCTCTTCCCAATTTAATCTCGGGTTTGTGCGTTTCTTCCCCTAACCTTGCATCCTGCGCTGGCTGATCCAAGGCTCGAGTCATCCGAACCTCAAGCAGACGGCTGGTTGCGGGCTCGACAGAGGGGCTACCACGATCCAGAACAGGGCTTGTTGACCTGTCCATTACAATCACACTGGTCTCGCGACTTGAGATGTTGCTGCCGCCGCTGTGGTAACCACTGGGATAACCACTGCGCTGGTCATGATTGCGGCGGTAAGGGCCCTCGTCGCTGCCGTTTTTGGCCTGAGAGTGAGGAGACGCGGATGGGCCGAAGCTCACAGATCCCTTCGCAGGGGGGCTCGGCGAAGCTCCACATTCACCGTCGGAGAACGATCGTCGCATTCGCTTGCTCCGCTGCTGCTGCTCCTGCTGCTGTGGCTGCACTTGCTGCGGCGGCGGTTCTTGTGGCTGCGGTTGTTGGGCTTGCTGCGGCGACTTCTGCTGCTGCTGCTGCTGCTGGTGCCGCCGTTGCCGCAAGGGTTCCGCCTCCAGAGACTGGGGCTCGCTCGCCATTCCTGCGACAGAAGTAACGGCCCCTGCCGCCGCTGGCGGCGGTGTTTCCACCGCCAGCTGCTTCCCCTTGCGCCGGCCGGAGCCCACGCGGACGTTGCGCAGACATCCCCCCGCGGTCCAGTAGCGGTGGCAGGCGCGGCAAAAATGACGCGGCTGGTTGACATTGTAGTTGTTGTAATAGCAGAACTTGGTGTCGCGGCTCGAGCACCGCGGGCACGTCAGCGCAGCCGGCGCTGACGCGGGAGCCTGCGGCGGCGACAGCGCCGGCGGAAGCGGCGGAGTTGACGGCGGGAGTTGCACGTGCCGCTTTGATGGATGGTGCAGTTTTGTCGGCGCTGTAAAGTCGGAGGAGAGTTGAGCACGACGCAAAGTGGCGGTGAGTGCCGTGGCGGCAATATCAAGGGATGGTAACGTGGTAGTGATTCCCGCGTCGCTGTCATAGGGCGCAGCGCCATTATGCCAAGCGTCGCTCGGCGACGAAGCGCCCGTCGGCGGAGCTCCCGACGGCATGAATTGTTCCGACGCCAAAGTGTTAGCCGTTGGCTTTTGAATCGTCCGTCCAAATAGCCGGAACTCGTTAACTTCTTCCTTGGGGAGTATCATTCTGGCCGAGGCTTGGGAAAGGCTCGGCTCGGCGGAAAGACAGAGAATCATGCTTGAGCATACAACCACATGCGCTGCCGCAGTGGTAGATAGGTGCCTAGTCGGTACTACGAGGCAAACGGGAATTCAGTTTTCCGTAAGTGAAGTTCGAAAAACAAGTGTGTTCTTATAACTCAGGGAAATAAGCGAAGAATATGGTTGTGAAGTGAAAGGTTAGGACGTCGGCCAGGCGGAGCCACGGGCTGACTCAAACGCTTCCGCAGCGAGAGAGGACGGCTTGAAAGCGGAAGGATGCTGATTCTTTGTGGAGGCTGATTTGACTCAGCAGGAACTGCAGCAACATCATCATACGGTACGTGAATTTGGGTTTTTTTTTCTTGTTCGCCTCTGGAACGTTCTCGTGAAGTTGCGATTATGGGTCCTCCCGTACGTGCAGCGCGGAGCCGTACCCTAGCCACAAGCATGCATGATAAGGACACATAAGGACGCCTGATACACTTCGATGCAGTAAATGCAGCTTGAATGCGCGATCCACTGCAATCTTGGTCCTGGGAAAGGTAAGAGCGTGTTACACCCAAGCAAAGATTGCTGCATTTTGAGGATCGCGCAGGCGATCCTTGCGGAACAGTGTCATACCTACCACTCTACAGTAATCACTGTGTCAGGTGATGTACCAACAGAGGAAGGATCGAAATCACGAGTTCCCGACGCTACCCGATCTTGGTGTTTACCGAGAGATCATGGTGACTGCCAATCTCTCGGTGATCCTTGCATCATTGTATCAGGGTGATCCTTGACGACGAAAAGTTTTATGTCGCAATTTTCTGTAACAAGCTCGCAACTAATCAGAGCATTCTTTTGATGGAATTCGAATCAATGAGGCTGTTGAATTCGCGCCAGTAACGCAGTCAACATGGTCAATGAACATATCCAATAATCGCGACTGTCGCGTAGTTTCAGGCGACGTCGCCTGGTCGCAGAGGATCACCACTGCAATTTTGCAGATGGTACACCAACAAGGATCGTGATGTGCCCCAAAAACTTGTTGTTTGACCACTCTGAATCCTACGGTTGGGGTGTTGGTGATCTCAGCTACGTGATCCTTGAAAATAGGGCAGGTGTAACACGCTCTAAGGCTGGCAACACACACATGTTCCTTGGAACACAACGAAGCGAAGCCAAGGTAAGGAGGGAGGGGAGTTGATTTTCCCCCCTTCACGTGCTTGGTGCTCTCCCCGCTACTCGCCTCGCCACTCACCTGCTTTCATTGTGGGTGCAATGAAATGTCGCATTGGGACCAAATGCGTCTCGAACCAGAGAAATTCACGACTCGGGGAGGGGCATTTGTTTCTCGACGTGGGAGGGAATCGAGGGGATCCATAAAAATCTGTGCGATGGATGGGATGACGTGGACTTTGCATGGCAGAAGGCCCTCTGCCGCAAATGAATGTGGCGCTGGAATGGCTGACAATGGTGCCCCCACAATGAAGATTTTCCTAAAAAGGATTAGCGGACGAAAACCAAGCCAATTCTGGTCCACCAATCCTGCATCTTCAATCTCGCAAACCGTGATATTTTTTTTCGTCCGAATGGGCTCAACAGCAGCGTTGAGAACCACACAACAAAACGACCAGCTCTGCCCGAACTTGGTGAACCAACGCTTTCGGGGAGTCGCATCACAATTTCGAAATTCTGTGTGCTTTTTGTAACCGTGTAAGGTCTGTCTTCTTCTGTGGACTGGAGGGGGGACACGACAAGTTACAGAACAGAAACACTTCCGCTGGTTGTTGCATTTTTTAGCATGATTTCGGTGGAGACGAAATCCGCCAATTGGCTATTCTCTGCCACTTGGAAACTTGCAAAATAAGTACTGTAACGGGAGTCCTAGTGACAGTTGAAAATTTTCCTCTTGCCCAGCAAAAATGCAGGAAGCGAGAACTTCAGGCTCACGTTCGTACGGACAATCATGATTTATGCCCAAACAAGCAAACCAAGTTTGACGTTTGTTGCAAAACGTTGACTGCAAAGTGTTCAAGTTGGATTCTTCTCCCAAGCTGAGGCAGGTCTACAATGCACAGTTGCTTCTGGCGCCTATGAACGAACAAGCACAGAAAATAGCACGAGAGAAATGCAGACAGAAGTGTATAACGCGCGTTCTTAAAACTGGAAACTTTCCATTACCGTACTTTATCCATCAGACACAAGGCATGACACTAACCTACAAAGGAGAAACAAGAATTGCAGGTCTAGTGAACCTTTCAAACCAATCCACTATGCCTACAAACCATCATTGAATTGGACGTCTCCACATGAAACTACAACCCTTGTTCATATCCGAATCTCATCCACTCCGCACCCTATCATGCGGCGACAGGTAGCATTGGCACGACGTCCGGGGATGCCGACCGGAAGAGCCAGCTTGTGCGGCTTGGCGAGGAAGTCAGTGAAATCCTGGAAGGGCGTCTCTCGGTGAACTTTCTAGGCACGTGTGTGTGTGGAGGGTATTGGGAATGCTACACGTGAATACAGGCATGTTCTTGACTTGGATTGCAGACCGCAGCACAATCATTGACAGCGATGTGAACATTCAGGCTTCAAATCTACACAAAACAAGCCCATTCATCCATTCCTACTCGGCGCCAACTCGTTTAAAACGCGGGGACAGGAGCAGCAGCGGCAGGAGGGGGGGCAGCAAAGGCATCGGGCACGGCGACCGGGAGAGCCAGCTTGTGCGGCTTGGCGAGGAAGTCAGTGAACTCCTGGAAGGGCGTCTTGGTGAACTTGGTGGCGTGCCAGAGGTCAGGTGTGAGGAAGGCGTACGTGTTGAGCAGACACGCAAAGGTGGCCTGTCGGGGTGGTGGGAAGGGGTGGGGGATGGAAGAGAAAGAAGGGAAGGGAAACGGAAGCGTAGGCAAGGGACGGCAAGGATTAAGTAGGATGGGAGGTTAATGATAGGCATGCAACTTGGTGGCGTGCCAGAGGTCGGGCGTGAGGAAGGCGTATGTGTTGAGCAGACAGGCAAAGGTGGCCTGTGAAAGGAAGATAAGGGAAGAGGAAGAAAATGGAAGGGAAGAGAAGGGAAGGGAAGGGAAGGGGCTTGCAATGCTTAGGAACACTGTGAAAAGTCAAAGACGAACATGCATCGGTAGCAGGTATGGGTCGGGCGTGAAAAAGGCGTATGTATTAAACCGAATCAAACAGAAACCCACATGTGGCTCGGTGAAAACATGTGCGAAGGGTGCAAAGCGGTAAAAGAGGGTGAAAATAGGGTAAGTATGGGCATCAACCTTACCCTGCACTCCAATGAAACCCCTTCCTGCACCCACTCTGCAATCACCCCCCTGCATTGCCGTGCACCTTATCCTCACTTCCCTGCACCCAACCCCCTGCATTCCCCTGCACCCCAATGCATTCACTCCCTTGCACCCGCCTGCAACCAATTTCCTGCTCCTGCCCTTCCCTACATTACTCTGCACTCCCCTGCATACTCTGAACTCCGCTGCACTACTCTGCTCTACCCTACATTCCCGCATTCCCCTGCATCCACTACCCTGCATTCCCCTGCACCCTATGTACCCTGCATTGCCCGCATCACTGCACCTTTCCCCATGCTGCAACCACCACCTTGCTGCAGGCACAAGCTGCACAGACTCGTCGTGACCTGGTCGCTTTTCAGACCTTAATCACCAGGACGAAGCCCCGAACTCTGCAGCAATTTTGACGGCCCCGGGCGGGCTCTCTTGGAAAATCGACTGTCCTCGGCTCTCGAGGAGTTACCTAACGTTCCCTGACTAGCTGGGCTAATGTTACGGCCGCTGAATCGATCAACGGCCCCGGGCTCTCTGGGACTAATCGGACGGCCCAGGGATTCTGGATTAATCTGACGGACACCCTGGCTTTGTGGAACCCCTGCACGCTCCCTGCACGCTCCCTGCACTATCCCCCTGTGATAAAGGGCAACCAATGTGAGCACCGGATCATCGGCAGCAGCCACCCTCCACCCGCACGTGACAGAAACGCCGTATTCTCCAAACCACGAAGCCACAGTTATGCCACTAGAGGCGTCGACGAGAACTAACCAGCGGCAATCCCTCGCACGCGCCACACTTTTTCCACGTGTACTGAGCTCCCGCACCTGCGTCTGCCACGTGTAACACGCTTAAACGTTGCGTTTACATAGCCGCTCCCAATCGTCCACGAAACGCCACCCCTTGCACGAAATGCCACGCCGTTACGAAATTAATGATTGCAGTTCAAGAGACGCTGCCTTGTCGAAAAGCCTACTATCAAGGCTGACCGTTACCGTCACTATCGTCGCCTGCTCGTCTACAATCTACTCCCGTCACTATCACCGTCGCGGTACGGGTACGCGAAAACCTGCCTTTGTTTCACCTCAGAAACCCTGTCGCTGCTGCTGACCCCCACTGCCGCAATCCTGTCCGATACATTCTCCAAAACCCTGAACCCCGTCCGCGTGACCACTACGCGGCTTGTCTTCGCTCCCGAGAGTCTTTTCCCCCATCGAACGGTCGCCCACGGTCGGCTCCAGCGATCAAACGATTCACATTGCATTCTCCTACGTCCGTCCCCAACGATCACTGTATCTCAGTCCAAGAAATCCGTTTGCTCGCAATGTTGTAAATCCGAGCGATGAAATCCCAATCATCTCACCTTCACGAAGTTTCCGAGCGTCTTCGTGGAGCCGCGAGACGAGGTAAAGACGTCCTCGATACCCGCAAACTGCAGCACCTTCTTCGGCACGCGAGCGGCCACAATCCCGGAACCGCGAGGCGCGGGGACGAGGCGCACAGTGACCGAGCCGCACTTGCCGGTGACCTTAGTAGGCACCGTGTGCGGCTTGCCGATCTTGTTACCCCAGTACCCGCGTCGCACGGGAATGACGGAGAGCTTAGCGAGGATAAGCGCGCCGCGAATGGCGGTCGCGACCTCCTTTGCGCACTTCACGCCGAGCCCGATGTGACCGTTGCAGTCGCCGACGACGACGAACGCCTTAAAACGCGTACGCTGCCCGGCGCGCGTCTGCTTCTGCACGGGCATGATCTTCATAACCTCGTCCTTAAGAGTCGGCAGAAAAGCCTCGACAATCTGATGCTCCTTAATCGGCAGCGAGAAGAGGTAAATTTGCTCAATGGACTTAATCTTCCCTTCCTTAACGAGGCGCCCCAGCTTAGTCACCGGCACCCATGCCTCCTCCTTATCCTCCGTGCGTCTGCGCCCGCGCCCGCGGCCCCTGTCCCCGCGGCCCCTGTCGCCGCGCCCGCCGCGGTCGCCGAATCCGCGCCCGAATCCGCCCCTGTCTGCCATGGTTGTGTCGAATTCGCCCGAAAAGACGGAGCGAGATAAGAGAAAGAGTGGAAAGTAAGGAGCAAGGGAGGTCGAAAACCCTGAAAACGAAGAGGGCTAGGGAGAGGGGCTGGCGGGGGTGGAATAGGCGAGGGGAGGGCGGAAGAGAAGGGGATTGGGGGAGAAACGCGGGGAAAAGGGAAGCGGAGTGCGGAGAGTGGCCGATTTGGCGGCACAGGGAAGCGGCTGTAGGCGGGAAAACACGGACATGAAGAAATGTAACGCATTCTAGTTGAGTTCCTCTTTGGATTTCCAATAATGCTGTATATTGTAACGAGTTGAATGAATCCTTGTTACGCGTACAACTATGCTGATCTCCAAGCTGTTGGTCATTTATTTCCTTGAGCTTTCACTCACAAGCGCAAAGCTACCATTTGCCACCATTTCTCGTTGCCACGACGCGACGTCACTGGTTCGTGGATCCTTTTTCTGGCGCTTTTATTCTAGGCAATTAGTAACCGCTTGTTTTTTTGTTCCATTAAAAAAGAGACGCGTTAGGTTTTGTAGACTATTTAACTATTGGTCACTTTCGTCGCGCCTAGGCTAGCAAAATAGGTCACGACTACGCAAGCATATTCGGTTGAACTCTGTCGTTCCAAGGTTAGACGACGACATGGATGACGATCCTATGGCTGGCGACGGCGCGTCGCTTCAACGAATGCCAACGATTCACGTTCGCGAAATTCGCGATCGGTTTATGAAGTTCGAGCTTCGCGATACAGACGTGTCCGTCGCGAACGTGCTTCGCCGAGTCATGATGGCCGAAGTCCCCACCATCGCCATCGATCTTGTCGAGATCGCGAACAACACCTCCGTGCTAAACGACGAATTTATCGCGCACAGGCTAGGCCTCATCCCATTGGTCAGCGACCGTGCGATGTCCATGAAGTTTTCTCGCGACTGCGACGCGTGCGACGGTGACGGCCCGTGCGAGTACTGTGCCGTGGAGTTTACGCTGAACGTCAAGTGTACGGGAGATGAAACGCTGGACGTTACAACTCATGATCTGGTACCGTCATCGAGTGATGACAGTGACGACGCTGTGCTTCCTGTGGATTGCACGAGACGAACCGAAGGGGAGGACGGCGAGGAGAAGTGAGTATCTAGGTTGAGGCAGGAGCTGAGTGAGTAAGGGGGAAGAATGACTACGGGAAAATGTGAGAATTAGCCTGACACACTGCGTGGTGATTGAAGGAGGGAGGGAACCCACCCTTCCACCCACCCCCCACCACCTCCTTCCCTCCCTCCCTCCCTCCCTCCCTCCCTCCCTCCCTCTCTCTCCCCCTCCCTTGCTCACTGATGGAGGGGGGAGGGATTTGTTGGTCGTTGATGATTTCTAACGGAAACCCAAACAAGCATAAGCGTCATGCTCAATTGTCTTCTCTTCTCTCCCCCCACACCCACTCCCTCCCCTTTACTCCCCACCGCTTCCCATTCCCTGCCATTACCTCTTTGTTTCCCCGTCCTCCCATCTCCCATTCACCTCAGAGGAATTGTGATTCTGAAGCTGCGGAAAGGTCAAGAAATCCGCCTGCGTGCGATTGCGCGCAAGGGCCTGGGGAAGGACCACGCCAAGTGGTCCCCTGCGTCGCCAGTGACGTTCATGTACGAGCCAGAGATCACCATCAACCACACGCTCATGGACGGCATGACGCTGGATGAGAAGCGCGAATGGGTGGACTCATGTCCCACACAAGTGTTCGGTATCGACGAACATGGACAGGTGAGGTTGGGTGCGGCATGCAGATGTGCCTGGTAGCACACGATCTTGCAAGTCGTTTTGCCCCTGGTTTTTACAGTCCCCCTTTTCCAGTTTACCTGATGTGTGGAAAGTGTGTCAATATGTAACTCGGGCCATGGCTGTCTCGGCTTACTGATGTTGATAATGTTTCAGGTGTATGTGGAGAATGCGGAGCTTTATGCATATGATGATGAGGTTATTGTCAAAGCAGAGGAGATGGGCCGGCCTGGTCTAGTGGAGATTCGGCCACGCCAGGACAGCTTCATCTTCACGGTTGAGTCGAGTGGAGCTTTGTCTGTAGAGAGGATGTTTTTGGATGCAATTGAGGTTCTTCGGCAAAAGATTGAGGCAGTGAGGCTGTCAGGGGATGGGGATGAGGGTGATGATGATCATCTGGCCACGTTTATGCGCCGTGGTTAGCTGCTCAGTGCTCAGCCGTTTTTTTGTTTCTTGTGGGATGTACTTATTGCCGTTTTGATGTGTAAGTGTCTGCAGTTCCACAACTGTATTTTTATGTCCCCCGCATTTCTTCGTGATAATCAGGCGAAAGCTTCTGATTTCGTTAGTGGAACGTGAAGCACCCCATTCGATCAGCTCCCCTCCCCCAAGAATCCCGGATCTCCGACGCAGCTGCGGTTCGTGAAACGTTGGTCAGCAGCATCCTGGCATTCCTGCGTTCACCAGTCACCACAAGTATTCCCACGTTTGCTGCCAGCCAGTCAAAAAGATCCCGTTGAACCTAGGTGACTGGCCCTGAAAGGTGGCAGTCTGCAGAAGTCTTCCATTCCATCCAATCAGGCCGAAAAGGTTTTGCCCCTCATCAATCAGCATACTAGTGATTCAGCTATCGGCCAATCGTCACATCCCACCTCGGCACGCAAAGCCATCGCTGGGTTGGTGGCTGTTGGGATCTGCCCTGCAATTCTTCAGTTCAGATAGATTGTTGAACAGCTCTTTCAGAATTACTGTTTAGCATTACTGATGGTATGTATACTCGAATCCTCCATGGCTTCTCCCAGCTCCATTGCTGCGTCACGTAATCGCTCCGTTTCTGGTCTATCTCGCTTACGTCTCAGCGGGTCGCAACTCGTGACACAGAGACGTTCACAAGTGCTTCCTCGTCGTTCGCCACTTTGCCAACCGCTTCTTACGCACGCCTTTCCTCGAATTTCTTTGAGAGACTTCTAGAAACGGTTGTTTCGTCGCTGCTTCCATATTGGCACCTGAGCCACTTCGAGGTTACACTACACAGCTCGCACTGCAAAACTTAGTTTATCGCCGGTTTTGGACCGGCGAAGTCGAAGAGTGACGACTCCCGCGCTTGAGATAACACGAACCGCCTCACATCTGACGTTTCACAAGACCGTGAACAGCCGGCAGAAGGAGAAGCAAGCTATCAGACTTATAAGACGCTCATACGCCAAGCAGCAGTACGATCGAAAGGCGAAAGAAGAAATCTTTTGCTCTGGTTTGAGGGCTAGCGACCAGCAAGTGCGTTCAGCATGGTTCACGAGACGCGGCCCGAGCTGCATCACCCTCCGGCGCCGCACCACGAGAACGCGGCGTGGAAGGGGTTCGTGGAGGGCGGCGTCGCTTCCATGGTCGCCGGAGTCGCCACGCACCCGCTGGACCTCCTCAAAGTTCGCATGCAGGTGCGTCGGATGCATGCAGCTCTGTCGCATGCATCTCTGTCGCATGCATCTCTGTCGCATGCATCTCTGTCGCATGCATCTCTGTCGCATGCATCTCTGTCGCATGCATCTCTGCCGCATGCATCTCTGCCGCATGCATCTCTGTCGCATGTAGCTCCGTCGCATGCATCTCTGTCGCATGCAGGTCCGTTGCACCAGCATGGAGGTCGATTGCAACCCACGGTTGCATATCAGCGATTGCATGTCCTATCTCCGTCCTCCCTGTTTCGCATCCACCTCTAAGACCTTCCATTCCCCCTCTCGTATTATCTCGTTTTCAGCTTCTAGGCGAAGGGTCTGCAAAAGCGGCGGCGGGAGCGACGGGAGCGCCCGGCGGGGCGCTGCGGGTGGCGGCGGAGGTGGTGCGAGAGAACGGCGTGAAAGGGCTCTTCACCGGCGTCTCTGCGACCATGATGCGACAGGTGAGCGACAGCTGAGCGACTGTCGAGAGTCGTTACTGTAGACCGGCTTGAGAACGGCGTGAAAGATTAAGCTCACAACATGAAGAATGGGGATTTTATTGTGAACTCGGATCCGAAACAGAAACTTCAAAGCTGGGAGTGAACTCGGCGGGGATTTTCTACCTTCGGATTCTACCTGAGGGGACTCAGTGGTGAGTGTGTACAGACTCGAGCCAGGCGCACGGGTAAACGTGGCCAGGTGTCGGCCCGTCCGAGCACACGTACAGCGGGTCACTCGCTGACTCGCAGGAGTGAACTGGTGAACCCCTCCATCCTGGAGGTGCTCAATGCCACCGACCACCTTCGCCTGTCTCTTCAGATTCTCTACAACGCGGCGCGCATGGGGATCTACGACACATGAAAGCACAACATGGAACACAACGGGCAGCCGCACATGGCTCTGCCCGATCACAGATCAACCTCCTTCACAAATTGCATTCTGTTTACTTCTCACGCTCCCCCGCTCCCCTCCGCTCCCATGCCCCCTTTTTCCGCTCCCCTTTTTTCCGCTCCTCCCGCTTCAGATTCTGTACAGCGCGACGCGCATGGGGATCTACGACATCTTGAAGCACAAGATGGAGGAGCAGCCGCACATGGCGCCCGGGGGACTCCCCATGTACAAGAAGGTCGGCGCTGGGCTCATCTCCGGCGCCATCGGCGCGGCTGTTGGCAATCCCGCTGACATGGCCATGGTCCGCATGCAGGTACGGGCGAATGCAGGTGCGTGGGTAAGGAGGGGTTACAGAAGGTGCATGACGGTGCGCGACGGTACATGGCGCCCGGCGGGCTGCCCATGTACAAGAAGGTCAGCGCGGGTCTCATCTCCGGCGCCATTGGCGCGGCCGTGGGGAACCCCGCTGACATGGCCATGGTTCGCATGCAGGTGCGCGGGTGAATAGGGGTTAGGGGATGTGCATTACGGTATATGGCGGTGCATTGCCCCGGGCGGGCTGCCCATGTACAAGAAGGTCGGCGTGGGGCTGCTCTCTGGCCATGGGCGCCTCCGTTCACAACCCCGCTGACATGGTCATGGTCCGCATGCAGGTACGGGCGAATGCAGGTGCGTGGGTGCTGACATGGGAAGCCTTGGTGGGTAGTCCTGGCCGTAGTCTTAGTGGGAAGCCTTGGTGGCTTCTTCCTCAGTTGCCCTTCTTCCTCCCCTCATCCCTCGTCTCTCCCCGGGCGGACGGTCGATTGCCAGTAGATCTGCGGAGAAACTATAAGGGAGCATTGGCCAGTAGATTGCCAGGAATGTAACTCCTTCCCCTCCTTTGCTTCCTCGGCACTCCTCTTCCCCTCGCTCCTTGTCTTCCCCCAGGCGGACGGTCGACTGCCAGTAGAGCAGAGGCGCAACTACAAGGGTGCTCTGGACGCCATTGCGCGCATCCGCCGGGAGGAGGGCGCTGCAGCGCTGTGGCGGGGGTGTGGGCCCACTGTGTACCGCGCCATGGCTGTCACTGCAGGCCAGGTGCGTTGACCCCCGTTGACTCCCATTCTCATGGTTGACTCCCGTTGACTCCTGTTGACTCGAGTGCAATTGCTGCAGCGCTGTGGCAGGGGTGTGGGCCCACTGTGTACCGCGCCATGGCTGTCACTGCCGGCCAGGTGCGTTGACCCCCGTTGACTTGCCGTTAACTTTCATTTACTCTTGTTGGCTCGAAGGACCCACCGTGTACCGCGCCTTGGCTGTCACTGCTGGCCCGGTGCGTTGACTCTCGTTGACTCCCGTTCTCAGGGTTGACTCCAGTTGACTTTTGTGTAAATTTTTCTGCGCTGTGTCGGGGGAGTGGACCCATTGTGCACAGCGCCTTGATTGTCACTGCATGGCAGATTCGTTGACCCCCTTTGACGCCCGGTTGTCTCTCGGACAAAACTTTGCAAGACTACTCAAACCCCTTTGACGTGTGGTCAAGACTCACGGCTCACCCTGCTCCCTTCCATCCTCCCGGGACTCACTCCCTCTCATCCTACCCACATCAGCTTGCAACGTACGATCACGCTAAAGAGAGCCTTATAGCCTGGGGGTATATGAAAGAAGGCCTTGTGGCACACACAGTGGCAGCATTCACAGCAGCCATCTTTGCACCTCCCGTCCTACCCCTCCCTCACCAGCTTGCAACGTACGATCAAGCGAAGGAGAGCCTTATAGCAGGCGGTTACATGAAGGAGGGCCTTGCTGCGCACACAGTGGCGGCATTCACAGCAGCCATCTTCGCTTCCCTCGCCTCGAACCCCTTTGACGTGGTGAAGACGCGCCTCATGAACATGCGCAAGCCGGAAGGAGGGGGCCCACCGCCTTACTCGGGCCCCTTGGATTGCGCCATGAAGACCATCCGGCTGGAAGGCCCCCTCGCGTTGTACAAGGTGGGTGGCTGACATGTAATGCGTGTGGTTAGTCCATCGCTCGCCTCAAACCCCTTCGGCGTGGTGAAGACGCGCCTCACGAACATGCGCGAGCCGGAGAGAGGCGGGCTGGATTGCGCCTTGAAGACCATCCGGCTGGAGGGCTCTCTTGCACTGTATAAGGTGGGTTGCTGGTACAAGGTGTGTGGGTGCTGCATTGCTCGCCTCAAATCCATCCGACATGGTGTGTGCAAGCCAAAGGGCGGGGATCCAGCGCCTTGCTAGGGCCCACAGGATTGCGCCATCGGGACTATCCGGCTCCAAGGCCCACTGGCGTTGTAGCGGTGGCTCGTGCAAGTTGGCTTGTTGCCTTTTGAGACGTCTCATGCAGTCACCAGCAGGGCTGGGGGGAGGCACTGCAGCGTGCTGGCAGTGCAAACTAGCTGCTCGTTGCATTTGAAAGGCGGAAGATGTGTTCATCCCTTGAACGCACTTGCATGGTGTTCTTGTGTTGTAGTCCGTGCTCTCATGCCCTATTGCCTGTGGCCCCTCGTCCCCTGCGTCGCTTTCACGTGCCGTCCCTTCCAGGGCCTCATCCCAACTATTGTCCGGCAAGGTCCCTTCTCGCTCATCCTCTTTGTCACGCTTGAGCAAATGAAGAAGATTATGGAAGGCATTTAGTCTGCAGATTACTGCGTATGTAAAACCACAAGTCTACCTTGATGTAAGCCCTCCCATGGCTCTGACATACCTGCACCTATCAGAGGTGTAATGCTATAATACTATGTGATCTCACATTTCATGTATGGGTATGCGTACAAGCATAGTGAATACACACGAAACCTTCTCATGGCTGTAGGGAATCCAGTTGCACCATATAGTTAAGACCCCCCCCCCCCCTCCAAACCACCTTGATGAAAAGTTGACATGAGAATAAAGTCAGGGGTCGCTGGTATGGTACTTGAACAGCAAGTGTTGTGGATGGCAAGTTATATGAAAAAGCGTACACCACAGTGCCATTCTTTGTGTCTACATAGATAGAAGTATCCACCAGAAGCCGTGACAGGTACCCCTCGCTTTAGCGAGACATGTGGATATCGAGTTTCGTCACCGCCATCCGAACCACATGATTTCAAGGCAAAGGGAGGTGACGTCACCTCACGTCTTCCAGCCATGTCACCTCCCACGGATCTGGGTCCGTGATGAGCTGTCGCCATGCATCAGGGCAAAAGCAAGCCAGCGCAGCATTTTCTCCTCATTTGGCGTCGAAGGGACAGGGAGCAGGGTGGTTGGGGCAGGAGGAATGGCGCCGCGTGAATTGATTCTTCTCGCAGCAACCGAGGCGCGCGAAATGCGGCTGATGTGAATCCAAATTTGGTGGGGCCCCAATGAAATCTACGTTGGCGGAATGAATGGTGTCAGGGCATCCGGGGTTAGGGGGGTCAGGGAAAATCACGGCAACGCCTTATCTCCGGTGCGCAAGCATGCTGAATGCCGTCGATTTGAATTTTCCTTGGGCTTGGATAACGGGTAACCACAGGATGGATAATGCTGCTTCCATTTGCACTTCTTACACGTGTACATCTACACGTGGATGACGTGTATTCCGCGAACGAAGAATTTGGAGAAGCCCCAACCACACACCTATCCAAACCACACGCTTGACGAAAACACTTCTCTCGTGGAACGCGGCTCCCGGGTTTGTCCGTCACAGCCTTCCTCCTGAAGCTGCCAGCCACCCGTCAACTCCTACAGTTTCCCACATCCATTTGCCGCCATTTGTTCATCCTGCTCCGCCCACCGGTCGCCCGACCACGATCACTTGCCTTATGATTGCAGTACACGTGTCATGATTCACTTGGTGCGCGCCTGATCGAGCAGGACGCAATCTGCTTGTTCAAGAAGCAACAGAAGCCACAAGGGGGAAAGAACATTCTTGCGGCGCGACCCTCGAGCCTAGCAGCGTTTGCACGTATCTTGAGTTCTAATTTCTAAACCAGAGACATTTCTTGCCCCATTTCTCCAACAGAAACCTACTGCCTCACAGTAATTTAGGACGGAGCATTTTGCACCACGTTTTTTCATGACGCGACAAAATCTCCAAACGATGGAGCAGGCAAGAAATAATTCGAGCCGCAGGATGCCTGCCCATCGCGGAAGTCGTGGTAAATATTGACAGCTTCGCTTCTAGTAGTGCGCCTAGAACTTCGATTCCACGAGCCGTAATGAACAGTTCCCCTACACATTGCCGCTCTGTGGTCGTCGATGCTTGACGCGTGGCACCACAAGTCAATTCTGGGACGAGTCGTCTCTCCGAACCAGATTCAGTTTAGTAGACTACCTACCTTATTCTCACACAACGTCCTTCACGTATCGTCGACACAGACGCTTTCGATAGCCACCTACTTTATAATTCCTCGAAGTCATTTTCTAGACTACTAACACACGTGGTCTTCCATACCGTCTCGCTCTCACTTAGTCCGTGAATCGGCCAGTATTAGCAGCCATTGATATAGCAAGCTACGGCATGGACGTCCAAAGTGCGCAGTGGCTCACAGCTCAGACTCTCTCAGATTACCCTCCTCAGTCGCACGCGATGCCGCCTCTACCACTCCTCTTCACTTCAACCCCTTGCGCTCTCTGCCCCTCCCCCGCCGCCGTGCATTGCGCCGCGGACGGCGCTCACCTGTGCGTCAAGTGCGACCAGGCAGTCCACGTGGCGAACGCTCTCGTAATGAAGCACCCGCGCGCGCTTCTCTGCTGCTCCTGCCACCAACCCACTGACGTGCAGTTTCTCGGATTTCCCACGGCTCTCACGCTCCCCCTAGTCTTTTGCCATGGCTGCCGCTCCTCGGGATTCGCGGCCGCCGGTCTCCTAACCCACGCGACGGTGGGATCCGCAGCAGCCGACGTGTCGCTGAGCCACGTGGCGAGCGCTCGTTTGCTCGACGTTTGCCACGCTGGATTGTATTCTGCCGGACTGGTTGACGGTGGTCGAGGATGGAGTGTAGCGGCTCGGGATTCTTATGCATATGGTAACCAACTAGGTCCCGGGATGCATCGTATCGACTCAAACTGCAGCGGGGATAGCGGCGGCCCGGACGGCGCGTCTCCCGCGAGTGGAGTCACCACAGAGTGTTGCGAGCCGGTGGGTGTTACAAGAGGTAACAGTTACGAGCAGCTTTCGCAGCTGCAGCAGACAACTGTTCTGCATCAGCCGGCGATGCTTCTCGCCAGTCAGCAACATCAGAACCGTCCGCATCCACAGCATCAACCGGCTATTCAATCCGAGCCGTTGAAACAAGAAGGTGCAACGATCCTGCAACTCTTTCCGCAGATCCGGGAGGTTGCGGGCCTTCGCGGAAACGGAAGGTCAGAGGCGACACGTGTAGCCGACGCGGCCCAAGAACCGTCACTTAAACGTAGACGGGCGGAAAACGGCTCTGACTGTTGCGTTACGCGCGGTGAAGTGGCTGAAGCCGCGAATGTGAACATACGCAGTGCTGCTACAACGGGGGGTGATACAGACGTAGCACCTTTGCGAGTCGACAGGAAAAGGTCATTCCCTGAATTGCAGCATCAGCAGCCGCCGCAGCCACGTCAGCTGCTACCCGCGCCCACGTCAGATGGCCCTGCCCTCGGCCAAACCGCCGCGGCTCGGCTGAAACGGGTGCTTCTTTCATGGTGCACGCGGCTCCACCTCCCTTCTAGCAGCGCGCAAGCGTTGGCCTTCCACATGCTCCAGCGCATCTTGCGGAAGCTCCGCCCGACTGACGTGGCAGCGGACGCGCTCCGGGTGGTGCTTGCCACGTGTCTGTGGGTGGCAATTAAGGCGCAGGAGAGCCAAGACGCGGTGCCGCGAGCGAGTCAACTCGCAGCTGTAGCGCGAATCACGGCGGATTCGCTGGTGGGGATGGAGATTCAGGTGCTGAAATTGCTGGACTGGCGACCACTCGAAGGCTTCCACGTGGATGGAGGAGAGGAGTAAGGGAGGATGTATCCTTTGAACAAGGCTGACGCGTTAATGAATTTTAAATTCCCATTAACGCGGATGGCTGAAACGACAGACTACATGATACTGCTACAAGATCATATCTTATTGAGTCTCTGACTGATCCTGTGGCGTCCAGTCCATCCACTGGTAGTATATCTCTTCTCAATATCATAGCCGCTTGTATCTGGCTGACTGCCTCCCAAGGACGGCACTGCAATCTTGGGTGCCAATCTAGACCACTAGCTTCGTAGCCAGTCAGGAAGTGCTTAAGATGGTGTTATATCCATTAATATAGCATCGATTTCATTGATTCTTCTATATTTCACACACAATGGAACAATACTGGCCACAAGAAATACCCTCAGCCCCACCTAATGCATGTTTGCACCATGACAGCTTTCTGAAACCCACTCAATCAGCATCTCCTGGCATGCATACCCAGCTGAACCTGCTCTCTCTCCCCCGGCAGTGGAACAGAAAGAGGGATCCCCCTTATACTGACACCTAGAGCCAGTCACCCCTTCGCCTGGCATAGTTCTCCAAGCAGTCAACATCTCCTCACACGCACAGCCAGCTGAACCTGCTCTCTCTCTCCCGGCAGCGGAACAGAGCGAGGGAACCTCAGCAGCACTTCGTAATCACCGATGGACGAGAGAGGCGCGGACAGAGGCACGTTTGCTTCGGATAGCTGGATGCCGAACTGACGCCGAACCTCGCTGATGATGTGGCGCTGCGTGATTGGTTGGCGCAGCTCAGAGGACCTCTTGGGTGTGACGGCTCGGATGGACTGCAATGAGTGGTTGAGGGAGAGTGTGAGACGAGAGTGAGAGACGAGAGTGAGAGACGAAAGTGAGAGACGGGAGATAATGGGGAGAAAGAGAGTGAGAGGGAAGAGAGTGTGAGGGAACAGAAAGGGAGGCGCGTGAATGCAAGGGAAGAGGATCGTGGGGCTGAGAGAATGAGAGGCAGGAGAATGACAGCTGCAATGGTGAGAGTAAAAAGGGAGTGAAGATGGCTGGTAGGAAGATCGACCATGAAACCTTTCACTTCTAACCATCTGAGGTAAGAGAGAAGAGACAGGGAGAGAGTGGGGAGAGAAGAAAGACAGAAGGAGAGGAGAGACGGTCTGGAGAGGGCAGGAGCGGAGTGGGAAAGGGTTTAGGGGGAAAGGGTAACGGACCAATCTCAGGCTGTCGAGTCGTCGTGCAATCTCCTCGGCCTCCTTCACTCTCTCCTCCATTGTAACCACTTCACCGCCCTCCTCGCCCCCTCGTCCCGCATCCCCTCCCACTCCCCGCGCTTCCCCCTCCGCCTCCCCCCGCGCTTCCACTCGCGCCTCCCCCCGCGCCTCCCCCTGCGTCTCCCCCTGCGCCTCCATGGCCTCGCGCACCTGGCGCAGGAACTTGGGGATGGCGGGGAGGGCGGCCTTCTGGGGGATGAGCTTGTTGCGCGCAAAGCCAGCTGGGACGTTTACTTGCTCGCCCGCGTAACCCAGCCCTTCCACCTCCTGATGCGCGCAGGGCGGATCGGGGAAAGGGGAAGAGAGGCCTTCTGGGGGATGAGCTTGTTGCGCGCGAAGCCAGCCGGGACAGTTACTTGCTCGCCCGCGTATCCCAGCCTTTCCACCTCCTGCGGAAGGGTGGCGTCAGGGGAATGGTGGAAGGGGGTTACCGGGGTTGGGGGATGGCGGGGAGCGGCAATGCTCATAACGTTAAGGGACGGGGGGGACAGGCGGGAAGGAGGTAGAAAACAACGGGGTTTCTGAGGCGTTCCAGAAGTGCAGGCTCAACGTGCGAGTTACCAGATCTTACAGTGAATCGAGTGAGAGGGGAGCTACACTGCTCATATGGCTGTGAGTGAGATCTTACCGCTGTGAGCACGACGCGCAGTTTCGGGCGAGTGCGCACTCCGCGCGCAAACGAGAGGCGGAAGCCGGACGCGGAGGCGGGGGAGGCGGCGCTTTGCGCGGATTGCCGCACACATGCGGCGGTGGCAGCGGCATCGGCGGAGGGCTGAACCGCGAAGCGCGCCTGAAAGGGAGGAACAGGAGGAGCAGGAAGCGAGGGAGGAGCGGGGAGCCAGAGAAGCGGGGAGGCGGGAAGAGCGGGGAGGCGGGAGGAGCGGGGAGGCGGGAGGAGCGGGGAGCGGGAGGAGCGGCAGGAGGAGGGAGTAGACGTTAAATCTGCCGATCTGTGCGAAGGTGTGAATAAGCGGATGCTAACGTGGATACGAACCAGAGAGGATGCGACACGCGATGCCGCCGAGATCGCTACCTTGTGACCCCTCATCTCGTCGCTCGTCGCTCGTCGCGTGGCGTGAATGCGACTAGCGAATTGCGGCGAAAAGATTCGGGGTACTCGCGCGAAAATATGGTCGACCTGAGGCAGGTTCGGTCGGGTTCGGAGTGGAAAAAATAAGCGAGAATGATACATGAGGCGGAGAAAAGATACTACTATTGTTCCCGTTACCGTCAGTTCCGTTTGCATATCAAGCTTGTTATCTAGGTCTTGGCAGATATTTGAACTGTTCTATTGCAGCATTGTAGCAGACGAAGGGTGGAACGGCAGGTGTCTGAAGGTTTCGTGGGTAGTCTGCATTTTTTCGTTCCGAAAGGGGTGGTGTTTATGGAAGTAGCAATTTCTATCGCAACAGAACGCAATTCCGCGCCAGGCATTGCAGTACTTTTCTCATACTTCGGGGTTTTCGCATACCAAGCCAGATGAATTTGCAACACCTCTTTTAGCAAAACATTTGTCAAGCTGGTTCTCTCGTTGCAAGTGACCCTGACGAGGCTGGTTGGCTGGTTTTTCCTCGATTCTGTCGATTTGACTGATCCAACAGGGTCAGGAGTCTAGGAGTCAGCTAAAATACTAAACATCGACGATCGGACTCCCTAAACTTAGACGGGCAAAGTGATTGATCCGAATTAGAGCCGAGATTTCTTTTCTCCGCCGTGATCGGATATAATTTAGGCATTGTGTGACCAATACGCCTCCTAGCAATCAGAACGCCTCCTAGTCGTCTTTTATCAGCACGCCTCCCCCCCGCCGTCTTTCCCCTCCTGCCTCTTCTGTCACCTCGTAGCTTCTAATTCTCGACGTGATCGACTTTTAAAGATTGATTCGCAATTGCCATCCCTCGTTGCCGGGTGTTTTTAGTTCTTATCGAGCCACGGTAGTATCAGATATCGGATGGCCCTTTATCGAGACGCCACGCAGCAAAGATGGTACGCGATTCTTAGCTATGAACATCTGTGGTTCAATCTACGTCTCCTGTCAATTCTATCGGACGGTTGCCAGCGTCTGATTTGCAAGCGACAGATTCATTCCTGCCGGGCTTGAGTTGACTAAAAAATCACCAACTCCCTCTCCAACCTTAATCCGCTCATACAAGTAAAGCGGCAAGGACCCTCGCTTCAGCCGTTATTTCTTCCGCCTCCCTCGGCTTCTCTCCCCCTGCTTTCCCCCCCCTTTTCCCCTCGACCCCCGGCACCCCCACACCAGGAAGGGCAGAGAGAGCCCCCTCTGCTCGGCCCAACAGCGGCCGAGCTCCCTCGGTATCAGCGCGACGTGGAGGACCTGCTGGTGGAAACCACCGCCCGTAAAAACAACTCCTCTATTCTTCCCCCTTTGCATCCTCACACCAGGAAGGGCAGCGAGAGCCCTCTGTTCGGCCCCACAGCTGCGGAGCTCCCGAGGTACCAACGTGACGTGGAGGACCTGCTGGTGGAAACCACCACCCACCCGAACAAGTCCTCTCTTCCCCGTCCCCCACCCTTTCAACCTACCCCTCCTCACACCAGGAAGGGCAGCGAGAGCCCACTCTTTGGCCCCACGGCCGCGGAGCTCCCTCGGTATCAGCGCGACGTGGAGGATTTGCTGGTGGAAACCACCGCCTCGCCCTGCCCCTCCGCCCACCGCTCCAGTAAACTGCTGCTGTGAGTGACGCTTCGCCCCCTCTCGTTTTCCGCTTCTGCTTTGAGCCAGCCTTTAAACCACACCTCACCTCACCACACCTGGTGGAAACCACCGCCTCGCCTCGCCGCTCCGCCAACCGCTGCAGCAAGCTGCTGCTGTGAGCAACGATGGGGATGCCCCTCCCCTCCTCTCGCTCCCTGCATGTGTTTTGGGCTGACTTAGAAGTCAGAACCATGCCACACCACTCCAGACCACCGCCTCGTGCTGCCCCTCCTCCCATCGTTGCAGCAAAGTGAATTTGTGAGCCACACACCGTCCCAGGACGGATTTCTGAACAGCGATTTCTGTTTGTTGCTCTTGTTGCGATTCACCTTCTGGTCTGTCTGTCACTCTGTTTCTCGTCCTGCTCTGGCTGTGCTTGTTCGCAGGAACGAGCTTCTGGACATCTCAGCACCTCTCAACGAAGCAGCTGGGGCCATAGTGGATGTGAGTGCGAGAGATAAACAGTACCAGATTGCCTTGTTAGAGCAGACAGTTTGAAAACCATCAAATTGCCGTGCTATAGCAGACAGCATGTTAGAGTGAGATGCTGTCTTGAATCGAGTTTACGCACTCGCCCCCCCAACCGTCCCCTCCCCATCCGTCCCCTCCCCTCCCCTGTCCCCCCTCCCCCCCCTCACTATTCATTCCCCCATAGGCGCGGTTTCAAGTCCAACGGCCCTGAGTTGCGGAACTGGAACCTCTACCTTCTCCCCCTCCCTTCCTGCCATCTTCCCTCCCTCCCTCCCTCCCTTCCGTCCTCCCCCCCCTCCCTTCTTCCTGTCTTCCCCCTACCCTCCCTAGCCATGGAACTAGCACCCTCTTTTTCTCTCCCCTCTTCCCCCTCATCCCTTCGCTCCCCGTGTCGTCTTCCCTACCGGCCCTGCAGGATTCCTTCTGGCGCTGTTTCAAGTCCAACGAGCCGGAGCCGTGGAACTGGAACCTCTACCTCTTCCCCCTCTGGTGCCTTGGCGTGGTCATTCGCTACACCATCCTCTTCCCCATTCGGTAAGCTCTCATTTGGTGAGGTCCCATCGCAATGCTTTCTGACACGTGCACAGACAGCCCCGTGCCTCTTTGCTCTTGCCTGCTGTTGCTCTTGGTGCTGTGTTGTGCTCTCCTCCCCCTGGTGCCTTGGCGTGGCCTTCCGCTACACCATCCTCTTCCCCATTCGGTAAGCTCTCATTCAGTGAGGTCGCAATGCTTTCTGTCACGTACACAGACAGCCCCGTGCCTCTTTGCTCTCGCCCTGCTGGTGATACTGTCTCGTACTCTTCCCCCTCTGGTGCCTTGGCGTGGTGTTCCGCTATGCCATCCTCTTCCCCATCCGGTGAGGTCCCTTTGCTTTCCAATTTGGTGAGATCAGGTAAACTCCCGTCATCTCCCCCCTCTGATGCCACACGTCATATGGTGTGTTCTTCTGCTGTGCCATCCTCTTCATCTCATCCTCACGCAATTCTCTCAGCTCAATCCCCTTCATCTCGTCCTCACCCCATCAACTCATCCCATACCCTCCACATACGTTAAAACCAGGGTCTCACGTAGTCTAAGTGTTTTGCAGTTGATAGTGAAAGTTTGACTCTGATTGGTTGGCAAGGTATAAGGTTTGAAGTGGGGTCAAGTGAGGGATGCGAAACGAGCACAAATCGCTAGTTGTATCCGAACCTTCTAGTCTTGGAAACTAGGTTTGGTGCCAAACCTAAATGACCCCCAGCTCATCGAAAAGTCTCATGTACACAAAATTGTTTTGCAATTGCAAATATTGCTGGTAGCTGAATTTCCAACCCAACCAGAGAGAACTTCGCTTCCAGTAACTAGGTAACCTAGCCATCAACTGTTTTTCAGTTGATGGCTCCTTTGCTTACGTGAGACCCTGGCTTTAAGGTGGCTCATTCCCTTCTCTCGCTCTCCATCCCCATCCGCTTTATCTCACGCTCAACCCCCACTCCCATGCATGCCCCTTCACTCCCCCCGGTCCACACGCCAGGCTAGTGCTGCTGCTGCTGGGATGGGTCATATTCCTCTCGCTCTTCATCCCCATCCACTTCATATTTGCCGGATATGACAAGCTGCGGCGCAGCCTAGAGGTAATGGCAGTGCTAAGCAAGGTAGTTGTTTTCTAGGCAGAGCAAACACCACCCCTATCCAGCGCCACACAATGCGTGTCTCTTCATCCCCATCCAGTTCATTTTCGTCGGATACGACAAGCTGCGTCGCAGCCTTGAGGTAATGTTACGCGTGTTTTGATTTCGAGAGTTTTTACTTTCTTTCACCACTTTTCCACCCATTCTTAGTCTCATTCCCTTCTCCGCCCTCCTCCCATCTCACCCCCATAACAGAGAGGACTGGTGGAGTTCATGTGTGGTGTATTCGTGGCATCGTGGACGGGCGCCATCAAGTATCATTCTTGAGGCGCCTTATTAACCCCTTCCCGCCCATCCTCACCACGCCCCACATCCTCTCATCCTCACACCCCTCCTCACGCCCATGACAGCGAGGGCTAGTGGAGTTCATGTGTGGCGTGTTCGTTGCGTCATGGACGGGCGTCATCAAGTATCACGGGCCGAGGCCTGTTCGCCGGGCCAACCAGGTGGGCTAATATCTTGTGTGGTGCACGGCATGTGTGGCTCATGGCATGTACTGGCTCACATCTTGGACGGGCGTCATCAAGTATCACGGGCCTAGGCCAGTGCGCCGGGCCAACCAAGTGGGCTTGAGTAGTGGAGGTGAGTCATGGCTTAGGTGTGGCAGCAGTAGGTGACAAGACACAACCTATGGACGGGCGTCATCAAGTATCACGGGCCTAGGCCGGTGCGCCGGGCCAACCAGGTGGGTTTGAGTAGTGGAGGTGAGTCACGGCTTGGGTGTGGCAGTAGTAGTCATGGCCTACGTCATCGATTACCATGGTTCTAGGCCTGTTCGCCGGGCCAACCAGGCGGGCATAAGGGTCGTATGGCATGTGTGGCAAAGATCTTGCCGGCTATGGTAGTGGTAATGGTAATGGTAATGGTAATAGTAATGGTAGTGGTAATGGTAATGGTAGTGGTAATGGTAATAGTAGAGGTAATGGTAATGATAGTAGTAAAGGTATTGGCATTAGTAATAGTAGTGGTTATGGTAATGGTAATAATATTGGTAATGGTAATGGTAATGGTAGTGGTAATGGTAGTGGTAATGGTAGTGGTAATGGTAATGGTGATGGTGATAATGATGCTAATGGTAATGGTAATGGGAATGGTAATGGTAATGGTACTGGTAATAGTAATGGTAATGATAGTGGTAATGGTAATGGTAATGGTAATGGTAGTGGTAATGGTAATGGTAATGGTAGTGGTAGTGGTAATGGTAATGGTAATGATAATGATAATGGTAATGGTAATGGTAGTGGTAATGGTAATGATAATCCGTGGCAATGGTATTGATAATGGTTATGATAGTGGTAGTGGTAATGATAATGGTAATGGTAGTGGTAATCG